AAGGCTCCCACATCTTTGCACGAGTCCACGCCTTCAATGCCACCCTTCTTGCCAAAGATCAGACCGCCCGACAGCCATTCGAATGGACCCTTGTTCTCGGATGTCATTGTAGCGTGTCTCTGTATCCTTTTCGTACTGTCTTTTCTTTTTCGTCTCCTACTACTACTGTAGCTAGTAGATCGTTGTTGCTGAATTCAATAATAACACAACAACAGAAGCCTTTTGCTCTGATCAAGCAAGGAGTAGAGTAGACCGCTGTTTTGCCGGCTGTTGGGTCCTGCTACAGGCAGCTTCGATTTTATTGATTCAAACGCGCGCCACACTTTTCAGTACACTTCTACACGAGCTCTCCTAGAAATGTACCAGAACTGCCGGCACGCGTTTGAATTAACAAAATCGAAGCTGCTCGTACCGGTATGCCAATGTCCAATTGGACCTCTTTTCCAGTAGGGATAAGGCTAAACTCAAAGGGGTACGTGGTGGTTTAAAGGACACCGGAGGTGTAATAGATATACCGGGCGAGCTGAATTAAAAGATGGGCCGGCATAGTAATATTGTAGCAGTTTGGCTGAAGGTAGTGTCATTAGATTTTTCCGTCTGAGCAAGTGGCGTGGTAGCTTACGGAGTTTAGAGGTGTGCAACATGAGACGTTAGATTTTTCATCTGAGAAGGTGGTGGTAGCTTACGGAGTTTAGAGGGTGCAACTTGAGACGTTGATTTTTCGTCTGAGAAAGAGGCGTGGTAGCTTACGGAGTTTGAGGTGTGCAACGTGAATCATAGATATTCCATCTGAGAAGTGGCGTGGTAGCTTACGGGAGTTTAGAGGTGTCAACATGAGACGTTAGATTTTTCCATCTGAGAAAGTGCGTGGTAGCTTATGGGAGCCTAGAGGTGTGCAACGTGAGACGTTAGATTTTTCCATCTGAGAAAGAGGCGTGTAGCTTACGGAGTTTAGAGTGTCAATGTGAGACGTTAGATTTTTCCATCTGAGAAAGTGGCGTGGTAGCTTACGGGAGTTTAGAGTGTGCATCGTGAGGAAAATATTAGGATCCGTTGCTATGGTACCGTATGATTATTATGAGAATGTGTGAGAAAGAGGGGGTTGAAGTAAATCTCTAACCCTAAGGATAACCAACCAACCAAACCCACCACCACCACAATAAACGGGGTCAGAGATCACCGGGGTCTGCCCGGTATATTAATCCCACTTACACTGCTCAGTCCGTTCTCCCCGTTGGTAGTATCATGTCTTATGATAGTAATGCTACTGGTATTGGTGCTGCTGGTGCCAATAGCAGTTCACCCAACAAAAAGAAACAGAAGATGTCTCCTCCCTTGGAATCTCTTCTCTTGGCTGGCGAAGAGATTTCGATCCAAGGCATTCTTCCCTTTGTGGGGGTTGGACTGTACGCTTTTGTAGGAGCTGTCAACAAAAAATTGAATCAACTGTACAAAGAGTACTCAAACTGGAAAAAAATCCAAGAAACGTAATAGATAACCTTGTTTGGTATTCTCCCAGCTGCTCTTAGCATATCACCGACACTCTTTACAGCGAAACATTCTGTAACCAGCCCCGTGCAGAATTCTGGCTCAAGGACAATTCCTACCATAAAACACCGGATCGGGATCATGTTTGCACTGCCATTGCCACAGTTGGAAATCTTACTGTCATGCAGTGGGCACGACGACAAAAAGAAATATTCCCATGGGATGAAGAGACATGTGCTAGAGCTGCTAAGAATGGACAACTGGAAATGCTGATTTGGTTAAGAGAGAATGGTTGTCCATGGAATGAGCGGACATGTGAAAAAGCTGCTCAGGGTGGTCATCTTGATGTGCTCAAATGGGCTCATGAAAATGGCTGTCCATGGAATGCATTAACATGTGCCAGTGCTGCTGAAGGTGGCCAATTGGAAATTCTGAAGTGGGCTCGTGAAAATGGTTGTCCATGGACTTATCTAACATGTCTTGAGGCTGCTGCAGAAGGGCACTTGGAAATATTGAAGTGGGCTCGTGAAAATGGTTGTCCATGGCATCCTTGGGCATGCGCAGATGCTGCTCGACACGGACATTTGGAAATTTTAAAGTGGGCTCGTGAAAATGGTTGTCCATGGGATGAACAAACATGTACCTATGCTGCTCAATTTGGAAACTTGGAAATTTTCAAGTGGACTCGTGAAAATGGGTGTCCATGGGATGCAAGGACATGTGCAAAGGCTGCTCGACACAGACATTTGGAAATTTTCAAGTGGGCTCGTGATAATGGGTGTCCATGGGATGAACGAACATGTACCTCTGCTGCAGAAGAGGGACATTTGCAAATTTTGAAGTGGGCTGGTGACAATGGTTGTCCATGGAGTGGAATGACAAGTTACGGTGCTGCTCTATATGGCCAATTGGAAACTTTGAAGTGGGCTTGTGAAAATGGTTGTCCCTTGGATGATGAGACATGTGAGGCTGCTGCTGAAAATGGACATTTGGAAGTTCTAAACTGGGCTCGTGAAAATGGTTGTCCATGGAGTGCAGCAACATATCAAGCTGCCTGCCAGCATAACCGGAGGGAAGTGATCCAGTGGCTAGGTGACAGTGGCTGCCCTGGGTCTCGTGATGAAGGACACTAATACATCAATGTAACTTGTGTGAAGGTTACGAATTGCCAATGTTTTCGCTCCCAGCAGCCCATCACCCACAGTCACAGTCGCAGGCGATTGCAGCGTCAAATCTACTTTTAATCACTCACTCTTTCCTGGAAAGGAAAAGAGGAAAACATAGATACTGTAGCTAGACCCCCTTATTAATAAGATGCAATGCTCACCGCTCCGGATCCCCTTGGATCTAGATTGCTATTTAAAAAAAAAAAGCAAGATCTCTGAGGTGGCTGGTTGGGCAGGCCATCTTCATGGAACGGTTTTGCAGGAGGGAAAATGTAGATAGCCTGAACCCTACTGACGTTTGGTACCAGCCGGCCACCAGCTTACGTAAAGGATTTTCGGGGTCAGAAGGCAGTAGTATGATTGGTTGATGAGTACCATATGGGACTGCATATGTCAGCAACGATTAGGATAAGTCGACACTTAACGACACTTACCTTTCTTCCAAACTGTGCATCCTTTTCGATTTCTGCTCTCCAATGACAAGATTCCTTTTCGATGATGGCCAAGCCGACGGTCACTACTACTCGAATTTTCCTTTAACTTGACAACGGCTGCTGAAGATGACCTCTACCAACCCTGTAGTGAACCCCTATGCAAAGAAATCAAACAGAAATCCTCCTCACAATGGAGGAATGGGGAGACAGAGTCAGCAGCGAAATCCTCTTCAGAAGAGGACTCACCTCTTGAGTGCCAGCAACAGCAACAAGAAGAGGAAAAGGGAGAGCAACAAACTTTGCATGGAGAGGTTGCATTTGACCCTGTCAAAGACTGCAAACAGTGTAAGTCGCAAGCGCTGAGAAAGGCTGGATATCCGGTGCCAGCGTACAAGAAAGCACACCACAATCTGTGTCCCAGGAACACAAAGACCAAAGGTTTGGTGGAGATATCAAAACGGAACTTGGAGATGATGGCTGAGGAGAAGAGACTCCAAGAGCACTTCAGTCAACCTCTGCAACAACATGAGAAACCAAGTTCCACCAACATGAGCCAGGAAGCCGTGAGCGAATTCTTCAAAGCCAGGCCAGGGACAGCTCCAAAAAAAAAAGCGCCACCCAAACAATCAACTGCAAGTTGCTCTGTCAGCCCACATAGTCTCTACAGCACTGTCACTGCATTAGTGGGTAATCATGAATTCTGTGAAAAGCACAAATCCAAGGAACCTCCATTGGCAATGATGGCATTTGCAGAAGAGATGGCAAAACATGTCAGGAAAGACGACGTTTTCCGAACCCACTTTGAAGGCATCACTATGACTGTACCAGAAGTGCACCACAGCGAAGGAGTCATCAATCCACACTACCACTCCATCGTTGGGCAGAAACTGCTACTGGTGAACTGGTACAGGTTTGGTCTTCAGCACGTACCCTGTCCTGACAGCCAATGCGGTGGGAAGCTCCTCAATAAGCGAACCAACTTCTCACACAACAAGACACTCTTTCCCATCTTTGGACTCGATGGTTCACCTGCTTGGTGCATGGTTCAAAACATGGGCTGTGAGAAGTGCAAACGAACATTTCATTCGAACCATACAGAGGTACTGGTCTCCATTCCCGCTTACGCAGCATACAACTATCCAGTTGACTCTAGATATGCCCTTCGAGCTGCTGACAGTCACCTTTCTAGAACGGCTACTGAAGTCTTTTCATCACTGATGGTGACCTATGGCAATGGAGAGTTATGTGCAAAGATGATGTACAATGCCATTAACCGAGAGTACCTCAATCGAGTGACATCCTACTATTCTCTCTGCAAAGCGCACAACAGCCCCAGCAAAGCCATCAACCCGTACATCTCCAAAGATGGGGAGTACATCCGGTGTTATCCGCCGCTTGGAGAGACGATTCGCAAGTTCTTCGATCAAGCCGCAGACAACAGATTCACTCCGTGGGGATTGTCAGATCATGATCGACACACCCGTGAGATGCAGGCTGTTGCGTGTACAGGAATCTTCTCACAAGACCATACGTTTCAGGTTGTCAAAAACTATGGAAAAATTGGAGCTGCTGCTATGTGGGATGTTGGAACAGAAACTGGTGAGGTAGCATGTGCTATTTTGGTTCCAACCACACAAACAATCCACTTCTCCCATGCTGCAATTCAGCTGTCGAGGAGGCAACACTTCTCACCTAGCGCGATGTACAGTGACACATGGCCGAACAAGAAGGAGTTCTGGGAGAGTATCTTCCCCGAAATCCAAGGCAAACTTGGACTGTTCCACTTTGAAAAGAGGATCATTTCCACTCTCAAGAAAGGCCACATTGACTACATGGATGCAATCGCAGATCTCCTTGCGTGCTTGTATGAGTATGACCCGACAGATTATAAGAGACTGATCACAGCCCTCAAGAATGGAACACTTGCGTCGGATGGCAAGTGCTACAGTGGTGACGAAATCAGTGCAATGAAGTCCACCAAACTCTTTCGAGATCGATACGGAAAGCACCTACGGAAAAGAATGAAAGCACCAAATACAATCGTTCAAGGGTTAGATGACTGGTTCAATCAGTACAAGTGCTCGACTTCTGATCCAACCAATCGGCCTGCCAGGGGAAGAATTGATCCAGTGAAAAAGATCACTCTGTTCACGGCAGACACCAAAAGGGCAATTCAAAATTGCCAAGAGAAGGCTCCACACTTGAGTGATCCAATGCCTTTGGAAGAAATGTATGACACAATTCAACCCGCAGCCAACTCGAAGCACCAGCTTCCCGTGTATCTATCGAAAAGGGGAGAATCGAAGTTAGAAGCGTTCCATGACAGGCTAGCACACTTCGCAAATGGTGGAATGAGACGTTCACTTGCTGACAACCTCAACCTCGCTGGAACGTGTCGATACAACCTCAAAATTCGGCACAAGAGAGCTCTCATTGCGCTAGGACGTGATGATGACCGACCGATTCCTTTTGGATGGGAGACTGTTGTTGCTTACTTTAACCACAGCAAGCTCTGGTTTGTCAACCATTTAGCTTCGGTGTGTGGCATTCCACAACAAAAGATTCCTTTTCCTAAAGCAGAGCGATTGTCCCAAGATAATGGTGAGCGATTCTTCTCCGAATATCTCTTCACAGTCAAGCCGCGATTCCAAAAATACACTCCACTGGACCGATGCCTGTGCCAATTCTGTGAGCGACCATCCCACTTACCGGCATCTCCAGCACCACCAACGCCACAGCAACCACCATCGCCACAACCACCAAAATCGCCAGAACAACACAACAACAACAACAACAACAACAACAACAACAACAACAACAACAACAACAACAACAACAACAACAACAACAACAACAACACAACAACAACAACAACAACAACAACAACAACAAACAACACAACAACAAAAAAAAAAAACACAACAACACAACAACAAACAAACAACAACCGTCACCTGCTGCTACTACTGGTACTCGTACATTGCAAACGGATACCCTGTCAACAGTCAATACAAACCACTTAAGTAATCAGAATCGCCCCCAACAGCAACAGCCGATTCAAATGCCACCGCTGCTTCCCAGAGTACCATTGCCAACCAACTACCAACAGATAGCGCAATGGCAATGGCAATGGTGCTTGCCACATTGTGCACCATTCCCACCAATGTATCGGCCTCCGCGAGGAGGCTGTTGTCTGCGATTTCGTGAGTGGAAGACACATCGAACGGGAAGACCACCACACAATGCTCATTGTCGGTATCGGATGAGTGGATATGATTAGTAGCAATAACCAACTAGTAGCGATCCATTACCTCATCAAATTAGGGAGGGTGAAGAAATATTGGGATTAGGAAAGGAAAAACCAGAAAAAACAACGCAGGATCATGACAGGCCTGCTCTACCATTTGAATTCGCTATAACGTACCTCTGTTGATGTATTTTCTGACACATTGAATACCGTAAACAGCTTTTGGTGGGGGGAATGACCAATTTGCTTAGAGTAAGAATACGTTTCTTGCCTTACCCCCCATTTTGTATAAGTAAAAGGTCATTTGAATCTCCAACTGACTGACTGGCAGGTCGTTCGAGCATGCCGAACTCCCGGAATGAGGAATGTGAACCCTCTCCCTTTTTTCTCTTTTCTCCCCTCCCCCCCCTCCACCCAGCCTTACCCCCCTAAAATGTCCCTTTATCCGTGCATCCACCAACAGGCACTCCACCAATCCAACGCAAGACTTTTTCCAACATAACCCCTCCATCCAATTACCAAATGCATTTGAAAGGCACTAGAACCTACTTGGAACCCCGTGTGGGGCTCAACCATGTGGTAGAGGTGATTCTAAATGTCCGTCGAGTTGATGTAGACTGGTTCAACGCCAATGGTGAGGCCCATTTTCAAGAGATACTCCATCTCTTGTCGGAAACCATGGTCCCTCGCCAATGCTATACAGAAGTGGAGGAATATTATCACAAAAAGGAACCTCATCGGTTTCCCAAGGACGACGAGGAGAAGATTGGAGAAAAGAATACTACAAGTAAAAAGAAACAGGCCAATACTAAGAAGAGAAAGCGTGCTACCAAAAAGAAACAAACTGCTGTGGTGGGACAACAACAGTCCGAGGAAGAAGAAAAGCAAGTAAAGGTGAAAGATCTCTACTATGCTTTTGGAGAAAACCTTTACTTGGCATATCGGACCGAAGAAATCAACGTGTACAAAGGAGCTACTCTAGTCATCAAGCCAAATAATCGTGATGATGATGACAGCAAAAAGAAAAAGGATGACAAGATTGGGACGGGAGGATATAGAATGCTCAGCAAGCTATCCAAAAGATTTGTGGTCTGGTGCTTCAAAACAGATCCCAACAATCCATCGGCCTCAGATCCACCTGATGCTGGATATCTTGGTACGTGTTCTATCTCAAACAACTAATGCTTTTACTTTGTACTCTGACCCGGATAGCGTCTCATCGCTTACTTGGCAACGAACGACCTGCAGAACCAGAAGCTGTTCCCATTGCCAACCTCTTCCGGGCTCCACCAGATGAAGATGAGGAGGTTGAGAAGAAACCAAAGGCTAGAGCCAGGAAAAGTCGTAGAAAGAAGTAGACCAGATAGTACAGAGAGTATCCCTTCTTTCATTTATCTAATTGTGGTGGCTACGCTAACACTGTGGTCTTTTCTCTTGATTCCATGGTCATGCTTGTTTGTTTGTTGTCGAGACTATCCCATTTTTCACTGTATCTGGTACATGTAGCAGCAGCACTCATCGTTTATTGTTTAATTGTCGTGGATGATGATGATCCCCAAATGTTGGGGACCACATCGTTTTCTCGCAAATACATGGAAAAGGCCGATTCTCGCTTGTCACTGGTGTACTCGAGCGGATCGTAGTCCAAAATCTCATCGGGAAAGGCTTCCTTGGCCACTTCGGCACCTCGTCCTCGTTCCCGTGGATCTTCCACCAAGGCATCGTACGCCCGCGCAAACCCTCGGCGCAATCCTTCAAAGATTTCTAATCGTGCCGTTTCCAACTTGGTCACTTCCGACGATCCCGGTGGCAATGCCATGGTCAAAATGTGCGGCTCTGCGGTGGACCTGTAATCGCGTGTACTGTTGGCATGCTGATTCAAATACAAGACATCTTCGGAGTAGACCTTTTTGTGCATTTGCGCCCTGAGGTACTTGTAGATCTTGGGCAACCAGTTCTTGCGCAACAGGAATCGTTTGAAAATGAGTTTTTCAAAAAAGCTACCCTTGCCGGAAACGTCCGTACCATCCGGTCGCGACCGGATCGTCACCACGTGCGTGGCTCCTTCTCGAATGGCCGCTCGAAAGGGGAGTGGTTCGTACAGGAGTGAGTCTGCCAAAGGTTCCATACAGTCATCCTTGAGATTGTTGCCGACAATAACCTTTTGTCCCGTTTGATTGGTGGCCACGGCCGTGCGATTCAAGTTCATCATGGGTCCGGCCAATCCTGGTAACAAACAAGAGGCATGCATGCACGAGGACAGTTCATCCAATGTCTCAAAGGATCCATTGGCCATGTCCATAATGATGGCCTTTTCCGATTTGAGTCCGGACGCTACAACCTTGAGTGGTTGTACCTTTTGCATTTCGACAAACTTGTTCCAGTCCAGTGGTTTGTTTTCCTGAAGTGTCCTTTTGAGCAGATAGGATAGGTTGAGGACTGGTTTGCCTTCTTCGGGACGCGTCAAGACATCTTTGACGAGACGTGGATCGAGCAATCCAAGTCCCAGACACCGCAAGAGACGTCGGGTATCGATAAACTGTCGTCCGGCCGTTGTCAAGGCATCATAGTAGACTTCGGGACCAAACCAGGGCAATTGACGCGTAATGAGATAGGAGCCCACAATGGAACCAGCCGAGGATCCGTAAATGACATCAAATGCATCGGACAGATTCAAGTAGTGAATGGCGGATACCATTCCCGCGCTGACACAGCCGCGCATGCCACCTCCTTCAATGGCCAAGGCAATCTTGAAATTGTCGGGTCGGGTGGTAGCATTGGGCTGAGAGTGGGTACGTCGTCGTTCGTGCAAGAGTTGTGCCACGGGATGCACATAGTCCAAGTCCTCCGTGGATCCAATGTGTTGTGTATCGCCTTGCACATAGAGGGAATTCAAGAGCGGCTGATAGTCAATGTCTCCCTTGTCATCTCGAAATCGGCGTTCTTTGTCTTGGAAATAATCATTCAGATCTTGTACAGTCGATATATTGTATTGAGTAGGACTAGTAGCTGGCTCGGTAGATGTTCGTGTGGCCACCTTGGCTACAGCTGCTTGCTTCTCTTCGTTCTTCTTCTTTATAGCAGATGCAGTGGATGTAAAGCCAAAGGAGTTGAGGAATCGGACTCGACGACTGACACGTGGAGTTGTGCTGGGGCTGCTGTTGCCATTGGCAGTTGGCATGTCATGTGGGACCACCGACATGAACAAGTTGGGTTGGTTGGCAGGCCATCGGATGCTCTTGGTTGTACCCGGAACAAAAGCTACCACCAACGCTGGTATACCCCATAAAAGAGCCAAAATCCAGCATTGGATATTTCTTATGCCATGGTTAGCCTTGACGGAACATCCTCTTGGTACCGCAGCATTGGACGAAGAAGTTGACAAAAAGATCCCCATGGTAAGGGGATATTATACTGTAGAGAGAATGTAGAGGTTTGAAAGAACAAAAATAGTAGCCGAAAAGTTAGTGGATATCAGTGAGCTTGCCAGCAAGTAGACCAGTTTCGCTCATTCATTCATCATTCGATCGATTGCTCACTCCCACGTAGCCAACTGTGGGCCTCTTTTATTGGTCGTCCTCGGAACCTGGGAACAGCAGAGACAAATTCAAGGTTGGTGGCATCATCGTCTCTCTTGATTGAAGAAAGTGATGACGAAGATTGTTGATCCGTGGCAGTATCAGTCACGAGATTCCACAAGTCGTGGTAAGTTCGTGATTGACTGTGGGACTACTAGTACTTTTTTGGTGTTGGCCAACTTTGTCGGCTTCCAAAATTCTTTGAAAGATCTTTCGCAGGACTTGACTGCCTCTTGCCTCTTGTTGTGGTCTGGTCACCTTTCCAAGCGACCCGAAGGCTGGTGTCTTGACGCTTCTATCTATTTACCATTCTCGAATCCCAATCGACTTCTTGACAGGACAGTGGGTTGATTCAAAGCAACTTCCAACCAAGAGAAAAGCAAGCAAACAGATCTGGAGATAGTTAGTGCTTAGTTAGCTAGAGCTAGTACCCATGAGCAACAACAACAATCTGTATCAAGCCGGTCACAACATGTCCGGATACCTGTACGAAGAAGAATACATGTCGTGCCCGGCCTTTTGGTTTGGCACCTACCATGTTCGCATCACGCCAGAGGAACTGAATTTTGGATATACACTGGGATGTGCGCAAAAGACGGTGAATATCTCCGAGATTCGAAAAGTGACCGTCCTGGAATGGCAAGACCCCTTGTGCAACTGGGGTGGCTGGGGTATTCGTTGGATGATGTGAGTTGATCATTAAATGATACGCGTGGAGTGCTTTTGCTGTGGTAACATTTGTATTCTCAACGATGATCGGTTCCTTCTCGGATACCCCTACCATTATCTATCTTGCTTCTTGGATACCCCTGCTATTTCTTGGATTTTCTGTTTTATAAACAGCTACCCCCATCGTGAGGTTGGCTACGTGCCCCGCAATGGTCCTGCCATTCGCTTGGAGATTCCTGCCAAAGATGGATCGGAGTACAATGAAATTTATGTGTTTATCTGCAGTGATCCCGAAAAGGTCAAACAGATGCTCATGAATCCCAGTGGCAAGGCGGCTCCACCCGGCAAGGATGATGCTCCCCACAACATGTACCAAGCCGGCAATAATGATCCTTGAACACCCTCCTGCCTCTCGCTGTGATGATTGTGATGATTGATGAGCCAACAATATACAACCCCAACTATTACTACTACTATCTAGAACAATAAGCAGCATGAGCAGTGTGCCTTGCTGTCTGTCGTTTGCCAGGCAAACCTGTAAACTAACGAATATTACTACCTATTGAATTATGTTACTTGATTGCTGTATTCTAGTTTCTAGCACTAATAGTTAGTAGGTAGCTGTATCCAACTTATGAAAATGTCTGCGAATGGCAGTGACAACCTCTGCAATGGCGGGCTACGCTACCGGTATCTGGTGACTAAACCTGCAGCCATCGAACCGATTGAACCATTCGATGACTGGTACCGTACCGCGACCAATTCGAAGAAGTGGGCAGCCTAATAGTATTCGGATGAAGAAGGCAATCTCTTAAAAATTGGAAACAAAATCGAAGTTGATCCTTCAGATCAGTTCTCGTCTTCACCACGGTTTCCCCCGTTCCGCTTCGTGTTCATCTGGTGGTGGTGGCAAAGCCCGACTTCCATCGACATTGAGTGTTGGTTTGACGGGTTCGGCATCTTGCAATAATAGTAATTGTCGTTGTCGTTCTTGAAATCGTACTTCGGCCAATCCCACCGCCACCATGAGAGGGGCCATAAGGACAATGCCTCGCAACGGCTTTTGAATGTACAAGAATCCCAACACGGATCCACCAGAGATACCACCCAGGGCATGGGATGCCAAAATGAGGGCATTTTTTTGTTCCTGGGTTTTCGGAGGCCAGGCCGTTCTCGCCAAGACACCGTACGCCAATTGTTGTGTCGCCACACCCGCGGTAGCCGTCAATGCCCACGATCGGGCCATGCTGTTGGCCAGGGTAGCAATCGAATGACCGCGGTGAACGGCGAGACAGCCACCCGCCAATCCCCCCATGGCAGTGGCCAGAATGACCCGTTTCCCCATGTAATCGAGAGAATCGTTAATGGCAGATTCCATGGCCATGGTCAATTTATTTTGTGGAGATGGTGGCAAAGGAAAATGAGGGGTTGAGGGGTTGAGGTTGCCAAGTCCCCTCCAGGGTTAGGGGGATTAAAAAAAATCGATGGATGACCCATCGAATGGGATCAACAGAAAAGGGATATCGAAGTCGGGTTTACGCATAGATCTACTAGCTACTGGTACTGTAGCTAGCTGCATACTCTTTTATGTCTACTATGGTACCCAACTACTAAAACTGGTTGCACTCCTCGCAAGGACCTTCACAATACCGGTACCGGTATCGATATGGTTGTGGTTGTGGTGCTGTCAAGTGCTGAGCAATGTCATCATGATGAGGGGAAGATGCTGACAAGTAGGCAACAGGCAAGCTTGGTGGCCAACGTCGGAACTATCAGGTCTCTGCCTTGTTAGCTACTCGAGTAACACATTACGATAAAGGTTAACTTTACTAGCTAGTACAAAAGCATTTTCCAATGCACGCTGCCGGTGGAGCAGCGGAATGAAACACCCCATGTCCCACACTCCTTCCCATTCCGGAAGCCTATGAGTGACAGTCTGGTTGGCTATCTCACGTTCCAATCTTGTTGTACATCCATGAATAGACTGTCTGACATGGAAATTGGATTGCACCCTCTGTGGGCATCATCGTTGACAAAGCAGTGAACTTGCTATTCTTCTCGGCTTGAGGCTTGCACCTTTTGCCTCTTGTCCTTGAAGGCAGGAAGCGATCTTTGCAATCACTCGGTTGGATTTAGAGGCCACAATCCGGATTTAATCACAGGTAACAATGGACATAATGGCAAGTTAAGGATTTATTGATATTTCCTGCGGGGTGGATTTATTGACTTCATTCCCAGACTTGTATAAATTTGAACGCGCGACTTTTTCGCGCGGTGGGTATCGTATCTTGAGGCCCTGCCGGAAGCGATCTTTTCGATCAAGTTGCCAGAACAACGATCAAGGCAAATGCCAATGAATAATGAATGGATACAGTACGTGCTTTACTATCACTCCAACTAAAGAAAGATATCCGAAGCCTTGTTGGGTCCATCAGTTCTGTACAAAACAGGATTGAGAGAACCAACGCACTCACCACTTTATAAAGACTTGACTGCCCTTCTTTATTTCAGTTCTTTCAGCTAGCTTGGTCTTGCTACTAAACTGTGATTGATTGTCGCTTCGGGTTCTGTTATTTTGATACTACAGCCTTCGGTTGGATCTGCACTGGCGCCACTGCCTTGTCAAGAGGAGATGTTAGTTGTATCCTCTTCTCATAAAATCCAAACGACAAACAAGAAAGCTACCCCTACCCTTGCCAACTTATTTTCTACCCCGTTGGGTTTGACCGTTTTGCTACAAACCATCTTGATCAGCTCCTGCTTCGCCATGACGAACCCCATGCCCCATGAAGTCGCCAAATTGGTCCCTGCCAAGGGGAACATTAATGGCAATACCATGGATGCCTACAAAAAGGATTATGAGACCAGCATGGAAAAGAATGATGAATTCTGGTCTGCCAAAGCCACCGAAATCTTGGATTGGATGTCACCCTTTACCAAGGTCTGCCAGGGCAGTTTTGAACGAGGTGATATTGCCTGGTTCGTTGGAGGTAAATTAAACCTTTGCTACAATGCCATTGATCGTCACGTCTTGAATGGAAAGGGCGATCAGGTCGGAATGATTTGGGAAGGTGATGAACCCAATGATACTCGCCAGATCACATACCAAGAAATGCTCAATGAAGTCAGTCAAATTACCAATGCCCTCAAAAGTCAAGGAGTCCGCAAGGGGGATGTCGTCACCATTTACATGCCCATGATCCCCGAATTGGCCTTTACCATGTTGGCTTGTGCTCGCATGGGAGCCGTGCATTCCGTCGTTTTCGCCGGATTCTCCAGTGAAGCCCTGGCCCAACGTGTTTCGGCGGCTCAATCCAAGTTTGTTGTGACGGCCGATAAGGGAAAACGAGGTGGAAAAGATATCCCTCTCAAAAAGATTGTCCATGATGCCATTAACAAAATGGATTGCCAAGAAATTGTTGAAAAAGTTCTCGTCTGGGAACGTTTCTACGATCCAGCATCCACCGAAGCACCCTTCGAAATGGATCCCAAGGATGTCCGAATGAACCCATTGGTCGCTGTCCAACGTCCCTACTGTCCTCCAGAAGTCATGGATGCCGAGGATAATTTGTTCTTGCTGTACACAAGTGGTTCCACAGGAAAACCCAAGGGATTGGTCCACACCACCGGTGGATATTCGCTCTACGCGGCCTACACTACCAAAACTACGTTTGATATCAACGAAGGAGATATTTTCGCCTGTGTTGCCGATTGTGGATGGATTACAGGACATACCTACGTTGTCTATGGACCTCTTTTGTTGGGTAGTACCACCTTTCTCTTTGAGAGTACACCTGTCTACCCCGACCCCGGCCGTTATTGGGATATGATCCAACGCCACAAGATTACCCAATTCTACACGGCTCCTACCGCCATTCGTCTCTTGATGCGCTATGGGGATGAAATCCCTTCCAAGTACGATGTATCCTGTGTCCGAGTCTTGGGTACCGTTGGAGAACCGATCAATCCCGAAGCTTGGAGGTGGTACTACGAAGTGGTCGGCAAGGAAAAATGCACTATCGTCGACACGTACTGGCAGACCGAAACGGGTGGACACATTATCACCAACTTGCCCGGTGTGACGGACATGAAACCGGGATCTTGTACCTTGCCCGTGCCGGGTATTGATGCCGTTGTCTTGAGTGCCATTGATGGACATCCATTGACCGATGCCGATAAGGATGAAAATGGCAACTTGGAGGGTGTCATGGCCATTCGCCGACCCTGGCCTGGCATGGCCCGAACCTGTTTGGGTGATCATGAACGTTACTTGACCACCTATTTCAAGCCGTACCCTGGATACTACTTTACGGGAGATTCCGTATTGAAGGACAAGGATGGATACCATTGGATCATTGGACGTGTGGATGATGTTATCAATGTCAGTGGTCATCGTATTGGTACTGCCGAAGTCGAGTCGGCATTGGTGGCCCACCCTGCTGTGGCACAGGCTGCAGTTGTGGGAGAACCGCACGATATCAAGGGACAGTCCATCTGCGCCTTTTGCATGCTCACCGTCGGGTACGATGAAAGTCCAGAATTGCTCAAGGAACTCAAAATGGCCGTTCGAACGGGAGTTGGAGCCTTTGCGTCGCCGGATCACATTGTCATCTCGCCCAGTTTGCCCATGACTCGATCTGGTAAGATTATGCGTCGTATCCTCCGAAAGATTGTGAGCAACGAAGCCGACTCGTTGGGAGACACGAGTACATTGGCCGATCCATCCATTGTGGATACTTTGATTGCCAAGTTTGCGGAGCTCAAAAAGTAAACAACATTACGTACAATGATGCAGAGCTTGGATCTGTTGTGTGGGTTCGTTTCATGAATGCATGAGGTGCATACGATTTTAGCAAAGAGTGACTGACTTTTAATTCGAGTAAATGCATGGGAAAAAGAAAGCTTGTAATGAATTGCGAGAAATCCTTCATGTTTGTGGTGTTACGGCGCATGCTTGCAACCTGAATACAGTACTAGTACTGTATGGACGGAACAATCAATCCTAGCCTGAGTAGACTAACAAATTTCAGCATGTTGCGTTAATTAAATACATTTTTGTTATACGATAGCTGTACCGGTTGTTGCTGCCGCTCACGTAGATACGGGTACATAGCACACATGGCAAGGAAGACATCTCGCGACCATGTAGTGGGAAGTCTAGTGACTGATTATGGGTCGGCAAAGGGAAAGACGATCTTCGTAAACTTGACTGACTTGGAATCCCCCTCCGTCAACCCAAGCTCTTTCATGGCCGACATTATCTTCAGAAAGCCAGTCGAGGATGGATGCTTGTAGTGGGCGGCCTCCAGAAGCTCCGCCTTGCTGTGCATTTGGCCATCCAGCAGGATATCAAACACGATATCTAGCTTGTCGGAAGGAACACCTTTCTTCTGTTTCACAAGTTCTTTGATACGGGCTTGAATCTCACGGTTGTCTCTTGGTGGGTCGACGTCAGGTCCAGCCTCGATTCCAGCTTCGGTCAGCCGAACGATCCCCTTCGACACCTGGATGCGGTTTGCCTTACGGTGGTGAGATTTCGCTTTGAGATAGCCGGTGCTAGCTGTGTTCTTGTAGCCCACCATCAGCACGAGCAACTTCTCGGGGATATCTTCGGTTCGCAACACGAGTCGTAGCTCCATCATGACTCGTAAAAAGTCTTCATTCACCTGTTGCTGTGACCTTCGTGGGGCTGACGGGGGCATGGCTTTGATGGTTGCTTCTTGAAACGCAATGTACTGTAGCAGTCTGGCGAGAAAAAGGAAGTGATGTTGTCAATCCCCCAAATGACAATTATGCGATCGTTTCTTGGAGATGCCCACTTCAGCCAGGATAGCGAAGTGTTGCCAGACAGTGACACTGATGTTCATTCCCGTGGTTGGCATGCTTCCAGCAAAGTTTGCGTCCTTTCCTCGGACAAGAAACAACTCCAACGCCAACCAAAGGAGTGCTTCGCTGGTACCTAACCTACATCGCGCACAATACTTCTTGGTGTTTCCACGCCGGTGCGCTACGTAGAAAAGCTACTTGATCTACACAGCGAGGAAGTAACCGTTTGTGTTCACTTTTCGGTGGCTTGAAGTTTGTGTCTCTTTTTCAGAATGGGAACCAAACTGTTGGAAGAGCACCGCCTCCATGCGACGAAAGAGCCTATGCACTGTCTGGACACTCATGTGCTGCGTCCTGGCTTGGACTGCAAGCTCTGGCGTCCCGCTGCCGTTACTTCAAATCTTCGGTATGGCCGCATTTTCCCTCACTATTCAGCGAGGAAACTCTGAGCATACCAACGGCACATCTAGCTAATCCACACCACGCCAAAGTATATTGTCATCTTCAATTCGACTCGATGCGCTTCATCCCAACCATGCCGAACCCAGGCCGTCGCCATTCACAACAACGATCATTGGAGGTGGAGGATCTCATTCTCCTTACCCTTGCTGAGCTGCATGCAGCCGGCATGGAAGAAGTCCCCAAAGCCTATCTACAGCAGTTGATTCGCGAAACACTGGAAACGATGGCCGACCGTCGTATCCGTCACCACAATGGATGACTTGGATCCAACAAAGAGCATGCTATGAGGATCATCAGACCTTCGAAAATCCATGAAGAATTCCTCTGCAACCAAGCCAATCCAGTCCTGATACAAAAACTTTGATATCTATAGCCTCAACTTATCTTCTACCTTACTTGGCTCCGTTCTGTAGCTCACAAGACAGTTTGAGTTTCACCACCACCAGTACACTTCAGCCCTCTTGTTGCTAGTTTCGTCTGATGTGCATTTTTCTGGGCTCGCAGGATTCTTTCCTTCATGAATGTCTGGAATGTTTTCTTCAGAGATGTACCTCAAAAGCTTCTTGTGGTCTTTTGCATTATCCTTGGGATAGACAATATCAAACTTGGACCTGACTCGTTTTGGGAAAAACGGACTAAATGTTTTCCAGATGACACCAATGAGAGTGGGTGCATTGCAGACAAATATGCATTCAGTCATCTGGGGGTAACAATCTTCCATCAATGCCATGAATCGCGCGTCTCTGCGTGTGCATTCCATGTTGAGTCCACCCAAGGAAAGTCCTCTGCAGTCTGCAAATCGGATGAGTTTTGTTAGCCTTCCTGTTGTTCTAGTCACATAGTCAAGGCACTGGAAAGAATATTCATCAAGATACAAAAGTGCTGGCAGCCAATAATCTTCAGAAAGTTTCTCCACCAGAACATTTTGATCCCGGGCTTCCACTGCAATGAACACAATAACACCTCGTTTTGGATCGGGATGGTAACAGACAATGCCATCTTTTCTCTTCCAAGCAGCGTTGTATTCTGCCAATTTGCCATCCTTTACCTCCTGTGGAGGCATCTTACGAATATCCAACTCATCAAGATGGTACTTCTTCCTGAACTCTAAGGTATGCTTGGCAGCTTCAATGGCAGCCTTGCTCTTCTTGTGAGACAACCAAAAACGTAGAATCCACAAGTCATCATGCTTCTTGGGATTGTAGAGAGGATCATCTTCCAATGCTGTCTTGATTTTGTCAATCTTCTCAGAATGCTTTAGGATCAGCGCCTTCACTGCTGGTCGATCATCTTCAGTGCATACAGGTTCAACTGGGTCGGCTATGGCCACCTCAACTCCTTTCATCCATGGCCAGGAAGTCATGGTTTGGTTTGCACCAAATGAAGTGAGAAATTGTGTGATGTGAGAATCAATCGAATGTTCCATCTGTTGGCTTTTTGGCTAAGGCATGTCCGGTACCACAGTCGTACACGAACACAGGTTCAGGCGTCCCGAACCCCCGAACCCCCGACACCCAAATCGCACCACTTTTATCCGCGACGACTTTCTTTAGAGGGTCGGTGAGTTTCTATTAATTAATATTTTAACAAATAAGTCTCCGTGTCACATAGCGCTTTATCCATGTTCGTATTTTAAAAGGGATGGTTCACTCTGCTTCCCAGCCCTGTTTTATTTCTGTTAACGACGCAAAGCCTGTCCATGCAGAGTACGACCTGTTCTGCTACCGGTACGCGATTAGATCGAGAAAAGTCTTGGAGTAAGGAGTAAGGATCACCAACGTCAAGGCCCGACAATGCTGAATGGAACTTCTGCTGCACCGCCATGATGACGGCAGTGACAATGACGGAGTTATCTATGGAGTTGCTGGTCATCATGGCCAAGTTTTTAACCGTGGATGGAATCATTCGACAATCAAGAACGCTAGTGATATGCACCGGAGGAGCTTATAGATATCCAAAGATGACCCCAAGATGGCTCTGCAATCTTCTCATTCAGTTCCGATTCATCCAGCAAAGATTGGTATGCCAACTGCTAGCTACTACCACTCAATTTCCTGTTCTTGGAAGAAATGCTTTCCAGTTACAAACTTGTCCCTGGTTATCGTCGCCAGCAAATATGGTGTCACGGCCCCTCTTTCTGCTGGCAATACGCCTTGATTGTTGTTCTGATCCGTGGCACAAAACCCCGGATCGACCGAGTTTATCATGATACTGTCCACGTAGTCTCGTGCCATTAATTTGGTCATGGCAATGATCCCCAGTTTGCTCATGCCATAGCATGTATTGGGCCATCCTTTGGAGGCATGCACTCCTGCTTCCACATCCTGCACGAATTGTTGCAAGAGAGATTCCAGCTCAGTCAATTGCAGTTTGGGGCTTGTAAAGGCTTCTACCAAGTCTTGATTATTTTTCAAGATGGCCAATCGCCCGGCTGCACTGGCAATGTTGATGATTCGGGGAGGATAGTCAGACTGCTGTAGCAGTGGCAACATGGTCTGTGTCACTTGGAGCGTTCCGAAAAAGTTGGTTCTGATGGAAATGTCTGCTTGCTGTTCAAATGGTGTATGTGGAACCTTTTTTGTTGTTGACAAATTCCAAGTGAGATCAGAGGTGGCACAATAAGCACATCAAAACAAAGCACTTCTGCGGGTTACCTTGCCATACAGGGTAGGATCGTTGAAACAAATGGCAGCATTGTTGATGAGCACATCAAGCCGCCCCTGCTGCTGTTCCACCATTTCTTTGGCACGAGCAATGCTGGTAGGGTCTGTTAGGTCTAATGGGCAGCAGACAATGCTAGTCTTCTGGTTCTTCTCATCCAAGTCCTTCATTAGATCCTGTACGGCTTGGTTTCCTCGTGATTCATCTCGACTTCCCAAAAAGATAACCCAGTCCTGTTCATCATTGGCCAGAAGACGTACAATCTCTCTTCCAATGCCTTTATTGCTCCCGCTGACGAGAGCCACTCGAGGTTTGGAAGAAGCTGCCGCGAGAGCCAAACAGCCCCGAGAAGACAGCAGTAATGACAGGCCCAGGAAGCACATCAAGTGCTCACGTCGCATAGACCATGATGGATTCCGAGGGGGGTATCTCTTTGGTGCCATCATGGTGATTGGGAATCTCGAATATTACAGTTGGGAGTAACAGGCAACTTCACAAACAAACACTGTCGTGAGATGGATGTGAAAGCTAGCTGGAAAGGCAGGTTTGTTGGGTTGGGGGTTGGATATTACCGGTAATTGTATCAGATCAGTGCCGTTCCTAACCCTAATGGTACCACAAGTTCGACCAGTTCGCAAGGCTTCTCTGTAAATGTACCGGTGTGCATGCCTAACGGTACATGTTTAAATGTACTAGTACTTTACCGTACTCGTACCTACCAGTACAAGTCTGAGTGAGCAAGACGTGGCACGCGGAAATGCTGCTCAAGAGCAACAAAACTGGCTGCAGCAAAACACCACCATAAGACCACCATAAGAAAAGAAACAAAGAGGAGATGACTTCCTGGCCTTGGATGAAAGGAATTGAGGTGGCTATAGCCGATCCAATTGATCCTATTTGCCCCGAAGATGAACGACCATCGGTCAAGGAATTGATTGTCAAGCACTCGGAGAAGATTGCCAAAATCAAGGCTGCATTGGCAGATGATCCTCTCTATGATCCCAACAAGCATGATGACTTGTGGATCCTTCGATTTTGGTTGTCTCACAAAAAGAGCAAGTCTGCTATTGAAGCTGCCAAATACACTCTAGAATTTCGAAAGAAGCATAATCTGGATGAATTGGATATTCGAGACCTGCCCCCACAACATGTGAAGGATGGAAAGTTGGGAGAATTTAAGACTGCTTGGAAGAGAGACGATGCGGTGGTCTTTTTCCAACCTGATCCTAAAAGAGGTGTCGTTGCATTTCTTACATTGGACCTCTTGGATCAACATGCTATGGTGGAGAAGTTCACAGAAGATTATTGGTTGACCTCATTCTTGTATCCTGATGAGTATTCCTTCCAGTGTCTGGACTATGCGACCAGGACGACAGGCAGGTTGACAAAAACCGTCCGATTTGTTGATTGCCGTGGGCTTACCTTGGGTGGATTTAGTTCAGAGTGCAGCCGCAGAGATGGGCGAACCATGGCATTATTGGAAAATTGTTACCCCCAGATGCTAGAAACTATCTTTGCCTGCAATGCACCCAGTCTCATTGGAGCCTTCTGGAAGCTCTTCAGTGTTGTGGCTCCCAAACGTGTTGTGGCCAAGTTTGATATTGTTTATCCCAAAGAAAACCCAAAAGACCTGAAAAAAGTCTTGAAGCACATTTCTGAACAAAATCTGCCAGACTTTTATGGGGGCAAGAATCCCGTGAGTCCAGATAAGTGGGCATCAGAGGTAACCAGTGACGACACTAGGGCTGATGTATACTGGTGGTGGTAACATTCAAATTGAGGTGTTGAGTCACAGCACGGGTACTGGTACGGAACTAAGCTACTGTAGATAGTACGGTAACTGGAATCTACCATGCAGAGGAATCACAGTTTTGCTCCTAGCTCAGGTACTCCCAATCAAACCCAGAACAGCTCCCAGAACTGAAATTGAGGAGCACCCTCTCGCTTCTCTGCTGGTAGCCCCACACAGCACTATCTAGCTAGGGGGATGGGCAAATCTTGCTAGCGCGGTACCGGTAGTGTACTCAATAGGAGTGGTGAATGTAAGAAAAAGGAGATAATATATATTTTTGCAGGAAACAAGATTCAATTGGATTAGATTGCATTGGATTAGATTGGATTGGATTAATTTGGATTCAGAATAGTACTGATATTTGTATAGTAAACTGGAATTCAATGCAATCGAATCCAATCAAATCAAATCCAATAGAAAAATTGCATGCAAAATCCAATATTCGCTTTTTCACAGACACTTTTACAAGAAACACTATCAAATACAATGCAGGGCTATGGGCATGTTTGCTCATCCCCTACACGTACTGGCCGTCATCCATCTTTAGCGGCCATCTGAGGGTGGACGTTCGAGGGGCAAAGACAATCCAAATGTATTCTTCTGCCAAGTGCTCACGTCGCATAGACTTCTTTGGTGGCATCATGGTGATCAGGAAATCTAGCTAGTAGATGGGAGCAACAAGTAATTCGCCACAAACACGGCCGTCACAAGGAAGGAAGAAGGAAGGTGAGAGGAACAGATAGATCTTTGCGTGGTTTGGATCAAAGACGTAATCTACTTAACCCTAATGAGAACACAAGTCTCGATACGCGAACCAATCCTGCACCTTCTGTGCGGACCCATGTTTGGTACCAAAACACGTGTGCTACTAGTAGCTAACTAGCTTATTTATTTAATAATTTATTAGCTGGCTAGTGGAGCTAGCTAGCTAGCCAGCTAGCTCAGCCAGAGCAGAGCAGAGCGGCAAAATTTGCTGCTTCTCAAGGACCACAACAACCAGCAACAGCAAAAACAATCGTAACAACAGAAACAAAGAGGAGATGACTTCCTGGCCTTGGATGAAAGGAATTGAGGAGGCTATTGCCGATCCAATTGATCCTATTTGCCCCGAAGATGAACGACCATCGGTCAAGGAATTGATTGTCAAGCACTCGGAGAAGATTGCCAAAATCAAGGCTGCATTGGCAGATGATCCTCTCTATGATCCCAGCAAGCATGATGACTTGTGGATCCTTCGATTTTGGTTGTCTCACAAAAAGAGCAAGTCTGCTATTGAAGCTGCCAAATACACTCTAGAATTTCGAAAGAAGCATAATCTGGATGAATTGGATATTCGAGACCTGCCCCCACAACATGTGAAGGATGGAAAGTTGGGAGAATTTAAGACTGCTTGGAAGAGAGACGATGCGGTGGTCTTTTTTCAACCTGATCCTAAAAGAGGTGTCGTTGCATTTCTTACATTGGACCTCTTGGATCAACACGCTATGGTGGAGAAGTTCACAGAAGATTATTGGTTGACCTCATTCTTGTATCCTGACGAGTATTCCTTCCAGTGTCTGGACTATGCGACCAGGACGACAGGCAGGTTGACAAAAACCGTCCGATTTGTTGATTGCCGTGGGCTTACCTTGGGTGGATTTAGTTCAGAGTGCAGCCGCAGAGATGGGCGAACCATGGCATTATTGGAAAATTGTTACCCCCAGATGCTAGAAACTATCTTTGCCTGCAATGCACCCAGTCTCATTGGAGCCTTCTGGAAGCTCTTCAGTGTTGTGGCTCCCAAACGTGTTGTGGCCAAGTTTGACATTATTTATCCTAAAGAAAACCCAAAAGACCTGAAAAAAGTCTTGAAGCACATTTCTGAACAAAATCTGCCAGACTTTTATGGGGGCAAGAATCCCGTGAGTCCAGATAAGTGGGCATCAGAGGTTACCAGTGACGACACTAGGGCTGAAGTATACTGGTGGTGGTAACATTCAAATTGAGGTGTTGAGCCACAGTACTGGTACGGAAGTAAGGTAGATGGTAACTTGAATCTAATGGGTTATCACAGTTTTGCTACTCCTAATCAAACCCAGAAACATAAATTGAGGAGCGCCCTCTCACTGCCGACAGCCCTACTGTACACAGCACTGGCTAGCTAGCTACCCGTCATCTGTCTTTAGTGGCCAGCTGAAGGCGTTAGGGCGTCGCGTTGATGCCAATATCCAAAATGCATGCTTCGAAGATATGAAATGTATGGAATTAAAAAGATATAGTATTGCCTGTATTGCAGTATTGACTACCACAAATTATGCTCCGAGTGGTTCAAGTTGGGCCCCTCTGTCGCCCAATCGGGTTTGGTCCATGCCAAACTGGAATTTTCTTCTTCCTTGACAGAATCACTAATTCTGGCAATGGGTCGTTCCAATGCTTCTCCCATTTTGATGGAATCGCCCAAACCGGTTTGTTTCAAGATTGGTTTTTCCAGCCAAGCGGGAACAGAGGAGGCGGATTGTTGGGGTGGTTCGGTGGCCCTTCGACTCGCCTTCTTCTTGTTGTTGCTACTAGTGCTAGTCGTCTTTTTGGGTGGTACGGAGGCTCTTCGGGAATCTTGGATTTGGGGAAGTTTGATTTTGGGATTTTCTGCAGTAGTGTCTGCAGGTTGTCGTTGTTGTGGTTGTTGGCTCTTGATGATGGTACCTTCTTCCACTTGAGGCAAAGGCGACAGTTCGCAACTAACGGTATCATCGACTGTCACATCGTCTGGAATGCGGACAACCTTATTACTGGAAATGGCTGAAGTTGTTTCTTTTTCCCAGGTAAATAGATTGCGAAGCCTGTGCAAGACAGAAAAGAAGAGAGAGTGGTAAGGCGTATTATTGAACGATACCGTGGTGGAACGACGGTTTTGATCCACCACATCAAAGAATCTTACCGCTTCCACTGTCGCTTGATCCAACCCATCACACGAGATACCAAGCCTGGCTTTGGCTCTGGCTTATCGTCATCCTTCGCTACCGATGCCCCAGCTGCCGTCATCATTGTACTGTCGTCCTTGTCTTCATGTAATGCTTGCAGGTCAAATGTACCGGTTTGGTTGCAGGAATCCAATGGCATCGTTGCTGGGACAGGAACTCTCGCACCACTGGATCAAGGAAAAATGAGATCCCCACGGTTGAACGCACTTGGATTCACTTCGATTCACTTCAACCCTAATGATATTAAAAAGATCTTGAAAAGCCAAAGAGACGGCGAAAACTACTGACAACCAACCAATGCGACGGAAGCGGACAATGGCAGCGCTGTCCACCCACCATCGGACAGTGGCGGACACCCTTTCCTCTAGAGCAGTTTCATGTTTTGTGTCGTCTTGGGTGTGGTTCCTGCCGATCCAGAGCTAGGAGAACGGATTCGACGGCAAGTTGTTACTACTACTGTGGAGGATGGCGCCGCCATTGCTTGGAGGCCGTCCCATTCGCTGGCTCCTGATCCCGACAAGGATGGTGTCATGACACTGCTGTTGACGGCCATGAGCGAAGAACCAGCCACACCCGAGTCCATTGTCGCAGCGGCAGAAAAAGTTGTATCATCTTCGGCAGTAGTAGTAGAGTTGTGGGCATCGGCACCGGCGCCATTGCGATTGAAACCCTTGGAGGGTTACCAAGAAAAAATCACAGTGGCGACACCCCACAACCACGAGGAACCACCATTTGCCCTTGCCATGCGAGAATGGGGGCTTGTCCTGCAACCACACATTTTGGATGCTGAGGGCATTGCCGCATTTCGCCTCGTGGTCGATCAAGCCATTGCCAATATTGAGACAGCCTTGGCCACACAACAACCCCAATTAGCTGTTGGACAGGATGCATTTTGTTTTCAGGAAATTGCCTCACGCAACAAGGAACGATTTGATTTGCGATTGCAAGAACCCTCCAAAGTGGCACTGGTAAAGGAGCATATTATTTCTGGTAACAATCCACAAATTGTCTCGAATCTGAAAACCGCCATGGGAATCCACAAGGATGCAGTCTTCCTAGAGGAAGTAGACTTTGATCTTTCCGTCGTCTATTCGCGGCCTGGGGCCTGTGCACAAGGATGGCACGCGGATGGAGATCATGTCAAAGGCGCACTAGATGCGGGGTGGGAGGAAACGGGATGGAAACACGCATTGGCCGATCCTTACGCCATTTGCCTCTTTCTACCGCTCATTGACTTGGACGAGACGGTCGGGTATACGCAATTCTGGCCCGCATCGCATCAACACCGAGCATTGGCGGGCTTTGGTCCGGCAGCACACGTCACGGGGTCGGTCTGGAATGGCGACGGCAAGGCGGGGGATGGAATCTTTTACGACTATCGACTATTGCACCAAGGCATGCCCAACACTTCTGCCAATACCCTGCGGCCTGTCATTCAAATCATTTTCAAAAAGAAGTGGTACGTCGAAAAGGCAAACTATGGAACTAAAAGTCTTTATTCTAGCTAGTAGATGACGACAATGAACACCCGTACCGTAGACATGACGACAGCGAATGAATAGATATGGTATAGTTTTACCGTTGCAGGGACTATCTCGTCGAGGAAGACGATAGAGGGGAACACAAGTTTCGCTTTCTTCACTGCCCGGCCAAATACTGGCCAGCGTGGAGGGGGTTCGGCAGACAAAAGTGTGCGGCATCACTGGAATTCGTTCGGTTTAATCCACATTCTCAAGAGACCAGACATAAAGATCAGAAATACTGATGGTTTCAGGTGGATCAGTATCCTTTCCGTTTTCTTCTTGCATTTCTTTCACCATGGAGTCCAGCACTCCAATGTCTTCTTCGCCCATAAGGCCCCGAACAACCAAGCTGTCAACCCGTAATTTGTCCGCAGAAATGATGCAGGTATCTTCTCCCTTGGGGTCGGACACAAGCCAGAGATTGCCGGCCTTGCTCTGTTTCTTGGCAGGAGACACAATCTGGCAGTATTTTCCAAAGCTGACTGACCCAAAGGGTTCTAGGGTCTGCACTATGTCGCCACAGCGAAATTCACCCTTTTTGCGACACAGTTTGTGGTGCACATGCTGCCAGTGCTTGTTCTGGCATTCCTCAGTGCAATAGTAGGTGACACGGCAGTGCCCACAAACTCTCATGTCATGGATGGACTTTTCTTCTGAGCAACAGTCACATTGGTCCCCAGGGACTGGTGATACAAGCACCACAAAGTGGTCAGGGTCCCATTTTCCAACAACGTAATCATCGCGCATGCTGAACATCAACTCATTTGCAAAATGACATAGCTTCATCATGGAATCCCCTGCTGTTTCATGCTCAGACGGCAACATATGTGACTTTTCCTCCTCTCCGGCTGCATCACAAGTGGCAATCACATTGTTCATGGAGCGGAACATTTCGTCATAATTAGCTTCCACAGTAAATTCAATCCATCCATGGAGGAAAATGGCATGTGCAACAAAGAAGGCAGGTTCAGTGGCAGACCTGATGATTCCTCTCAAGAACTTCTTGTCGGCTTCTGTTGTTGGCTTGCACTTGCCCTCTGGAGCCCATTCCCACCCGTAGTCCATCCACTCTAATAACTACATATTTAACCCGATTAGTTATTCTGAAACTTTGGAGCCTACCGGTACGTTTGGAATGCGGACAACACAACGCTACTAGGAGCCAGTGAGTCTATTAATAGCTAGTAGCATATTGCGATGAAGAGTTCTTAAACAATCCTCCTCCTGCTTGATTCATTGTTGTACCAACGGAGATGCAATGCGATCTAATGTCATTGCTTGGCTCTTCCAGCCACAGAAATGTGTGCTCAAAGCACTTGTGAACCCAGCCTTCTGCACAGTGTACCTGTGCTGGCAGCAAGCTTGCAACAAGGCCAACTTTGATGACTGTACTGGCGCAAAATTGACAGTAGTTTCGCCTGCATCCATTGATGAAACCTGGTTCTGGAACCACGGAACCACCTACTAGTATGCAGATTAGGCAAGCAGTACGATGGAGAGCCGGCAAGGAACAGCGTGAGCATGAATCTTTACTTCCTGTAGTACTAGTAGAGGTGTGCTACATGATATCGTAATAGAAAGATGATTCAATCCAACTCCTCGAGAGACATGACATACAGATCAACTGCAGTGTATGTTTCTGGTGGATCAGGGGCGTCCTCCTGCAATTCTCCTATCTTCTGCAATTCTTCTTGTATCTTACGTACCATCAATGATGCCACCAAGTCTTGATCATATTGGTTCATAAGGCCCCGAACTACCAGGCTATCAACCCGCAGTTTTGCTGCAGAAATGACACAAGTCTCTTCTCCCTCCATTTCAGCAACATTCCAGAGACCTCTGGTACGATTTTTAGCACGAGACACAATTCGACATCGGCCTCCAAAGCCAACTGATGCAAAGGGCTCAAGTGCGATGACCACATCACCACAGCGAAATTCCCCCTTTTTGCGGCACAATTTCCAATGCACTTGCTGCCAGTGCTTCTGCTGACATTCCTTCGAGCAATAGTACGTGACACGGCAACGCCCACAGACCGGCATCTCACTGGTTGACTTTTCTTTTGTACCACAGCAGTCACACTGGTCCCCAGGAATCGGAGACATGGATGATACAAACTTGTTGGGGTCCCACTTGACCATGACAAAATTAGAACGAGTGCGTTCCATAAAGCCTTCCGTGAGGGTTCGAAGCCGCATGAGGTATTCGCCTGCTGTATGGGGGACTACCACATGTGCGTTGTCCTCATCTTTGGCTGAATCACAAGTATCAATTACCCTGGTCAAAGCATGGAGAAACATGTCAGCATTTTGCTCTAGCTTGCACTCGATGAATCCACTGAGAAATGTGGCATGAGCAAGAAAGAACGGAGGTTCTGTATCTGACCGGATGATTCCGCTCAAGAACTTTTTGTCTGTATCTGTTACTGGTACAGGTTTGCCGTATCCCCACTGTCGTACCTCACGATACATGCTCACGTAATACTGGTAGAAGGGAGCCACTCGAAGTTCATTCCATTTGTCATCCTGCTTGAACTGCACGTATCCCATAAGAAAATCAACAATATCTCGATCTGTCTTGTTTTCTTTGTTGATAATTCGGAGAAGTCTTTTGGCTTCTGGTTTCTTCTTGTCCGCCCCCAAAGCCATAGCAAAGCCAAAGATGCCAGGATTCACAGAGTCCTCATTGGCCCGACCAAAGCCAACTATGGCGGTACCGTTGGTCGTTCCCTGAGGCGATGGCTTCTTGCCGGCGGCAGCAGCACTATACTTTTTCTTCTTGGATTTCTTCCCCGTGGCGATCGTCCAAGAGTTTGGTAAGGACTTGATTGGATTCTTTTGCGACCTGCTGCTCACAAGATGCCTCTGGTGGCGCCAACCACAGAAATAGAAATAGAAAAAAGGGCTGTCACTTGATTGGCAAATAGCTAATACTTACTGGACCTCTGTGGAAACTCGAGTCTGCTACTTTTAGCCTCCTAAATCCTTTTGATCGTCTCCTATTTAATGGATTTCGTCTCCTAAAAATAGGAGACGAAACGGATCGTCTCCTAAATCTTTTGTCTCCTCTTAAAACGTCTCCTATTTTCAACGGATCGTCTCCTATTCTCAACGGATCGTCTCCTAAGTGTACCATGTAAACTGTATGGTATCGTCTCCTAAATCTTTCGGATCGTCTCCTATTTCGAAACGATCGTCTCCTAATTGGAATGTCTCCTACTGAATCGTCTCCTAAATATAGGAGACGATTGCTTTCGTCTCTTAAATCATTTCGATCGTCTCGTATTCCTCGGAGTATCGTCTCCTAAGTATTTTGCCACGAATGACGTTTCCACAGAGGTCCTGCCATGGGCTCCCAGAATGTATACGTGCTTTAGATAGCTGCTGCGTAATGGTCTAATCTACCTAAACCCCTGTTTATATTATTATTGAGGAGTGGAGTTTGGTTACATCTGGCCGGTACCAGTACTGCGTAATGGTCTAATCTACCTAAACCCCCGTTTATATTGAGGAGTGGAGTTTGGTTACATCTGGCCGGTACCGCGTAATGGTCTAATCTACAAAAATCCCCGTTTATATTGAGGAGTGGAGTTTGGTTACATCTGGCCGGTACCGCGTAATGGTCTAATCTACCTAAGCCCCCGTTTATATTGAGGAGTGGAGTTTGGTTACATCTGGCCGGTACCGCGTAATGGTCTAATCTACCTAAACCCCCTTTATATTGAGGAGTGGAGTTTCGTTACATCTGGCCGGTACCGTGTAATGGTCTAATCTACCTAAACCCCTGTTTATATTGAGGAGTGGAGTTTGGTTACATCTGGCCGGTACAGCGTAATGGTATAATCTAAATAACTCAAGTTTTCAACCATAATCCACCCGCCAATGCCCTCGTAGAGTCTAGTACATTTTCTACGTGTGAGGCTTTTTGGCAGGTTGAAACGGCCACAATCCCCGTGTTGTTTAATGCGATAGGCTGATTCGGATTTTTGAATTTTTCATACAGGATTGAATCGCCGGTAACGGCCTGATGTCAGAATGCAATCGGATTTTCGTACTGATTCTATATAGTAATTGTTACATGCGTCACTCATTTTCGAAAATCCGTTGAATCGTGAGGCCGTTACCCAGAAATCCATTTACCGGGATGATCCACGGTACGAATACAGTACAATCCAATTTCACGGATTCTGGAGATTTGTATAAGGGATGTCTCATCGGACGTTCCGTGGATTTTGACTGGATTTTGACTGGATTTCAGCGACCATGTGTGTTGTCAGTAGCCATGTGCATGGTTTTGTACGATTGAATCGAACTAAACCGTATTTTTTAGAAACAAATACAATTTTCCACATTCTGTAGAAAAATCACCCGGCAAACTGAAGATCCAAGTTCAATCGTGTTCCCGCGGCAAAGCCAAGGGAGCATGATTTAACAAGGATCAACAAGGCCAAGAATGGACGCCAGATCGAAGCGCGAAAGGAAGGCTGAAGGCCTGGAAAGCGACGAGATCGCAGCCGACATTCGAGGCCGACAGTGAGGCAGGAGATCTTTGTATGTAATCTACCTGACAACAGCCCGAGGAAAGACGTACTGGTACCGTACGGTAACAAGAGCATCATGGTGGATGTTAATCGGTCGTTTGCGTGGTGGATGGTTCATCAGTTGTCTGCTTGTTGTTGTTGTGGTTGTGGTTTGTGTACACTTTACCATTGAATCAGTCGTGTTTGGCTTGATTTTAAACGGCTAGTAAGTTGTCCTGAGATTACTTAAGAGACAGAAACGGCTGAAAATCCAACAGTGGATTCTTCGTGGCTGATACTACTATGGGGATCTTACCCGCCAATTCCTACTCTAGAAAACGGCTGAAAATCCAACAGTGGATTTTACACAGTAACTACTAGAAGAGTAAAACTTCCAATCAACTAACTCCTTATACAAAACCTGGGAAATGGCACTCAAAATCCATGTGCATGCTTAAATCTTCAGAGTGAGTTCTCGTCAGAATCCAATATTGTGTCTTTCTAGCAAACAACACGGGGATTCTTGCCGTTTCAACCCGCGAAAAAACCTCACACTTAGAAAATGTACTAGATGCTACCAGGGCGTTGGTGGGTGGATTATGAGACAAATCCTATGATATATTGTTGTACGAGAAGATGGAAAAATGTAATTGTTTCTTACATTAAGGGTTCTTATCAAACGAATGCTTAAGAGAAGGGAAACAGTCGGAACGAATCATTCCGAATCGACGCACGAAACAAAGGTGTCAGTTGAAGTTGCCACCTCTGAATTCATTTTCACTTCGATATCCCCATAAATTCAACCATCGAAAATAAAAAAGGAAACTATGCCCTTTTCTTCCCTATTCGAAACTTCGCACAATGGCCCCACAAAAAACCTCAACCATGGCGTTCATCCACTGCGTTCATCCAAGTGCCGGTCCGTTTTGACCGTTCTGATTGGCCGGAAAGAAGTTCCCATGGGTGTCTCGAAGCCATATCTGCTGCTGTGGTTGGATCTGTTGAGCGGGCTGCATCTGCTGCTGTGGTTGGATCTGTGGGACGGGCTGCATCTGTGGGACGGGCTGCATCTATGGAGCTGATTGCTGAAACTGCGGATACACAAATTGCTGCGGTTGTGGCATCATCAAGTTCTGCATCATGGCTGCCTGCTGCTGCATCGCTACTATTTGACTCCAACTCATTGGCATTGGAATCGAGTACTGTGGTTGCGGCTGGATTTGCATGGGCATCGGTTGCTGTTGATACGTTTGTTGATCCATGACTTGATTGGCCACAACTAATGGAGTCGCCGCAACTGGAGCCGCCACAACTGGAGCCGCCGCAACTGGAGCCACCGCAACTGGAGGCATCGCCACCGATTGATGAGATCCTGCAACGGAAACCACCGCACCACCAGCTACAGCGGGAGCTGAGACAATACTGGCCGTCGATGCCGCCGCTTGAGCGTGAACCAGATCGAGCAACTGGGCTTTCGTCATTTTCTTCAACACCTTGTCATCTGGAATGATGGATGGATCTTTGGTCAGCAAGGAAGCCTCTTCTTCATCGTCCGAATCTTGAGTCAAGATCTCTTCGGGCACTGACTTCTTGGCAGACGCATGCCATTCTTCTTGGACTTGCTCGACTTCTTCCGAGTTGCATTCTTTTCTTTTTGCGCTTGGCGCTTTGAGGCACGCTTTGCGTGGGGCTTACCACCGCCGTCATGGGATTCTTCGTCAGAAGTTCGTCTACGAGGACGTGGATTTCCGTCTTCATCATCAGATTCCACGGCCAAGTCCTTATCAGAGCACATCAGCGCCTTGAGAGCAGTCGATCGACCTTCATCTACGAGACGTGCATAAGGGATCTGACTCTGTTCGCACTTGTGACGGGCGAATTTCAAACGAGCAGCCATCGAAACCCGAGCTTGATGCATCTTGGTGATTCCATAGGCACGAAGACCATGATTCGTGAACTTCTCAAGATTCGCGACTCCTATGACCGTGCCGAGTTGCTTGGCCATCTTGGATACGGTATTGTGGCCAAGATTGTAATTGGAGGTTTCACCTGATGGACAATACCAAATGTCCCGATCCTTGTACTTGTTCTCATGCTCTGGGTGGTTGGTGAAATACTTCTTGTATTCCTTCTTCTGCGTAGTGGAGGAAGTCTTCGCGAAGAACTTCTCGGCTTCCGGATGACACTTCGACAGGTAAAAGTCGAAACACTTGTAAGCACACAGTGGATCACGAGGATTCTTGACGATTTCCAACCAACGGTCTTTGTCCGAAAGAGCATTGGAATTGTAAAATGTCAGTCGATTGGTCTTGTCCTCTGGAAGTCGGATTGCCATATGCAGACATCCAGCCAGGTCACCCATCTCCCGAGTGTACATCCCAGAATAAGTATCCCGCATCATGAGACTCGACATTTCCTTACCACCCCGAAGAAGAAAAGATCGACCAAGGTGGAACACACAGACGAATTGGAGATCTTTTGGATTCGTCCAAGGTTGGAGTCTTCCGTCTTTGACAGCTTCGCGGATTTTCTTGTCCGCTTCCCAGTCAATCTCCGAATGATGACTGCAAATTCCAAAGGTTGGATCCGTCTTGCGGATTTCCGCCCAAAACTGAATCATGACTCCGTGGAAATCTCCTTTGGCGTTGAAATCCTCCTTGAAGGTGTACTGGAATTTGTTGTGGGTCAAGGATCGCCACTCAGTGAATACATTGTTAATGTATTGTGTGAAGACGGTGGGGGAGAGAGGCTTACCTTTGTTGGTACTGGACAAGCACAACCATTTCATTCCGCACAAGATGGCACAATAGTTCAAGATTTTGTGTTTATTGCGATCTTTTTCTCCGCATACCACGTTGAAGAAAGCATAGTTGGTTGAGTGGCCGTGGTCGTAATCGACAGGAACAATCTCAAGAAGACTGCTCAAGACGGATCCTCCATGCTCGCGGATTATCTCGAAAAATCGCTTTTGAAGGCTCTCGCATTTCTTCTCATACTTTCTGCCTTGTCTTCCTTGGTCCTTGCACTCTTCTAGAAGCTTTTGTTCTTTCTCTGTCAAGTCTAAGGTGGTAAAATTTTGACCAACACCAAGAGCACTGGCAATTTCAGCAGCATTTTTTTGTGGATTTTCTTGTGTTGGTGTTGGCTCTTCTTCTTCAGCCTCTGTTGGATTTTTGGGAGACAAGGAGACTCTGGCTGGAGCTGGTGTCGGCGTACCAAAGTCAATGTTGGATTCAGAGTCAAGTGCCAGAAGATTTGCCACAACAAAGCTGGTTCCTTGAGTCATCATTACTGGCCGACCGGACTCTTCTTCAACGTGGTCTTCCTCTTCTTCGTCAGCGTCGGCGTCGGCTTCTTCCGCTTCTTCCATTACCGCTTCTTCCTCATCCTCTTCCTCACTGCTACTGCTACTGCTACTGCTACTGGTGTCTACAGGAGGAAGGGTAAACTCACCATCGTGGTTCTCAAGGAGCGGTATTCGGGTGTTCTCCTCTTCTGATGACGAGGAAGACATGATGTACTCTAACAGTAAGGTAGGGCTATTTACTCGAGCTTTTGCCAAGTAGATTACACACAAAGACCTCCTGCCTCATTGACGGCCTTGATCTTGATCTGTGGTCTTTGATCTTGATCTGGTGTCTCGGCTGTCGGATTTTTGCCCTCGTTCGATCTCAGCCCTTGATCCACGATCTCAGCCTAAAATCCGCTGGCTCGCGCTCTCGCGACGAATCGTGTCGGCTGCGCCTCCAAGAATTCTTGCGATCCCGCGCGCCATTGGATTTTCATTTTGCCGGGACGTTTTTCTACATACCATACGGGCAAACTCGGCTAACCCTAACCCTCCAAAAAGGACCAAAAAAGGGACGACCACAACAAAATTCTAACCCAGCCAACTCCGTGGTTGGCGAGTGATCGTAATTTTATGTTCTTGGCGCAAAAAGCTTTGGCCAAACCCTCCCAAAGATCCGTTTAGCCCCAGCTTTGGCAGCTTATTCGAGAGAACCCTCAGAACTCGGAACACTCTCACAAAACATCCATTGCTTCCTTCCCACGTGCACCCTGTGCTTTCTCAAGTTGATTGCTCTGATTGCTGTTGTTGACAAAACACAGCTTTAGTTATTAGAAAGGACAATCATCACGGAATCACCATGACAGGCTTGTTGCAAGGGGCCATGGATGCCTACAGTGTGGCGCTGGAAGAGCGACCCGTGTTGACCGACATGTGCACTTCAGGATTTCTGTGGTTTCTGGGTGATTTGGCTACGCAATGGATCGAGCAATGCAACGAGAAGAAGAAGAAGAAGATGGACTGGAAACGAACCGTAAATCAAATGGCGTATGCTTCGGTCGTTTGGGCTCCCATTGCCCACAAGTGGTACATTCTACTGGACCGTTTGGTGCACATGTTGCTGTCCATGGAAACTACGCCCACAAAGTTGGTCTTTACGAAACTCCTGTTGGAAATCCTGATTCTACATCCGGTCAGTTTGTTGACCTACTTTTCCGTCTTGGGAATCATGAGTGGAGACTCTTTGAAATCCATAAAGCAACAACTCTGTGATGACTTTTGGCCCACGTATGGCTTGGAAATCTGCATGTGGACACCACTGGATGTTGGCAATTTTGCTCTTGTGCCGGTACGGCATCAACTGCTGGTGGTGAATTGTGGATGTCTGGTGGAATCCACTGTCCTTTCCTTTATCAAGAATAATGGATTTCAACAAATGATGTCACAAAGCCTTGCTTTTTTGCCGGGAAAAGGAGATCAAACTATCGCTGATAAGAAATCAAAGGAAAAGATCAGCTGAAGGAGCCAGCAGTGGGGAGTCAGTTGATTGCCTCGTTCAACCTGGGGACAACGGAAAAAGGTATTTGCATGGGCTGTTTTCTTACCTGGCATGCTGCCGACACGGCTAGCTAGTCAGTGATGCCTACATTTGTTTCGGGGCGTCATACGCAGTGTAATAAGCTGCGACATGACTCGACTCGGTGGCTTCAAGGCTGCCCGTACTGTCCGAGTTCGACTGAGCCATACTGTACAAGACCACCGGTACAGGCCAAGTGCAACTGCGCTATTGCCCGTCCGATTTTAATCTAATGATACTTAATAAGTGTACATTATACATGCGGTGGATTCTGGACCGCCAATCCGCTGCCATCGTTCCATGTTCTTCTTGTTGCTTATAATCACTAGTCGAATGGCCGGTGCCCCCCTCTTACTAGTGCATCGGTAGCATTGCCCAACTCGTTATCTTCCAATAATGGGGTCCCGTCGCTGTGAGAGCACTGGCTCGTTTCGTTGCATGGAGAGCTTTCCTGGACTATTTCTATGTTTGTACTGTTGTCGTCTCGAGGAATTTGTCCACCCCCGCAGCCGCAGCACGCTTCGTTCGCGGTGTAGCCCATGTTTGGCCAATAGCCCCCGTACAATGAGCACCGGTTACTCTGTCGATACCAGGCACAAGTGAATTCAACACCAGTAACATCATGCCAGCCTGCAACAAGGTCTTCGCACGAGGTGCATGTGATTGTTACGTTCGTGAAGGAGCCTGTTTCGACAGTGACTAGCAACAAGGCACCACCAGGTGGAGCATCACCCGACGAACAATCTTCAGAGGAAGATTCTTGGGAGGTGCAGGTACGTGTTCCCAACGTGTGTACATGCTCGTCGAATTCATGGCCGTCTTCGTTGGTTGCGTTCCACCTTGTTTCAATCGCGTAGTCCCATATCTTACCTTCCAGCGTACAAGTGACCTCTCTGCCCTCGCTGACTGGCCCCACAGTGTACTGAGGAGAGAAGAAGGGGTTGGTTGCTTGCCCGTACAATGGAACGCCATCAGCCAGGTGGATTGGTTCAATTTCGATCGTGCTGTTGCTTTCGCAGGTGCCAAAGTAGGCACCCCCGGGGCGAGTCGCCATCTGCCAATAGGAGTAAGGCATGACCGACGACAGAGCTGCTCCGGTGTGATCACCGACAAAGGAAAAGTAGTAGCATTGAGATGGGTCAAGGCAAAGATCTTCGAAGTAAACATCCACTGGGTCTGTATGCGGGTTGCAAGCGTTCGCGGTTGCATTTAGAAGGCGGCCTCCGTGATTCTCGCCTGCGCTACCAGTCGCCAAGACTTCTCCATCCATGGTACTGACGGTCCATGCAGCGCTTTCGCAAACCCTGATTATGGCTGAGAATCGGGCGAGACTGGCAGGACAGCATTTGTTTTCTCCAAGGAAAAATCTTTCTTCGTGAATGTCTTTGTCGTGTTCCAAGCCCTCACCATCCAAGCCAACGTGTATGAAATCACTGATTAAGTTTCTCTCATTCGGACCCTCGATCAACGTAAGAACGAGACAACGTTCCTCTATGTTCACACAGATGTGTTGTTCCCTCAACACTTCATCGCTCCGATTCGACGATTCCTGTTGCAAAATAACTTCGTCAGTGTTGAAGTCGAACAAGCTCCATTTGAAACTATCCACCGAATCTTTCGGTGAAGAGTAGATTTGCAAATATGACAAATATGATCCGCATCTTTCACTTGCACTTGGTTGTGCCTGGCAGTTCCCGATCCAGATATGTTTGACTGGGCCATGATCGTAAGGTTTCACGGGCAGCTTTTTACCATCCAAGTACAGAGCGAAACCCCCAGGTTCGGCGATCCCATCTTCGTTGAATTCGTCAAACAGAAGGAGTTCGTAACATTCCGATTCCAGGTCTTGCAAGCAGGTATCTGCCACAATCGGTTCGTAGTTATATGGAACAACGCCGGCCAGAATGATCTCCTTTGTTGCATTCTGGACAAGGAACCACCTCGTGTCCCCTTCCCCTTCGTCCATCGCCATTGAAAGCCTGAACGAAGAACTTCGTGGAGGGCACCACGCAGTCTTTGGGCGCGAGTAAACTTTTGCCAATCCGAGCCCATCGTCCCTTTCCAAAGGAGAACCGTGCGCCAAAACAAAGCCATCGTTCGACATCGATACTGCATTGATAGGCCCACCTGGCAACTTCTGGCCTAGGATTTCCCATCCAACGTCTACTGACCAACCGAATACATAGACGCTGTTGTCGACCTTTGGTGTCTCCACCTCAGAGAAATCCGAAAACACCATCGTCTGCCGACCCGACAGACTCAATGCCGGCCTAATGACATTCTCGGCTTCCACTCGGCATTCAATACCACCAGTACCAACGGGTGGAGACTCTATAGGGGCCCAGTCTGCTCCATCGTCATTCCATGCATACACAATGACCCGATGCCACGCGTCACATTGGACGATAGCAAGGACGTCGCCATTTTGGGACAAGGCAAGCCTGGAAAAGTCGGCAGGATCGTTTTGCCCTCTATCATCCATGTAAATACTGGATCCCCTCTTCCTGTACTCGGTGCCATCATCTGCAGTGTACACCTGGATAAACCTCCGATGATCTCCCCTGTCGGTTTCGGTTGCCTCTGCTGTGAGCAAAGCAATAGTCCTGCCATCATCTGATATCGATATTTCCTCCAAAAGTTCATCATGAGAGCCCCAGAAGGACGTGGACGGAGGCGAATCATCTTCGTAGCTCCTACTATCATGCACCGCCACAAATGAAATGTTCGAGTAATGATCACCTGTAGCAATCGCAATCACCCCACTTCGTGCCATGTCGGCATACCAGACATTTTCAATATGTCGAACTGATCCGCATTGAGACTCACAGTCAAAGATAAAGATCTGGCCTGGGGTATCCTCGTTGAAATCAGGGGCCACGAATATGGAGACAGTGACAGGCACCACACGAGAAGCCTTCGATTCCACACGATACTTCTCCTCCACAATCTGAACCTCACTCGCCTTCTTCACACTGCCAGCAAACTTTGATTCATATCGCAGGTTCCAATTTTTTCCGTCGTTGTCAAAAATATGATAGCCTTGATCCAATGAAGCTCCTGTGACAAGCAAGATGTTTCCACTCTCGGATATTGCTATGTGATGCCCAAAGTCTGCATCCTGCTGCCCTTCGATGCCATCCCCATTCAGATGCCACAAACCAGGGGTTTGCACCTTGCAGAATGGATAAAGCTGTGGAATGTACCCCGTGACATCCATGCCGCATTTGAAATCTTCGCTACTCTCACAACTGAAGGAGCAGCAATCTCCTATGCGAAAGGCAACGCAGAAATGCGAGCTGTGAGCTTGCTGCTTGCTGCTTGTGCTAGCAAGAAATTGTTGGACAGGGACCAGCACGTACCACCATCATAATCGTATATCTCCCTATTGTAGTGGGGGTCGCACTGAATGGTGAGGAGATGGAAACGAAAGTGATTTGGCAAGGAAAGCGAGGCGCAATGAGAGTGCGGACTCAGCAACTTCAGCAAGGCGAGACTCCAAACAACTTACGTGGCCATTTCCAGTAGGCGCTTTTTCGCAAACACTACCTTCTGAGCCGATGCTACAAGTGCAGGTACCTTCGTTGCACACCCCGTCATATCGACAGAGAATCTCCTCGTCACAAAACGAACAGAGCAAAATAGTTTCGACGTCTCTGAGCGATATTTCCTGTATTCCCGTTTCATTCGCTGGTTTCGACTTCGCTTGGGCCCAGGAGATGCCAATCGGCGTCACTGCGTCGTTTTCTGTACCAATATCCATCGGTTCGCTTATAAAGCCCACCCTGTAGAGAGAGTAGTGAGCATGGAAGTTTCGGAAGAAGTAGATCAGCGAAAGGACTATGTTCGAAGTATCCTTCCCCACGTCTGGCAAGTAGTTGTTGTGGGAAGCCACCCATCTGGAGGATTGTTGCATCAGTCAGCAAACGGGTGTCAGCTGGGCTCTTCCTTTGATGCAGCAGCCACAAAGGGTTACACTTACCGTCGCCCGGTAAAGAATAAAAGCTCGAACTCTGCATTTCTTCCAAAGTACACGTAGACAGGGCGATGATACGATAGGACAGGTTCGTTCCCGTGCCTCAGCAGTTTGAATTGGGAAGACCAATCTCTGTCTCCGGGAAAGTCGCCATGTCTAACATCTGTTGCCAGGGTCGGGCAAGGCTTAGCGAACTCGCAGTTCAAGCCTGTGTAGTTGCTCTCGCACGTGCACACTGCATTTTCACACTGATGCGGCCACATTGCATGAGTACTGGCAGGATAGGATGACGGACAAATAAATGTACCCAATCCAAACTCACCTCTCCTCGATCATTGCAGTCGTTGTCGTCACAGTCGTTGCACGCCAAAAAGAAATGATCCAATACCACCACTCGGTTGTGTTCGTCTTGAATGAACCAATCACCCTCCGATGTCTCTGTTAGGTCGAATGTCTCTGTTGGCGACGATCGAGCCACCCACTCACATGGATCATCCTCAATGTCATCGAGCTCAGCTTGATACCATCGAAACGTCCACGCCTCAATGTCATCGCAATAGGCAAACTTAGCCCGACCTGAACGCCGTTCAATGTATTCCACTCTCTTTGACCCCAGTCCGTTTCTGGGAGCCACGTACTTGTCGTAGAGGCCACTACATGTATTAGGAAACCGCAACACGGAAAGGTGAGCAACGGTGACACGAAAAAGACGAATGAGCACAACATACAACTCGACGACTACTAGCATACCTGAAAGTCCCCAGCTCTGGAATCATGCTATCATCAAATTGCACAATGATGGTGGAACAGACGAATCGACCTGCCTTTTGCTGTTCGATGAGGATACCCCAGCCTAATAGCAGTGTCACTAGGGCAACCATCATGAGAACAAATTTTCGGAACCTCTGAAAGCGAACGTTTTCGGAAAAGTACGGGGTATCTGTGACGTTTGTGGCTTCATCCTCGCAGTAGCGGCCGAGAAACCCCTGTGATGCCAAGTAAAAGAAGGCTTCGTCGAATTGGGACACTGGAGAGTCGAGACATGGATGGAAATGAGCATCGAATGAATTGAATCGAATCAGCGGTTCAGACAAAACGAAGTAAAAACAGCCTGCAGTCCACCTAAACTAAACTGGAACTCACCAAACTCCACGGCTGTAAAGTTGAGCAACACGTCCAGGACTGACTCTGACTGCACAATCAAGACAAACATTAACAGGAGACAGAGAGCACCCTCGAAAAAGCGAATTGCTGCCGTGAAGACAAACTTGAGTAATGTCGCGTGGGGGAAAGCTTTCCTCAAATGTTCGCTGTATCCGTCCCTGATGAGATCAAAGCATGTAAACAAATCATGCTGCAAGAGAACGGCAATAAAGATGGCGACAAGCTGCGTGATACGGACCACCTCACTAACGTTGATTGGAACCCCAAAGGGATTGTTTCCATCACTGATATCCAACGTGTTGAGGCCCACCAAGATGAAAATGGCAACTTGTAGGGACACAACCACCATCCCCAACAGAAAAGGGGGCGAACACGTTTTGGATGATAGCACAAAACTGAAGGTATCTTCTGTCAGGGTTTTCTGATCCGATTCGCTGAGTTCGGTGCCATCATCGTCGTCGTCATCGTCTTTTCCGTCTCCCTCTGTTTTTTCCTGCATGGCTAGCACCTTTTCCAAAATTCTCTTTTCCAAGCGGGTTGCCATTTTCTCCATGGCCTTGTCTTCTAGTTCTTCCATGAGGTGTCCCACACAAATCTCTAGAGAATCCAGCCTCAGTTCATGGTCATTTGTAGTCGATTGGACTTGCTCCATGTCTTGGTCTCCCCAATTTCCTGTCAAAGCCAACTGCTTTGTCATGTCTCCGTACGGAGGAGGGATGTTGGCATTCTCGACCGCCATTCTTCGGATCTCTGCCCTGGCAGCATCGGCCGATGCGGAGATATCCATCGTCGCATCTTTGGGCTCGCTTGGATCCGCCGATTCCACATCGGTGCTCCCTTCGTGGGAGGGAACGTTGGATACGTCCTCCTCTTTGATGATCGTCATGCTAAGCAAGTTATAATACGGTAGCGGACTCCTACGGATACATGTAGAGGATGCTTCAGAACATGCAGGCTGGTGACATGGTCACTGCCGGTTCACCCCTTTCGATCTCAGCCTTCAAAACTTACGCTGAAAAACTGGTTTTTACAGGGTGCGAAAGTGACTGGAGAGCCGAAAAAAGGCTTAATCAACCGCTTGGAACATTTAATTCCTTGTCACGTGTACCAGTTGAACGCCACCGGTACGGACAGTATGCATATGGCTGTATTGTTCTTGACCAGAGACAAAGATTCTCACTCATCATTAGACTAATACATTCCTAACGTCCGCACTGAGAGTGGTCACCTTACAACTCTACACTTGGCAGACTCCAGATTGCACCACATTGCAGCTCCACTGTGTCAAATACAATCCTACGTAGTCCCTTGGACCTGTAAGCAACATTGTAAAATTTGTTCGGTGGAGTAGAGCATACATCCCATGCTTGGTCTCCATATTATATTATAAATATCTTCCTTGAATGAACTTTCTTCCTTGTCATGACAGCAACAACCAGGAAAAGAAAGTACTGGCTACCCGTAGAAGTAGAAACGAAACTTGGAAAGAAAATTTGTGTGAAGGGTGCCCTAGATGCATGTCAGCTCGCTTGCTTAAAATTGTCCTGCAGCGCCACGAGCCAAAGGCAAAAGATCGCAACATCGCAACCATTCGATCGTTGTTGTCCCAAAACAATACACAACAAACAACACAATGGCAGCTGCAATGGAACGTAGCCGGCGCACAACAGCAGGGAAGCGCATGGGAACATTGGTGGGCAAGGCGCAAGAAGACGACGAAGCCTTTTGGGGTCACGACACATGGGCGGAAGATCCCGACAATAGCGAGAATGATTCGTTTCGGTCGTCGGACGAAGATTCCGAAGCCAAGAAGGACCAATTTGATTCAGATTTCAACGACAGCGAGAGCGATGCCGACAAGGAAGATGCCGCGGAAGGAGCTGCCGAAGACAAGCGATTGGCGCAAGAAGAAAAGCGTGGCGGCGGAAAGAAACGAGCCTATGTGGATATCAGCAAGGCGGGCAGAGACTTGATGGGGAAAAAGAAGGGAGTAAGAGGGAAGAATATTGCCATGGGAGACGGATTGAATGCTGGAATCATTCTCAATCTACCAGGATATCTTCCTCCGTTACTGCCGTATTATCATGCAAGACAAACCAATATTGCCACAACACCTTCATCCACGACAACGACAACTGCCACAACCACCAAAACCAAAACACCCGTGACTCCCATTGTCATTCCACCAGCCATCAAAAAGCCCTCGCCGACACGACGCGCCACACGATCGCACGGTCGCGTTCTGAGGCATTCGACCAAACAAGCGGGCGAAGTGAGCAAAAAGGCCGCCACTCAAAAGGAAAAAGAGGCGGCCCAAATTTCCCAAAAAGCCCTCGCCACCAAATCCAAACACAAACGCTTATTCGCACAAGGAGAATTGCTCTTGGAAGCCGTTCATGAAACGGAACCCGAAAATACACGATGGATCTTGGGTCGCAAGCGCATTATGGATCTGGTCGAACAAGACAACCAACGACAACTCAGTCAAGCAGCAGCGCAAGCGAGTAAATTGGTGGAACGGTTTCATTCGCGACGCGGCTATTTGAATACGGTCAATTTTCCAGATATGGATCATGTTCCAGCCGTGCTGACACAACAACAACACACCAAAAAACAGAATCGACCACCTCCTCCGCGGATTTGTGTCATTACGGGGTTGCAGGCACGGTACCGTTGTCCCTTGACGCAGCAGGGATATTACGATCTCAAGGCATTCAAAGAGTTGCGACGACGTCACAAGGCGGGAGAACCGTTGGATCAAAACTGTCCACAACAGCAACAGCAACAGCAGCAAGCCAAAAAGAAGCAAGAAGAAACAAAACATACCATCCAGGCAGAGCCAAATCAAGTCGTGATCATTTCCACCAAGCCACCAGTCGTCACCTCCTCGAAAACACCAAAGACAACCAAGTCGTCACCAGCCAAAGTGACCAGGCCTACAACTAGTCGAAAGAGGAACAAGTCAAATGACACAAAGCCAAAACCAGAAACCGTGAAATCTACCAAGACTACCAACAAGGAGGTTGCCACGAACAAAGCTACTGCCGATATGGCGCCACCACCACCAAAGTCCGTCGCCGTGACTGTGAAATCGGCATCACCAGCAAAAAAGCCCAGGCCATCCCCCAACGCCAAGGTAGTAGCCCCAACGACACCAGCCACAGCAAAACAACCACAACAGCAACGACAACAACAAACTACTCCAAATCTTCAGAGTCCTGCAAAGCCGGCTCCCCAGCCAGCGGCAAAGCCGGCTCCCCAACAGAACTCAGCAACAAAAAAACCGGCACCGGTAACATCGGCTACACAGCCAACTGCGACTGCAGCTCCTTCAAAGCCAACAATTGTCGCGACCACTATTGCTGCTGTTGCGGGACCGAAGGCATTGCCACCAACACATGCAGCTGCATCGGCACAAAAGATAATTGAGGCTCCAAAACAGGCACCCACAACGCCTTTGTCTGCAATACCGGTACGGCCGAGTCCAAAATCATCTCCCACTGCCGCTCAGCCGGCTCCTCGAGCGAGCCCAAAGTCATCTCCTACGCAGCCTCCGACAGCTCATCCGGTCGCTCCAGTGCACCACCCCTACGCCATGTACCACCCCTACGGGTACATGCATCCTTATCCACACCTTCAGTATGCCTATCACCCTCACCATGCTGCACAGCCACAACAGCAACCAGGACAGCCCCCTATTCATCCGGGATACCCTTACCCCGTGCCAGCCATGCATGGAACCGTGCCTCACCCGCCATATCCGGGAGCGCACCTGCATCATACTATGCCCTATCCTTCAGCAGCACAAGCACCCGCAAGTGCGACGACGACGCCAGCTACGGGTGTTCCACCTGCGACAGCCGCGGCAGTGGTGGCGGCTGCAACTTCTGCCCTGGCGAATGCCATGACGGCGACAACCACTACTACTCCTGTTGCAGCTGTTGCGGGAATCTCAGTGGCTGCAGCGACAGCACCGCCACCAGCGACAGCACCACCACCTGCCGCACCACTTGCCACGGCACCACCACCTGCCGCACCAGCCAAATCACCTGCAGCACCGCCACCTGCCGCACCACTTGCCACAGCCACAACATCTGCAGCTGCAGCCAAATCACCTGCAGCAGCAACAGCTCCACCGTCTCCTGGAAAATCCCCGCAACGCAAGTCGCCCCGACGGAGGAAGCCAACTGAAAAAGCTCTTCCAGCAGAGGTTGCTGTGGAGGCACCACAAATCCCTCCTACGCAAGGCACGACTGAGAAAGGCGGTGACGCTCCAAAGTAAAGGCTTCATGTGTTTCACTGGTTGGATAATTGAGGAGCAGCCAAAGAAGCTTACTTGCCCGAAGAAGCATTGGTGGAGCCTCTCATTGAGTTTGGCTATCTTGACACTCGATGTCAGTATAGCCGTGCAGAAAGGTGTTGAAGCCTTGCACAACAATGGTTTTTGCATTGGAGACGCACGCGAACAACAAGCCGAGTCCTTGCACTGAGGCCTATGTCCTACTGAGTAGTAGTCAACCCCAGGGGCCGCCAGAATCGAATCAGTCTGTACGAATGACTGTTCGGTGTGGCTCACTGCTGCACTTGAATTAGCGAGCTCTCATTCAAGAGAAGAGATCAGTCAGCCTAAAGATGTTCGTTCGTCTAATCTCGTCGGCATCGTGCCTGAGTTCTAAACCTACCTGACACGCAAGACTGCCTGGCTTCAAATGTACCGTATAGTTCCCCTCTCAGGTTGGGCCAGTGTCTGGTACTAGTCTAGTACCATGGAAACATGACTGCCTGGATATGTCGAGATCTCCGATGAAACTCAAGGAGCGACTCATTGGCTACCTTCCGATTCTGACTTGACTTGTCAGTACTAGTAGTAGTCTAGCTAGCACGCAAGTTTAAAATAGAATGAGCCGGTTGTTTCTTTGAAAGGTCGCCTCACTCTCTGACAAACCTTAACCCAACCCACGATCTTTGGGCATTCGGCAGGACATCCGGTTTCCAAGTTCAACAGAGAAGCTGGAGCCGACGTGGGGGATGTTCACTCGAGCGGAAGGTCTTCTTTTTGTGTAAGCTTGTTAGGTCGAGAGCCATGGCGGTCTATTGTCGTTTGTTGGTATTGTACTGTAGTGCAAAAGACGATACGAAAAGTAAGGAGAGATGAAGGCTGATCACGAGCACGACGATAGCATAAGCCAACCAGAGATGGTCAATGGTGACAATGAGGATGATGATGGGATGGACGCTTCTCTTTTCGAGATTATTCAAAGTCGTGCCGGTCAAGCCCAACCACCAACAAACGAGAAAATGCCAGATAAAAGCACAAATACCGCTGCTATTGGTTCTGGTACTACCCCAATTACTCATCATGCGAGAACAATTACCGCAGAAGTGGATGTGGATGTGGATGTGGATGACGACACTGTCTTGGATACGCTATTGGAGAAAGGACGAGTTGTTCAGTGTACTAGCGGTACCATTTCCAATACCAGGACGGCGGCCAATGCCAATGCCAATGCTACAAGAGTGGATACCGGTACCCCCAAAGTGGAAGAGCAAGCACTGGAAACTCCCACAAGAGCGAATGCGGATGTGGATACTAGTACTCGAACACATATGCCAACTCTGGAAAGACAAAGACGCCCTCCGCCAGAAAGTCAGCCCGGTGCTTTTGCACTTGGTGGACGTGGTGAAAGCGAGGAACATCAAGTAGAAGAACCAGTCGAGGTGTACAGCCCGACTTCTACGAATGAAAGTCAGAGCACCAACAGGAGTCTTAATGATGGATTGGTGGAGGCAAGAGAGGTTGAAGACGAAGAGAACCCGGCACAAACCTTGCCTCATGCACAAGAGTACCGGTATAAGGCAGCCGAGAATGGATTCCAGCAGTACCGGCCGTTTTTCTGTGGTGTGTTAGTCATTGTCATGTTAGCTGTCCTCTTGGGACTCTACTTTGGCGTTCAGAACGGTGAAAACAAAGAATCCTCCAAACAAGAAGAACAAAGCCTACCGCCAACGGTCATTCTGACCAACACCCCGACAGCCACTCCATCAGCAGCTCCCTCTGCAATTATGGCTGATCTCTTTGAAATTCTGCCAGACTACACACTCGAGAGCCTCAGAAACTTCTCCTCTCCACAAAGCGAAGCATTACGATGGCTGGAAAACTATCCAAATATTTCCCAAATGGAAACCTGGCGCAAAGAACAACTGCTTGCCATGACCACTTTCTATCATGCTATGAACGGTTCACACTGGGCCCCCCAAGCTGCAAGCACTTGGATAGATTATGAAACATCCGAGTGTCAATGGTTCTCTACCGTTGAGGGATATGTGAATGAAGATGGGACTTGGACAATCCCAGAGTTCATCATTTCATTTGCACATAACCAGCTTTCTGAGGAATTAGGATACCAGCCTACCCAGTGTGATGGTGATGGACGAATCAATGCTATTGCTCTTCTTGGAGCCATTCAACCGGCAACTGGTGTCAGAGTCCCTCCCGAGATTGAATTACTGTCTTCACTGCAATACTTTGACCTGTCATTCAACCAACTTCATACAAACTTGGAAGATGTCATGCCACCACAACTGTTTCAGTTGAAAGACTTGGTGGTTCTTGGCCAAAACTTTAATTTCCTAACTGGAACACTGCCAACTTCCATTGGATTGCTCACGAAGCTTGAAAACTTTGAGATGATGACAAACATGCTCAAGGGGACACTTCCAACACAGGTTGCCATGTTGACAGATTTGCAATTTTTGGCAGTCCTAGGCACCCAACTGACTGGCAATCTCCCCAGTGAACTTGGCTTACTTACCAGCCTTACAAGCCTTGGCGCAGAACAGAACATGTTCACGGGAACTATTCCCACAGAATGGAGGAATATGAAGAAGTTGAAACAAATCTACCTCAGTCGCAACCCAGGTCTGACCAGTTCAATCCCACCAGAGCTTGGTGAACTGTCAAGTCTCAATACATTGAACCTCGATGGGTGCTCTTTTACAGGAACTTTGCCATCAGAGCTTTTTCTGTTGACCAGCCTGGGAGCTCTGTATCTGCAAGCAAACTTGTTGACTGGAGTTCTTCCAACCGACTTGGGGTTGCTGAGCAGTTTAAAATATCTTCATCTGGGGGGAAATGAATTGTCGGGCCCTATCCCTCATGAATTGGCCCTGCTGACAAGTTTGAAAGCTCTTGCTCTTGGTGGAGCCTTTCATACAGGCACAATTCCAAGGGGGGTTGGCTTGTTGCAGAACCTAACACGACTCATGCTCACAGACAGTCTCTTGACTGGGATGATTCCTTCTGAGATTGGCTTGCTATCTTATTTACAAGTCCTCGATCTGTCAAACAATCCCGATCTATCTGGACCAATTCCATCGGAGATTGGACTGCTGAGAGATCTCTTTGAGCTTTTCCTGTCAAACAATACACACATGTCTGGCTCGTTACCTTTGGAGCTTGAAGAGTTGGTATCAGCTTACAATTTGTCAGAGGTGTACCTGCAAGGCAGCGTCAGCTTGACAGGAGAGATTCCTGCTGGTGTTTGTTTCTTGCAGATTCCCAATTGTTCCTATCCATATGGCTGGTACCATGCCCCTTGTGTGTTGGAGTTTGAGTGCACTGGATATCTCTGTGGATGTGGCTGCAACTGTACTGATACTTCTTTTTAGCAACTGCATCCGGCAATCGCTCTTGCAAAGTTTGGGGATCTACTAGCTATACCGATAGTCCCTATTGAGATTCTGGATCGTAATGTACAGGAGCCTTAATGCATGCATAGATATATATTGTTACAGAAGCGTTGACTGTGTACCTCCACATAATGCCTTCTGTTGTGAACGTCGGGATCGCAGGAGCGTGAGAAGAAGAGTTGCTCGGAGCTGTTGAGAAGGATAGCGGTACTAGTAAGGGATGGGCAATCGTTTTTTTTAAAGTTCGTGAAAGCTGGAGCTCCCCAGCTCGTGGTAGTGCCCGTGTTCTGTTTAGCAGATCCTTGGAGCATTACTGTACCGTCCGATACAGTCCGAGACAGTGCCTAGTGTCTATCCTTCCGACAAATATCGTTAAATAACACGAGAATTTGTCAAATAACAAGAGAACACCAGTGACGTACTACTCGCAGTAGGATTGTACGAGGCAGAATCCATGAAATTCAAATTTCTCGCGTTAATTAATAGCAACGGCTACTTGAAGTACCATTGCCATGTAGATTCTACTCACAATTTCGAAAACTGAAACAGAAATGTAAGTCAACGGATAGTCGAACACAATGGCAACTTTGGCGACACTTACCATATCAACCTAAACAAGAGCAAGGCTTACTCTCCTAACAGTCATGTCGCTGTCGCTTCAATCCTTGTTCTTTGCATTCTTCTCAGGGTGTTCTTCAAGGATGTGGCGTCCCATGCACGCTAAATCGTTCTCCACCTTGTTGCAAATCCAGAACTGTTTCTTCTTTGGGTCCGGCTGCTTCCACTGACAAGCCCGACAGACATTGGTGGTAGAGGCAGAGCAAATCATACATAAGCCCTGGGCAGCATGCTTCCCATTGCTGCACTTCTTGCGTCGCTTGGTGGTGATGGGCGCGGTAAGATGGTAGTCGGATGGAAGTGTCGCCGAACCGGTGACTGGCATACCCAACATCTCTGTTGATGCCCTTTCCGCTCTCTTTCTTAGAGAACGTTGCTCCCATGTGTTGTCAATCAGATGCTCTGCAAGCTCTTCAATGAAGTCTCGAGGTGTCATCATTCCTTCGACGCCATGAGATCCCCTCATGAGCTCATAAGCATCCACGACGCACATGGAAAAGATTGACATGTTGACACGGCGATCCCAGCTGTTGGTCTTCTTTTTCTCCATCATGACTGCCTGTTGCCTTGTCCTGTTGTGTTGATCAATCTTGCCACAAGCCTTGTAGTACTGGTCGCAAGCTTTGGGCTGTTGAATGGTAATATGAACTCTTTTGGGCTCAGCGTTGATATCAGAATCAACTTGTCGCCAACGCCAACGGAAGCAAGGAGCACCTGACGCCATTGAGCTGCATGTAGAAATAAAGTAGCGCCTATCTCTGTCACACCAAACAAATGCAAGTAGATCGGTTCCGGACTCTTCGTGCCTTGCAGTTACACCATGACGGTCACCCTTTCCAGCTGGCAACTGAAAGCGGGAGAGATAACGCATTGGGAATCCTTTCGTAGCAGTCTTGACGACTCCAATGAAACGGAGCCCTATGCCCTTGAGACGGACGGCAGTTTGTACAGAAGCAAAGTAGCTGTCGGCAACAACGATCCGGCTGGTATTGGCCCAGGGCTTAACCAATTCATATAGGACGTTGCATCCATGAGCGTACCTGCAGGATTAAGAGTGCAAGATGTGTGAGTAACAAACAGCCAGTGTAATAAGTAGCTACAACACAAGTGATACGTACCTATTGTCGTCCTCCTTTTGAGCATCGTGCTCTCGTGTGTCTTCATCGGCATCCACCGCCTTGACAAGTTTCAACTTCAACATGATGGAAGTCACACCATCAGCAGCATTCTGAATTTCACAACCGAATTCTGGTTTGCGCTCAAGGGCAATGTAGTGAGGCAATCCAAGGTTGATCCAACTCCCACCAAGTCCATACCAGCGGCTCATGGATTCGTCAACACAGATGATGTAGGACGGTTCGTAGTACTGCTCTCTGTGTTCATTGAACCGGTCAACCCATCCTTGAACAAGCATCCATCTGTATGTCTGGTTCCCCATTCCTTCTGGCCGTTCTTCAGGTTGATGACTCCAAACCATAAAGCGAGTGAGCTCTTCAAACCTGTTCTTACTCATTCCAGTCTTTCCAAAGTTGGGAGCAGGGATGTACTTGCGACCTGTCTTCTCTTGCCAAAGACTTTGCCGGCTGCCAAATTCGAAAAGGGTGATCAAAAGATTAATGCCCAACCGCTTCAAGACTTCGCCGATGTTGGTAAGCTTGGAATCATTCTTACGAAGCTTCTTGTTGGTCTCTTCAACCATGAACTTGAGCTGGCTTCGAGGAAAGGTGGCCATGAAGAAGTCGTAGGGAGAGAATTTGGCCTTCTTGTTTTGGGACATAAGTATTTCATCGCAACCAGGAGAAAACTCGCACCCAGTGTACTGGCAAGTGAACTTCCACGTCTTCATTGGAGTAGGCCCGTTCGTATCAACATCAGTGGGCTTGTCGGTGAACCAGTCGTAGCCATGGTTGCTTGAAACCGGAGTGCGTCCGGTTGGGGAAGGAATATGATCTTGTTGTTCCGAATCTTGTTGTTCCGAATCTTCATCATCATTTACAGTCTCAACTGTGGGGACTGATTCATCAGCACCGGTAGATGCTGTTGCGACTTCCTCTTCTTGTTCATCGTTCTTGTTGTTGTTCGCAGCAGTAGTGTCCTCCGTCGTGTCGGTAGTGGTTGTGTTGGTCGTTGGTGGTGGTGGCTGTTGTTGTTGTTGTTGTTGACCTTCCACGCTGGACGGATTTGCGTTTGGATTGGTTGCTTTGAGACTTCCAAGATGGACCCATGCCTCTTTCGCATGGTTCCCGACAGGGTAGAGAGCTCTCACGTAGTTAGTTCCTCGCTTGGCATCCGGTGTCTTCTTTCTCAACTGGACTTCCAGCACTCGCCCCATCAACCAAGTTTCAGAAGCGGCAGCTCCAAAAATTCGACCTGCATCACGGCTAACGTGCTTTGCTTGGGCCCAGCACACACCACCCACTTGCTTGCGAGTATCGGTCATGTTGGAAGGCTCTCAACACTGTTGTGAGGGCACGTCGGTGGCTCATTTGCCGCTCTTTTCCTCATTGTCATGTTTCTCTTCTTCCGAAAAGAAAAAGTTGTGGTCCACGATTTTTCGCAGAAATCGGAACATACAGCGCTCCTGCCAGCTTCCATTCCCATCAAACTTGGCTCTCTCAAGCGTCAATTAACAGACCAACATGTAAGTTAACTATGCTCTATAAAGCGAGCACGTTACCTTACTATTCAGAGCATTATATTACTATTGGCGAGCTGACCAAAACGGTGCGTTAATTAACGCATATATTGTTAATTAACGCGGCTAGAAGCATAGACACTAGACTACGTGCTCGGAGCTCATGAAGTGTGCTTGGCGCTTGGTTGAATTGCGGGACATTCTACTCAGGAAGCCTACCCTGAAAGAATTATGAATGGTTCCTCGCTGACTCCTTCAGTCCATCAGTTCTTTAAACTCCAGTTCACTCCTTCACTCTGGCGATTTATTTAATAAACTGCTCTTTCATGAAGCCGCATGTCGAGTGTCGAGCAGTCTTAATTAAGTCTTGTGAAAATTGAGGAGCGGGTCAACACTCAACACTAAACACAAGAAGTGCCGAAAGCAGACAGCAAAGGGAGGATTCGATTCAGGACACAGCTCAGGACACCAGCCACATACCGGTACATACGGTAAAACAACAACCGAGCCGACAAACACTGGCCTTCATGTTCCACCAGAGAGGACGCTTCCCGAGAGCACTCGCTCTCTCTGGGCTCCTTCTTTTGTACACGAGCATTGGAATGGCAGCAGGACAGCGGATCAAGGAAGGATGCTTCGACTCGGCTCCACTCTCCTGTGATGCTCCTAGGCGCAGCCCCGCTGACGTGACATTTAGTTTGGAAGAAGTTTGCTACGGGCTTCAGTCGGAGATCTTTCCGAGTGAAACAGTTGCAAAAGATACCTCATTACACGCCGACTACTTGAACGGCATCGACGCATCCAGTGAGCTGTGCAGTCAAGTGCAGATTGCCTACAGCCAATGCTTCTTTTGCCACCCCGAACGCGATTTCAAGCATGACTGCGAAAACACAGCTGGAAGCTCGCTTTGTGGTGGCGGTTTGCCAACACGAGAAGAAGTGATTGAGAACAACGAGAGCGAGGTGTACGCTCGGTTTCAGACAGACGAAGATATTGATGCTACTTGTGCGGAACTGGAGTGGGCATACGACGGTATCTACCCTTTTGATATCCCGAATACAATCGACCTCTGTGAGCGTCAGATTGCAGTGAAGCATCTCTGCCCGGGCTATTGTGACGGGACGTGTTTTGACGAGGATCTCAACCCTAATTCTTGCAATCCTGCAGACTTTTCAGGTCCTTTCAACGAGACCCTTGACTCCTTCGCCATCTGCGACGAGCTACGTTATCAAGCCTTCAACGAAGCACCGATTGAACATGTTCTAAACGTCTCCGTTCATCTTGATTATCTCAGGGCAGTTCAAAAAAACTCTTCGTTCTGTAACCAAGCGAGGCAAGCATATTCACAATGTTCGTGGTGCGCAGAGCAGCTATGCTTCAGCGAGGAGAACCCAGCCACCTGTGAAGCCCCCACCGCATCTGTCGTAGATCTAGCTGCAGAGGATCATTTAGCAGATATCGAAAAGGCTTGTTTTGACATATATTGGTCATTCTACGACATTTCATTTCCAGACGATGTCCTCAACGTTTCTCTGCATACTGGAAGGATACTCATCCCTGAAAACACAACCACATGCAACCGGGCTCGACAAGCTTATCACTCCTGTTACTGGTGTGCTGAAGACCCACCAGTAGACTTTTGCCGCCATGGTACCGTATGCGCCTCCAACGTTTCTCTTCCCGAGAACTTCACCTCTACGGTACTGTCTGATTTGAACATTTCTACTGAAACAGCGCTGGATTGTGATAAAATCTTTCAGTTCTGGAACGACACCTGGAGCGACCCTCTATCCATGCAAGGGTGCTACGATGACATTTATCTAGCCCGATTGTGCCCCGAGCAATTCTGTTCACTAGAAGATGCCTTGACGCTTGGGGAAGTTTACTTGGGTGCTACGACTACAGCCGAAAAGAGGGCGCTGATCTGGCTTTCTCGAGTTGCAGCTATTCTCTCTTTCTTGGGTGCTTCGTTCATCTTGTACGACACACTGTCAGATCCAAAAGCGAGGACAACGACGTATCATCAGCTTCTTGTAGGCATGGCCATCTTTGACTGTGTGACTGCCATTGCATGGTGCTTTGCAACCTTGCCCATACCCAAGGAAGAAGCAGGTCATGTCGAAGGTGCAATGGGCACTGAAGCAACCTGTACAGCCCAGGCATTCACAATCCAACTTGGCTTCACCTCGGTATTCTACAATGCATCCCTTGCTTTGTACTATATGTTGGTCATAGCCTTTGGTTGGAGAGAGTTTCAGCTGAAAAAGATCAAGCTTTACATGCATGCCGTCCCCATCACTATTGGACTAGGTCTTGCTTTAGGGGCTATCCCCAGCTACCATTGGATTGAATACGGATGCCATTTGCTCCCCCCTCCCGAGGGTGAAATGTGGGCTGGTAAGTTTGTGATTCATTCATTTCTGCCGCGAAAAATGTGTGCCAAATCTGCTTTCGCCATTTAACTGCGTTTTCTTATCGTGTTCACACCTCCCTTCAGTGCTCGTATTTTTTGTGATTCCACTGGGCCTCAGCATCATTGCCATCACGATCTCCATGCTGGTTGTGTACTGGAAAGTGAGGCAACGAGCTGCAGCATCCAGGAAGTGGAGCCTTGGGATAGGGAAGGTGGACTCTCTCGAGAAAAAAGTGTTCTGGCAGTGCCTCTTCTATGTCTTGGCATTCTACGTGACCTGGCCGCTAATGTTCAGCGTGTACCTCGCCAGCATTGATGTTGATGGACCACTCGGGCTTACAATGACTGTGGCTTTTGTGGCACCCCTTCAAGGATTCACAAACTTTTTAGTTTATGTACGCCCTAAGCTGAGCAAGAGCCGAAGATCCAGCTTTTGGAAGAAGGTCTATCGATCTGTTGGCGAGAGGGCTACGACAATATCTTCTTACGTGCAGCCCTCAGTCACAGATCCCACGGAACAGCCGCACGATGATCCGTTGCTTGCATTGGACCCGTCTGCCGCCTTGGCACACGATGAGATCAAAGCATTTGGCCCCCGACCAAGTCGAGTGACACAGCACCGCGAACAACTGGAAAAAATCAGCGAGCGTATCCCCAGACTCAGTGAAGACGAGTGGAGTGACAGTCAGGAGCCTGATTTCGTTCCAGAAACAAGGCAGCATGGGACCGAATCTGGCCTTCGCAGCTCTGATGACATGGACGCCACCACAGTCGATGTCAGACTCGCGACTTTGGAACGGGAATCTGATCGTCGCAATTCTCATCACAAATGCGACTACAAGGCACATCTGGAGAGGCAAGACTCGCCTTCTTCTGAGCTTGTTTCTTCTTTTCATGACTCTCAAGAAGTTGTAGCCCTCGATGAGTGCTTCATCGAAGACGCCGACAACAAGTTGGATCAATCCTGTGTTGCAAGGGGCACTGACAGTATCGACATGGGGCTTTTCGTTGATGAACCAACTGAGAATCTGGACCCACCGTATTTTTTATGATGGCAACATGCAGCTCCACTGACTTCAGGGTCAAGTATTGAAATGAGCGGCGCCTCCGTGAGCCGCGGCCGGGATTGCAAAGATTGGAGCAGCTACTAGTCCACTATCCAGCTGCTGTATGACGAATGGATCGGTGGCATCACGAAGAACCTCAGACGAGCAACGCATGCTCGCTGTACCCGCCGCTTTGGATAACCGATTTGCATCCAGACTTCCAATTTCATAACATCCTTCTCTCTTCGAACCATGTTTAGAGAGATGGCAGTGCGGGGGTCTCTTGGTGCTCTCTGAATGCTCGCTCCGTAGAAAACTCTTGTAGACATATACCACAAGCATGCACCTTGTTATCTTCCTTGTCTTCGGCGTTGCTTTCAAGACATAGAACGTCTTTACTACCAGTCACTGGTCGTAGAAAAAAATGATAGCTGCTGGAAACATTGGTTTGGAACTCTGTCACTTGTGGAAAGGTTGGCTGATGTCGATATCCGTATCTTCCCAACCAGTGTCCTCGTCGACTACCACCGACTTTTTTCTGGTTGGCTTTCGGATGCTGTTGTTCCATGTTGTCTTTGTGATCGGACGTGCACAGCCTTGTCAGCAACGGCTCCAAAAGTGGTCGCGAAGCCGCCATGGGAGAATCCAAAGCGTTCTGCAATTGTTGTCGCTGGATTATTTCTTCCACTTTCCACGAGCGAATGGCGCCACTACAGAGACACACATGAACATATCCCCTTTTGGGCAAGAGCTTTTGTGCCGAGTGAAAATAGTGTGCCAAGAGGGAGGAATGTCGCATGGAATGGTCGTCGGATGTGCTGCTATTATTATTGTAGCCCAAGTGTGGATGATGAAACAAAATGACATCAAATCTTGTTGATCTTGTCGATAACTCGGGATGTTCGTCCAATTTTGTAGCGTCTACTGCATACAAGATTGTGACGACATGTCCAAAGTTGGATTCCAGTTCCTCTAGAATTTCCTTCGATGAAGGATACGTTTCAACCACATCCTCTTTGGACGACAGCAGGGTGGTAGCAACAAGGTGTTTGATGATGCCCTCTTCAGATCTACTTCCATGGTAGGCTCGCAGAATGGCCAATGATGCAGAGAAGTCGCCCTCACCCACTGTCAAGAGTGTTAGCTGAGGTCTAAAGCCATCCATCTGTTATAGCAGTCTCCTAAATAATTTGCTGGAGGCGATCGAGATTTTGTTGGCACCAAGAAGCCAAAGCTGTTACTAGTACAGTACATCCACCGGTACCAGGTACATTTGGCTGGTTTCGTTCAAAGATACACAATGCCCGACTGAATGTCAGTTTCTCAAGAACCAAAATCGGCCTCCATCCATCCAACAACATTGGCAACTGAACATTCTTCCGGTTCAATGCACATTATTGTCCAACATAACAGAAGGAACAAACCCTCTGTTAATATGCGACTATGATAGTGTACCGGTAGGGGAGACCAAAGTCATTGATTGCATCGACCTTCAGTCTCACAACATCGATGAACCTTAACGGGAGGGATTGTGTGTACAGTAATAATCATTGAACACCTTACGCAATCAAAAGATGGTCCAGAAAGCTCAGTATAGCCTTGTTCCAACCAGGCCATCACGAACGGCATCCGACGAGACGTATGATCTGGAGTTTGTAGACGAAGGCAACAAGGATGATCAATGCCAAAAGAACGCCAAATCCGACGCACAACCCAACAATGACGTGGTCAACACAGCGGCTGATACGACAAAAAATACAAGGAGAGCTACCGGTATAACCCAACAAGACATTCAAAAGGGAGAAGAACTCTTGCGGTTTTTGGCACCTCTTGCTCAAGTCCGAGCAGGCATCACCATATTAGTGTTGCTTGTGGCGCCCCTCTTGCTGGCTGCAGTGGCCATCAGAGCCATCATCCAATGGACCGACAATCCGCTCGACAAGTACGATACTTGGCCTGCAATAGAAGGTCTTGCATTACCTCAACGTGTCACTGGGGAGATTCTTGCAATGAGTTTTTTCTCCGAACCCAAGACAACGTCTTTGGAAGAATGCATTCGCCGTTGCGATCAAGAAGGGGTGACGATCCTGATGGGTCTACACTACGACCGACAACAATATGAGGAGCATGATCTCTGCCTTTGCTATTACACCGGTGACCATCGTGACTTTTGTGTTTGGGAAAATGTGGCTACTAGGAGTGCCTTTCCTGTGGAAAAGGTAGAGAAAGGAACTGTCTTTTACAAGAAGGACCAAGACCAACAGGCGGTGGATTTGCCATTCTGCAGCGAGGACACTTTCCTTTGCAACCAGGACAACGGTGCCACCTGTCTTTTGTACCTGGGACCTGACCGTGGTGAATACTAAAGAAACCAACAAGAACAAAGTAGCCTCCACCGTCAGAGGTTCGATGTACCAGTAGCGATAATAGGATTGCGCCAATACTTTCATTTTTCATCCGCCCTTCCGAATCTAATGGAATACCTTTGGGTTTGCCCAACTTTTCTTTGCCAGGCTCATGGACTCTTCTAGCTCATGGACTGTAGTGCGACCCTACCGCTAGACCCCTCCAGTTGGCAGAAAGTGGTTCTTCAACACCTGGGACATCCCCGCCACAACCTCCTTGTTTTCAGAACCAATACTGCACGCTCACCCAACGGTCGCTCCGCAGAGGGAGTTCACTCATCAAGTTGAAGACTTTAAAAGCGCCACAGCTTTCATTCCCCCAGAGGCGCAGCGACACCGATGTTCTTTGCGAGAAAGAGAGCAAGCAAGGCAACGGAAGCAATGCATTAAACAAGAGAAATAAGGGTTCCACTATTACTGGTGCATTCATTGCAAAAATTAATGATGTTGGCGCATGGTCTTGAGCGACCTATCACAGTATCTATCTGTCTACGTGCCTGTGATGAATAAGTTCTCCTGCTTGTGCTTTGGAAGTCTGAGTGTCTGAGTGGCGAGTCAATCACAGTTCCTGTAGTTTTGTGAGCCTTTTTGCTCTTGTACCTTGTGGTACGGTGCTTGTAATGTACCGGAACGCTGCAGCTCTCCTCTACGACTGTACTATTATAGCTAGTATGAACAGGATTCTATCTTCTGTCCTCCCAAGCAATTTCTATACTCTGATACAGTTTGCATGTTGCTGGTTGACGCTGTAGGGTGGAAGGAAATAGATTTAGAGCTCCCGGTACTCACCGTGAAGTACGGTACGGTAGTACCAGCAATTGGCGAAGATTGCGGACTGATGCCGTACGGTAGATCTAGTCTACCATACTCTAGTACTTGGGCTCTGAGAAAGTCGGTTGCACGTGTATGTATGGAATAGAAGTGTTGGGTCTGAGCAGCGTTGCGCGTACTGGTACCGTACCGTAGTCAACAATAATGATCCAGTCAAGAGGGCAACTCCGGCTGCTCCACGAACCAACGCTCTGCCAATGACTTCAGCAAACGGATCCTTTTTCGTCAAGGACAGACAACTTTTTGGGTTGCTACATGTACTCCGTGCAATGATGTGAATGTCCGTCCCTGATGGACAGGGACTCAGCTTGCAATGCAAAACTCTTTGTGTTGTAGCTACCGGTATGATTGATTGAATAATAATGTAGACTATACTATATTTTTTAGTTGAATGATGTGCATACTCGTAGTCGATAGACGGGCGAATGAGTGGATTCGCCAATGCTTTTTTGTTTGTGTGTGTTGATGATTGAATTAGGTAGGGTAAAATAGTACTGGTAAAATAAAAAAAGGTGGAATGCAATAGGAAACAGTCATCAACATTCGGCACTGTTGGGATCCAATTCGACGGCATCACGATCTTCTTCTTCTTCAATTCCCGGAATGGCTATTCGTTCCGGTGGGAAATAGTCAAAGGACGATGCCGACATGTCAAAGGTGGTTGCCGTCGTAAAGGAATCTTGTAGTCGTGATGTTTTGTGCAACGATGCGGAATGATTCGACGAATCCGCAAACAAATCTCGCATGGACGCCTCTCGATTGTAGGTGGTCGACGAGAGACTGTGGAGACTGGGATTCAACAAATTCGTCGTAGGCGGCACTGGACTGCTGGATCGTCGTGTAGAGCCGTGTCGTTTGGGACTGCGTCCTTTGGGTGGATGTCGCGGCGGTGGTGGTTCGGATCTCTTGCGTGCGGCGGCTCGTGGCGGTCGCGGACTCATGCTGCGGGATGGTGGTGCTTTGAATTGCTGCAATTCCATCATGCGTTGTTCCTGCATGACCAGCACCGTGCTGTCGACTCTTCGTCGCGCGTGATCCACCATCATGCTGTTGTTACTGTTGTTGTTGTTACTCATCATGAGACTGCTGTTGTTGTTGTTGTTATTACTATAGTCTTGTCGTGGCGGGGGTCGGCATTGTCCGCACATTTCACAGACGGAAAAGACGGGTTCATTTTCAAACGTACAGGTCGCACACGCCCATGGTTCCATGTCTTGGAGTGACCAGAGACCCATCGAGAGGCGAGCGGTGGATTCGTTGTTACCACCGCCAGTGTGATGGCTGCCAACACTGTCGTTCATGCTGAGTCGTGAGATGGACAAGTCCAAGCCATTTTCGTTGGGATTGTTACACAGCATTTCAAACTCCAAACCCTCCAAATTGTTGACCAAATCATCAATTCCAATCGACGAACCACTCGTCACACTAGAGCCCAACGAAGGACGCCGTTGGACACGACGACCGCCATTCCCATCGCCGGAAGGTCGTTTACGGGTCAACGCCGCCAATGAATCCGACAAGACTCCAATGCGAGACAAGGACGCTTCAATGTCAATCTGCTCTTGGTCGTCGTTCTTCATGGTAGCAGTGGCAGCGGTGTCTTTGGTGTTGGGCTCGTTCGTCAAATCCTCCGTGTGTTGGTGTTGCATGGCGCTTTGCAAACAAAAATGTAACTATGGATGCGTTGCGTTCTTCGATCTACGGCACCTTGAGTTGATTGATTTGCTGGTTTGGGGGAAGGCCTGCTGCTGTTTGTGTGGTTTGTGTGGAAGTAAATAACCTGACCTTGTGGGACAGAGAGGAGAGGGGCTTGTGTCGACCAAGAGAAAGCACTTAGTGGGCGGTGGGCGGTAAGTTAGTTAGTACAAACGCCACGAATGATGCACGCGAACAGCTACGAGCTACGCGAACTGTCTTGCCGGTACCACAAAGAGTTGTACCGTACGGTTGCCGATTTTGTCCAAGTGGGAATGAAGCTTCAAGGAGATATGGAATGAAATAATGGGGAAGGTGGTTTGGAGAGAGCCATCCGTGGTATCTTTTACAAACATACGTTGCTGAAAGAGCATGCTTTAGCAGTCTTTAGCACGACGGCTATTCTACTCCCGTTAGATCTTACCGCGCTGAACGCAACAAAAGAAGAAATGCACGAGCATCTGTGGGTTAGTATCCCGCCGATACTTAAGAACATTGCCATAATGGATATTTTTTTACAAAAGCCTCTGCATTCGCAGTTAAATACACACATTTAACAACTAAAACACGAATGTATTCTACAAGAATACCTTTAACTCTTTCTCTTGCCACAATACTCAGTCAATTCAGCTGTCAATTCCCAGTGTCTCGATTCAGTTGGATTTACACAGCCTTTTCACCTTGGAATCAGATTGCGTCTCGGATGCCATTAGAGATGGCAACCGTGAGATAAAAATAAATGGTGTGCTAAAGCTCGGCTGCCGCACCCATTCCGGATCGAGGAGCACACCAAATAGTCTAGTCACCTCTTGTGCAAGAGATGTCACCCGAGCTCGATGTAGGTATGACATACTTGCTTGCAGCTTGCAGTGGTACACTGTACGGTATCAAGAGCTAGACTAGCTAGGCGATGCAAAGAACATCAGAAATTTGAAGGTTTCTTCTCCTATCTCCTCCTACAGTATGGTACAGTCGTAACGTATCTTTTGAGAATGATAGTTTACTTGCTTCATACTCAGTACGATTTAATTGCTTGCCTGCCAAGGACTTCACCTCTTGTGCAAGAGATGTCACCCGAGCTTCTGCACTAGTACCTGTAGCCAAGAAAATTGAAAGGTCAGTTTCTGCTTTTCCTTCTAATACTAGCTAGTACCACTGCCATGTACTTCAACCAAAGCTCGATTGGTCGGGTGAACTGCCTTTACCGTGGCACAGTAGAGGCTTGCCCAAGAACCAAGAAGGAAGCAGGGCAGGCAACTTTCGGTCCCCTTGCTAACCTCGTCCTGTCTATTCCCCAAGAACCAAAAGAAGAGGTTGGTCTTGTCAAGTGGTGCGCTCATCGATCGTAGAATCTCGACTCGCAGCACTGCGCGCAGGGCATTCGTGGTTAAAAATATTATTATTTTAACAGTACCGGTACCGTACACGTGCTGTAAAACACAAGTGGCGTGCCGAAACCACTCGAAATGTAAACAAGTTTTCCTGATATCCTCGACAGCAGGACTCTAGCACACTGGCACTGTAGAGAGCACTGGTACTGGTACGTACAGAGCTCTGGTACTTGTACGTACCGAGGCAGCGAACAAACTGTACCGTACCGGTACTGTACTCTGTCGTAACAGCCACAAACTAGACTACAGCGTATGTTCGAATTCCTGCCTCGGGGCCTGGCCCAGGCCCAGGCCCCGGGCCAGGAGATTATTTCCAGTCTCCGTCTTATCTCCTGTCATATGTACCGGTACCGTAGTGGTGCTCTCCCAAACCACTCGCTCCTTTTGCCTCCAAGTACAGCCGTGAAAGTCTGAAACTTGGATTTCTACGGAATGTTGTCTTTCGTTTGCGTTCAAAGCCCCCAATCGCTCACAATGTTGCTAAAAAGGCCTTTTGTTCAATATCCTGCGGTCTATTACAAGAATGATACGATGGTCTGCTTCATTTTATGCCAGGTCAATGATGCAAAGCAGGCGATTGACTAACACGAGATCGCCAGACCTTGGCAGTATCCCCGTCTCGGTTAGTTTCGATGAACAATCCATAGTGAGCGAGGTTCTTACGGCAGGAATCGGAAATTTTGACGTGGACCTCCCACCGCTGACCCGGGCAGTGGCTACAAAGACGATGTTGATGATATTGAATAGCCCGGACTGCGGCAGGGACGATGACGTTCGGTACAACGTGCCACGGCAAATGTTGGAAAAGGCGACTGGCTGGACCATTACTGGTGAGCGTCCCCATTCGAGCGGTCCCAAAGACACAAGGCGACGTCCCGACGAATTAAAGCCCGATGTTGTTCCGACGATTCCTCGTCGCAAATCCTATGCTGATGCAGTCCGCTGGATACCCGCTGCAGTTCCAGACTCCTCGTCTGATGTTTGCTCATCCCAAATAGGCCTTTCATTCCCCACAAGACCACTGCCCTCCCGCTGGTTGGTCGATCAGGAGGGTGTGACGCAGGCCCGAGGGAAGCCCAGCAAGCCCAGCCATGCCAACAAGCAAACCAATTCCACCAACGCCTGGTACTCAAACAAGCCGGTCATGGTGAACAAACAATGGGTTTGTCCGTGCCGCAAAACACAAAAGACGCATCGTGGACAGTGTATCATTTGGCGTCCTAGGATTACCAATGAACACGTGTTCAGGGGTTGGTGCCTAAAATGCTTCCCTACCGGATCACCAGGTACCGGTACAGTATGCCCGGCCCCTGTAACTGTGAAGAAGGGATCTCAGAGTGAAGGAACCACTAGCCACACTAGCGTTGATTGGCTGGTGGATACTACAGCACCTGAGCAAACTACCTCAACAAGTGGCTTCATTAGGAGAAGAAGCTAGGCAAGACGGCCATGACCACAATCAACAAATAAGAGACCCTTTCATTCCCCACGAGCAAATCTTGCTTTATAGATGCTTCAACTAAATTAAAGGAAGGAGTTCAGTTAGTTTGCTGTAGTTGCAAGTATTCTGTTGTTGACCATCCCCCATCGTCATTATTGACAATCCCCGAGATTTTAGGCACAGCAGCAAGTTTCGTAACTGTTGCACATGTTTGTTGTCAGTGTCAAATTGGCCCAAATGTTTTTCTTTTCACAAAAACTATCTGGTATCTCATTTGCTCCCACATGGACCACCCTTAACGATGGTAGTTCCAGCAATTCCTCTGGAATGGTCCCACTCAGATCATCATTGCCCTGCAGTAAAAGCTCTTCCAGTTGTGTCAAACGACCCAATTCACTTGGAATCGTGGATTGCAAATTATTCGAATTCAAGTCCAACAGAGTCAAGTTTGTCATGAGTCCCAAGGTGGTTGGCAGTGTCACAGATAGCTTGCATTGTGCAATTCTCAGCACTGCAAGAGAGTATTGTGGAAATGGTACCAAGTTCAGATTCAGAATATCCTCTAAAGAATTCTCAGCCTCAAGATTGAGCTCCAAGAAGCTGACTACTTCCAGTCCAGAAAGGAGAAATATTTCGGGAGGGATGCGTGATTTGGTGTCTGATAACCGACCATGTGCAGACCACACGTTGATTTCTCGAAACCGGCCTCTGTGGTCGCACAGGCCTCGAAATATCGTTGTGATTGGCATCATACATTCCTCTTGTAAATAGGTGAGCACAACATCATAAGCGGGCTCCACTTTCCACAGGCAGGCAAAGTAGAGGCATGCTAGGCCAAATCGTTGTGATTTTCGCCAGTCTGGAAACGAGTTCCAGTTTGGATCGTCTTCAATCTACTCATAGGCAAAATGTTGAGGCGATTGTGGATCCTGTATTGCCTGGATGGTGTCATTTGTTATATTTGGTACCAGGTAGAGATCGGCATCGGATTGTGTCATTTTTTCAGACAGGCTGCCACCTGTTAAGAGTGCTGTTGGGATGGCAATTGCCAATGCAATGACAACGATAACGATAGCCCCAATCACAAGCTTGTTTAATGCACAGGAGCTCTTTGCTGTAGTTTCCACAGGACCTTCCCGCACATTGCTTCCGTCCTCGTGGTTTGCTTGGTTTTCATCCTCAATATAACCATGTTGGAGTGAAAAATGTTGGTTATCCACAGCACCTGGCAATCCTGGATAGGCACCCGGCAATAGCGAATTCACAGAAATGGTAGTCGGAGCGTTGATGACACAACCTCTCTCGTCGTAAATGACCTGGGGCCGGTTGGTGCGATTCTCATCTACCAGTGCTTGTGGGGAGCTTGTAGTTTTGGAAATATTACCCTTTTCTATTTCATAAGTTGTTACAGGGCTGTCATGACTTCGCAGGGCCACCATGCCCATCAAAAATTCATCGTCCTGTTGACGTGCATTGACTGCTCTGGAAGAAGCGGTAAACTTTTGTTTTTGATCTTCGAGCTCCTGTCTTCTGCGGGGATCTCGATCATGAATGATCTGTTGGAGATCATCCAAGGGAATCCCCTCATCTCCAGGTTCACCATGATGCTGGTACATGTAGATGTTGTGCCTTCCTGCTCCAGCAGTTGCCTCTCTTCTGGTGCCTCTTTGGTTGTAGGCTGAAGCAATTCTTTTCTTCGAGTGACCGAGTCGTCAAGATCGACCTCCACGATTGTGGCAGCCATGCATGCATGGTTGCGCATGCTGCAGCTGTGTTTGCGGTACGCACGGGACTGGTGCGTAATCCGTACCGGTACCAGGTATGCTCCTCTATGATAATGACTTTTAGCCCTGGAATCAAGCTTCTGAAGACACGAAGACACTGCTCCCAACCACTGAATGCACAACAAAATACCTACATGTTGTGGCTAGTACCAGAACCGCTACCAGAACAGCTCCACCAGCAGCTCTCTAGCTGGATCTAGCTAGACTTGGTTCCGTACCGTACGGTAGCAAGCAGTGCTACCTGTACAGGTAACCGCCGGCAGCCAGACTAGTTACCGGCCTGCAGCCTAGCTTAATCCACTTTGATGCAACTGGCAATTCTAATCTTCCTGCCATAGTATTATTTAACTCGCCAACTTTGAACAAGCACCACGGCCGCAGAAGGGACCAAGGTTTTCTGCTTCTTTGCAATCTATGTCCCCCTATTTCTTCCCCCACTGCTGTTCTTGCCTCTGGTGAATACGGAATAGGGTGGCATACATCCAACAGCTCATCCAACAATGAAGACCCAACACACTCTGTGCTCTGTGGGTGGATCAATCCTCGATTTTTGTAAAGACTCGACGACTCGACGACTCCACTCGACCTCAAAGGATCTTTTTGAGCCAGGTTTCATTTACAAATGACTTATAGCCCCTGCTCGTATACCCTCGAAACCAGCCCTCGAATCTGGCTTCTTGTCTACTCTTAGCAGAAGATGACAAAATAAATAGACTAATACTAGTAGTCTTACCGGGGTAGCACAGGGCAGTTACAGCTTACTTGCTGTAACCTTCAGAAACTGTGACGCCTCCTTTGATTAGAAGATATTATTCCAGCCATTTATCTGGCTAGCTGCTCTAGCTAGAGAGGACCGCCGCATCAGTTACAACTCCACAGGCATTGTCTGTACCGTACCGGTACCGTCACTTGCAAGCCAAGGGCGACATTGACAAACTCTATATAATATGGAGTACGTAATTTTGAAAGAGCCGTCTCCAAAGCCCATGATTGCCAACTACTGTACTATACCGGTAGTAGCTAGCTAGAATGGATCCACTCCAGGACAACGGTTGGTTAGAGAAGTAGTCAGTGCAGAGACGAATTGGGAGTTAGACCAAAACACCAGCAGATCCCCGCACTATCGGTAACCGGTAATCGGTTACCGGTACAGTAGGAGCATTACATGTAGGTGTGGATCTTGACATCATAATACTGCATTGTACAGGCGCCGAGCAACTTCGCCTCAACCATACCGTACGGAAGGACCTACTTTTAGCAAATAAATGTTAAAATCTAATAGCTAGGTTTAGGACCAATATTTGGTTAGGCACTATTTACAACCTAGTGCTCCAGTACCGGTACCGGAATGACCACATCTATGACCTTGCTTCCATGCGGGTTCGGGGGAGGGGGGAGCTTCCAAGAGCCTGGAGTTTTGACGGAACACGAACTAATTGGTTTAGAGGGAAGGTGGGGAGGTTGATGTCTGAATCAACATTGCAGATTGCAGGACTTGCTCAAAGTTCAGCTTCTTTCTCTGCCCACTGCCCACGCAGTGCTCGACCCCTTGTTCAGTTTCCGTCTTTCCTATACTTCATTCTCTTATTGTCAAAGTACTATATCACGCAGCACTAACCATGATGATGCCACCGCACAACAACAACAACAATCGCAGGCTGGAATCGTTTGAAGAAGAACCCGAAGATTTCACCAACGAATGCGATGATGACAGCGTCGTGACAACCGAAGAAATGCTGGGAAAGGAACGGGTCTCCATTGCCACCAGCGAAAGCAAGGCCGTTTGGTATTCTCGCCTCGCCTTGATTGCTGTGTTGGTCTTGGTGGCGGCCAGTGTCAGCTTTGCCGTGTTTTATACGAACCGCGCCAACGAACAGGAAGACTTTGAAACGCAGTATCAAGATCATGCCCGAAAGATTGTGTCGGCGTTCCAATCCAACGCGGCCCGTCGACTAAAAGCCATGGACTCGATGGCCTTTGGAATCTCGTCGTATGCCGTGGATACCAACTCCTCGTGGCCGAATGTAACAATTCCTGACTTTGAACAGCGCGCTCAGTTTTCGTTGGATCTGGCCGATGTCATTTCGATTACATTGTTGCCCATTGTGACCAACCAAACAAGACTGGGGTGGGAGGAATACTCCTTTCAGAATCAAGGATGGCTCACCGAGGGATTGGAGATTCAAGCCATTCAGGCACAGGCGGCAGAAGCAGCAGATACCGCAGATGAGGAAGAATCTCTGGCTTTGCTAGATGAAATTGCCTCCAACAGCGATGACTTGCAAATCTCACCCAAAATTATCCGGATTGAAGGCACCGGATCGGTCAATGAAACAGGCCCGGGTCCCTTTGTGCCTTGGTGGCAATTCGCACCCGCCTTTCCCTTTAGCACAGTGGTCAACTACAACACACTCAGTCATCCGACCCGCATTCATCAGCTTCAAACCATCATGAACACCTCACAAACCCTTGTCAGCAAAGCCTGGGATTACCGGGATACAGAAGATCCAGAAACGGTGGGGCGCAAGGCCGTCCTGAACCTGTTCTTGAATCGATGGAGAGAAGGAGGCAGCAACTATGAAGATGGACCCGTGTCCGATGTCTATGTTCCCATCTTTGATCAGGTAGATCCCCTGCAGGCACACAAGAAACAGATGGTGGCAATGCTAACAGCCTACGTATACTGGCAAGTCTACTTTGAAAATATCCTCCCTGACAATGCCGAAGGAATCATGGCCATTTTGGAGAACCAGTGTGGGGGCGATTTGCATCAATCCTTTACCTACCGCATAAATGGCAAAAAGGCAGAATATGTTGGACAGGGAGATCTGCACGATGCACGCTATAATCACTTGGAAATATCCACCGGATACCCCGCCTTCTTGCAAGGGGCAGACGCAACACTCGACAACCTCATGGACGGACAATGCCTCTACAACGTCAGAGTATACCCCTCGAGAGAGTTCCAAGACCGATACACCACTGCCACTCCCTGGGTATTCACTCTAATCATTGTGGCAGTCTTTCTCTTTACCTCCCTGGCATTTGTGGCATACGACAGGTTCGTCGAAGAGAGGCAGCGAGTCGTCATGAAGACTGCAGTCCAGTCGACCGAGGTCGTAAACACTCTCTTCCCAGAGGCTGTCCGGAGCAGGCTCTATGAAGAAAACGCAAATCAGAACAACAGTAGTGGAAGTGGAGGCAATATGAAAGCGATGATGGGACAGGTAGCCTCGGGTGAATTTGATGAAGAGGGAAATGTGATTCCCACGTCAATAACCCACAACTCGGCGATTGCAGATGTCTACGAAGAATGCACTGTCCTTTTTGCAGACATTGCCGGTGAGTTAGTTGGTTGTGGGGCATACGCACTATTGTGGCATTGCTGTGCAGCATGACCTCATCTATCTGTACTTTCAATATAGGATTCACAAAATGGTCGGATGGGAAAGAGCCAACGCAAGTCTTCCACCTCCTGGAAGCCGTCTATGGTACCTTTGATCGAACGGCTCGCAAAAGAAATGTTTTCAAAATTGAAACGGTAAGGCAACATACGCCGAGCCGACTGCATGCCATGCATCTGCTGAGCACTTCATTGCAGGCTTACCATTGAATGTTTGCACGGTCTCTTGTTCTATAGATCGGGGATTGCTACCTTGCTGTCACGGGTAAGCCTCTTTCGTTCTATTTGGCTTGGGTTGCATTGCCCAGTGGATCTCTCACACATGTGCTCTCCTTCCCTAACCAGGACTTCCCAATCCTCAAAAGGACCACGGTACGTTGCTATAGCGGAGCTTTGGCTCTTTGCTTCCACACTTCTCTAACGTTATGTGTGAAACGGCTCTGCGAATTACCTATAGCAATGATCATGACAAAGTTTGCTGCAGAATGCCTGACCAAAATGAATCAGCTGATCCATTCCAAGCTGGTGAACACTCTTGGGGAAGATGTCACCAGTCTCCAAATGCGGTTTGGGCTGAACAGTGGGAAAGTGACCGCTGGAGTTCTGAGAGGCGAGAGAGCAAGATTCCAGCTCTTTGGAGACACAGGTGCGGCCCTGGGAAGCAAATGGATCGCCTTCCGTCGCAGTTTTGGTAACTAACTTCGCGTGCATCGCCTTCTGTTATGTTTCACAGTCAACACCGCCGCACGAATGGAGTCCACGGGAATCCCAGGCAAGATTCATGCCTCGATGTCTACAGCCAATTTGCTGATGGCTGCAGGGAAGAGCAACTGGATCCTAGCCCGCGAAGGTGGAGTTGAAGCCAAGGGGAAGGGAATGCTCAAAACTTTCTGGCTACAGCCGATTTTGGATCGTCCAACATCCGTCTCCACCTTCCATACTGCCAGTTTGGACACCAGCAGTACCACACCTCCTTCTCCCGCTGTGCTGTTGGATTTGGAGCAGGGGCGAGAGGGTGTCAATAGCCTGGCCAGTCGGCACGATCAAGACTCTCTTACCACATGTCATACCGGCCAAAACCACGAGCCGGATCGCTGGACATGGGGCGAGACAATCTCTCAGGAACTTGGGGTCAGAACCGATATTGAGATCTAGATCTGTCTAGCTACCAGTACACCGAGGAAGGCCACCAGTGTCACCATTGTATGATGTACGTGATAGTGAAAATGGGAGCTCCATCAACCAGGAAGAAGGCATAGGGAAGAGTCTCATTGTGGGCAGGATGTGACTACGAGAGTGCGATCAATGATTGGAGCATCCAATGAGCCAAAGAAATAAGGGGGAACGCAAGGAGACGATCTGAAAGAATGCCATTGCAAATCACGATGTTCTGCGTACTCATGACGATGATTGATTTGGGCAGAGCCCTCCGATACCAGCATTTGTACAACTGCATAATTCCCATATAATATATTCCAGTGTCAACACGTGTAGTCCGTCGGGACAGTCATCCTCGCATCTCTGTTCCCGTTGTAGCCACTGCAGCCTGAGACCAATGCATGGGTGTTCTGCATGATGCTGATTGTTAAGGCTTATGTGTAGATACTAGCTAGTGTTGTTTCGTGTGTTGTGGTCTGGCAAAACAAGTGTAACTCATTTTTCTTGCTAATTTTTGCATCCCGCCGAGAGACGTGTATCCATTCCTGTGACAGGATTTTCTCCCTTGAGAGTTGGGTTCTTGCAAAGGAATCGGATATCAAAGTCTCCAATGTAGGCTTCGGAAAAGTCAGTGTTTTCGACATTGGCATCTTCAAAGGATGTTCCAGTCAATACTGCATTCGTGAAAATGGTTCCCTTGAGTGAGGATCCCTTGAAACTGGCTCGATCGACAATGGCATTGGTGAAGTCAGCTCCATCAAAGTTGCTCTCATGGAGGTACGCCTTGCTAAAGTATGCTTCTTTGAAATTGGACCCCGAGACGTCGGTACCAGTCATGATTACGCCGGAAAGATCGAAACCGGGGGCCTTGGAATTGGGCAGGGAACATTGGCGCAAATCATAAAGTTTGTCGCGTGCTGCATTGGCTTGTCCAATCGAGCTGCTGCTAAAGGAGCAACGAGACTTGTCGTTAACATCAATAGGAGGAAGCTTGAATTTTGTAGTTTGACCTGAAATGGGCGAAGGACGAGTGAGGAACGAAAAAGGAAGAACATGCTTTGCCAGCGATTGGTGATGCCAGCAGTCTATTCATTCTGGTTTCCAAAGATGGGTAGCATCTTACCGTCTGCAGCCGCTGGCAGTGGATTCATAAGCATTGAAAATCCCAAAAGTGCCGAAAAAGCAAGTCCTTTCACAAAGTCTCCCGTTGCGACACTGCTTTCATCATTCGAAGCCTGGACTGACACTGTTTGTTTTCTGGCAACATTTTGTTGAGGAGCAAATCCCTCAGCAAATGACAAGGCCATCAAGGCGAAGAGGGCAAGAGGTCGAGAAGTCTTCATGGTGGATTGTTGATAGATAGCTAGACGGCAATACAGATAGTTGTGACAGATGCAAAGAATCTCTGTAAGTTAGGTGTGAATCATCGGTTGTTGTGAGCTCCAGACGCCATGGTCGTGACGCAGAAAGATTCATTCGATTGTTTTTGGATGGCATTTTTCTTTTTGGATCCAAAAAGGGCTGACGTCAGTGCGAGCAAAACAACGAGTACACTTGTGTGTACCAAACTCCACGCCGTGGAAACTAAAATAGAGAGCAACATCGGTGGTGGTGCAATTACTAATAACAGTGGCTAGCTACTAGTAGTGGAGCACTGCAAAAACTGAGACCATTTATTTCTTTCGTTTAGACTTTGTCTTTCGCTGCCTTGTCTTCTTGTTGTCTCGAAATCCCTTCAGGCTAAGCTTGGTAGGTTTGGCCTTCTTCTCTCCAGTGCCAGCGCGACTATTAGAGTAGAATTGGGTTGGCCTCTCCCCTGCGTTGGCTTTCTCCATTGCTTCTGACATTTGTTCTGGTGTCATTGGTTGCTCTCCACTAGCTGCTTGCTCAAACATGCTCGTGGCAAGTTGCTCTTGCCTCATTTGATCCTGTAATACCTGCTTTTCGCGCTCGACCATTTCATCATAAGAGGCTGAAATACCGGGAATGAAAGGAGTTTTTGGATCAAAGCTCCTCTCCGCGCTCCCTCCGTACCGAAAGAATTTGATAATGTGTAGGTGGGAATCGTCTTCTGGTGTAAAAGCGTCCGTAGTTTTCTCTTCATCATTCGCATCGACCACAATAGTGGACTGTCGTTCGCTTCCTGGGAAAGATAAACGCCAATTGCGTGCCAGAACACCCGTTCCTAGTAGTTTCCCACCTTCACCTCTTAGTTCATCAGCCTGTAGCTCCAGTTTCTTCAAGTCCACGAACTCTGAGGCAATCATTGGTTTTTGAGGTGTCCCTTGAAGACTTGGAAGTCCAACCATGACCCTGAATTGCTCATTACGGAGTGCAAAACCCTGAACCATGGTGAACACGAACGATGTACAGAGGTAAATCTGCACACCTGCAGGATTGTGGGAGGCAAAACATGGCATGAAGATTGAAAATGATTGGAAGAGGTCCTTGAGAAAGACGCCAGTGTCTGCTTTGGATGCAGTGTCGCCAGCAAGATTTCTTCTGCCCAGTGCAGTCTCGACATTGGTGTACATGGCAGCTCCCGCAAGGATAGGAAGGATGTAGAACGGATCAGGCTCTGTTAAATCAGGAACCCAGTACAAAATACTGTCATCGCAAGCGGTGAGCTCTTGAGCCAGTTCGGGGTACCTCCCATTTACAATCTTTCTCAAGTCAACACTGACATAGATAAAGAATGGCAATTGCATGAGTGGACTCAAGAATGCAGCCAGTGGATTGATTTTATGAAGTTTGTAGATGCCACGAAGTGATTGCATTCCCATTCGAAAGAAAGCTATCAACTCCGATGTGCTCGCTCCTTGGCTTCTGAGATTCCTCAAATCGTTTTGAAACATGGACACAAAAAATTGTAGCTCCACGGCGACTTTTCCGAATCGAGAAGCCGCGTGGGCACTGTACAGAACCAGAGGGAACAGAGAAACCCTCACCACAATGTTAATGAGCGAAAAACACGCCCAATAGGGGATTCCAGCAGAATGAAAGCCATTCAAGAGTACGGCACTGCCGCCCCAAATTGAGAAACCTTGCATCATTTCTGGAAGAAAAGCTGATGCACTTGACATGTGGCGGACTTGTTGCTGCAGTCTTAATGATGGCTGCTGATCAAAACCATGCCTTGAAAGTGCTCTAACGATATCATGCTCCCTCGACGGCACATTTTTAGTGGACCGATCTTCGTCTCGCATGGGAACCACGTGGACTGCCTCAGCCACGCACTGCCATTTTGGTCCTGCAAATTGTCTTCTCCCTGCTCGACCGATATGCCTGGTAACTGTAGCTCTCATCATGGTTGCCCTGTGGCTACTATATCGAGTTGGATGATGGATGGTGTGTGTGGCACCGTGGTATGCCGAAAAGAGCCACAAATCTTGCAAGCCAGTCACGAGTAATACTGTAGTGAAATAAATCACGATTTTCTCTCCACGCCGTGGAAATTTCTGGCCGCAAGCACACGAGGAACAGGGCGAATATGTATCGCGTTTGGAATTTGGACCTGGGAAACACAGCAGCGCGGCTGCCATATTTGTGGATAGCTGTCAATTAGAATGGCTTCAGCCTACAACCAAAGAGGCACCAGAAGAGAGGCAACTGCTCCAGCAGGAAGGCACAACTACCACCGGCAGCATGATGAATCCAGAGAAGAAGGGATACCCTTGGAAGACCTCCAACAGATCATTCATGATCGAGATCCCCGCAGAAGACAGGAGCTCGAAGATCAACAACACAAGGTTACCGCTTCTTCCAGAGCCGTCAACGCACGCCAACATGACGATGAATTTTTGATGCAAATGGTGGCCCTACGAAGTCATGACAGCCCTGCAACCAATTATGAAATCGAAAAGGATAATATTTCCAAAACTACAACCTCCCCACAAGTACTGGTAGCGCAGAATTGCTCCAACCGGCCCGAGGTCCTTTACGACGAGAGAGGTTGTGTCATCAAGACTCCGACTACCATTTCTGCCAATTCGCTATTACCGGGTGCCTATCCAGGATTGCCCGGTGCCGTGGATAACCAACATTTTTCACGCCAAGATGGTTATATTGAGGATGAAAACCAAGCAAACCACGAGGACGGAAGCAACGTGCTGGAAGGTACTTTGGAAGCTACATCAAAGAGCTCCTGTGCATCAAACAAGCTTGTGATTGGGGCTATCGTTATCGTTGTCATTGCATTGGCAATCGCCATCCCAACAGCGCTCCTAACGGGTGGCAGCCCTTCTGAAAACATGACACAATCCGAAGCTGATCTCTACCTAGTACCAAATATTAGAAATGACACCATACAGGCAATACAGGATCCACTATCTCCTCAGTACTTTGCCTATGAGTGGATAGAAGACGATCCAAACTGGAACTCGTTTCCAGACTGGCGAAAATCACAACGATTTGGCCTAGCATGCCTCTACTTTGCCTGCCTGCAGCACATAAAAGTGGCGGTGGAACTAGTTGGTTGGCTCTCCTATTTCCGAGACGAATGTACGTGGCAATCCAGGGTAAACCAGGGCGTGTGCGACGACAGAGGCCAGTATCGAGAAATCATGGTGGAACCATTTTCGAACTCCAAAGTCACAAAAGCGAGCATCCCGCCCGAAATATTTCTCCTTTCTGGACTGGAAGTGGTAAGCTTCTTGGGAGTCAATCTTGAAGCTGAGGATTCTTTAGAGTATATTCTGAATCTAATCTTGGTACCATTTCCACAATACTCTCTTGCAGTGCTGAGAATTGCACAATGCAAGCTATCTGTGACGCTGCCAACCGCCCTGGGACTCATGACAAGCTTGACTCTGTTGGACTTGAATTCGAACAATTTGCAATCCACAATTCCAAGTGAATTGGCTCTTTTGACGCAACTGGAAGAGCTTCTGCTGCACGGCAATGATGATTTGAGTGGGACCATTCCAGAGGAATTGCTGGAGCTGCCATCGTTAAGGGTGCTCCATGCGGGAGCAAATGAGATACCAGATAGTTTTTGTGAAAAGAAAAACCTTTGGGCCAATCTGACGCTGACAACAAACATGTGCAACAGTTACGAATCTTGCTGCTGCGCCCAAAATCTGGGAGATTGTCTATAATGACAGTCGGGAATGGTGAACATTGAACAACGGGACAGAATAGTTGCAACTACAACTAACTGTACTCCTTTCTTTTTAAAACAATTGGTAACAGCACTCATGTACACATCAGTTGAAGCATCTGTAGTGCAAGATTCGTTCACAGGGAATGAAAGGGTCTCTGCTTGTTGATTGTGATCATCTTCTCTGGATCGGTCTTGCATGGGTTCGCCTCCTACCAAAGAAGCCACTTTGCTCAGGAGTTGTACATGTAGTATCCACCAGCCAATCGACCTTATTGTTGCTAGCTAGTAGTGCCTTCAGGTGGAGATCTCTGCTTTGCAGTTCACAGGGGCTGAATATACGTCTGCTAGTGGTAGTACTGGTAGGATCTTTAGTGGTGTCACCACTGCAACGTCGAGACATCGGGCCGACGATGATACGGCGCTCACGTGCTCCTCTTGCTTGAGATTTAGCACTACGAAACGATGACTAACTCGTTCTGCTTTAGCCGCCTGGTCCGCGATATCAATTGCAGTTGATGCGACTCATTGTTGCGTTATTGAATGGTAATTGAATATTCACAAAGATGCGACTGTAATCCATTCTTATTGCTACTTCATGCTTATTGCGTACGAGACGAAGCCACTGACAACCAACCACATGGCCCTCGAATTGTGTCCACAAAGGTTTCCCGGACTCTGGGCTGTGGATATTGTGTCCTTCTCTGGTTGAATTTGGCTTTTGACGCGATGTGGGCAGTGTACTCCAACCTTTGGGCAGTGATTGCTTCTGTCTTCAAAATGGGCTTTTTGAGTCGATGCCACGTTCTGCTTCTCTAGAGGAAATAAATTGAAAATGCCTGACACGAAATTCCATACAGCACAGTTCCAATCTAGCTAGCATCGTCAATAATTTGTTCTTCCCATCCATCCAACACACCCCACAGAGCTACGGAGACGGTGGCGAGAAAACTCTTGCAAAACTCGTTTGGTCCATAGTCCTCCCTCGGGTTGTACAAAGCAGAGCCTTGGCTTCTGCTGCCGAGATGCTTGGTTCTCCAACTTCAGCAGCGATTCGTTGCAAGTCCTCTGCCGTGATGTATCCCTTGTGGGACTGGTCCAACAGAGAAAAGCAGTGTTGGATTTCGGCGCTTCGATCGCGTCGGTGTTGTGACAGTACTTCCAAGACGATGGACAGTGGGATAAAGGCTTCGTCTTTGGTATCCAATAGCTCTTGTTGTTGCTGTTGATATGTCGTCGAGATGTTCTCAATGGCATCGGCAACCTTTCGTCGTAACTGCAACAAAGAAAGTCGCTGTGGTTGAAATCCAAGGCCCAAAAACAGAGTGTGAAAGTTCTCCAATGTAATTCGATCTATCTTCTCTTCGTCCATGGCTTGAAACGACATTTTCACGTCGTATTCGTCAATGGCAGAGAGTGTCATGGTGGCTTCCTGTCTCACTGCAACTGGGTCTCTCTTCTGTCGTCCTGGTCGAGATGTCTCCTCGGATATTACGTCTCCTGAGACGACGCACCTTTTGGTTACCCCTCAGTTGCCCTCTGAAATGGATTGGCTCGCGTTTACTGTGTAAATTAGTGTACCCGCACTTCAGTTGCAGAATCAACGGTCATGTGTATCGTTAAGTAACAAGTTCTCTTTCGAAAGATTTAGATCGATTCGTGGATAAAAGAACCGTTGAAGTTATTAAGGTTAAGGATAAACTGATTGCCTGCACATGTATGTACCGGTAGTGGTACGGTGTATACGTATCGGTAGGAGGAGTTCTTTATCCAATCGGCCGATCGATCCATCGACCAGATCGATCGATCGCAATGAGGTAAGCCTATTATCAAGCTTGTTATTGAAGGTACAGCGCTGACTTCTCTCCCTCATTCAATTCCTATGGTATTCAGGAGAGAATTCCAAGCTCGGCCGTCAACAGGTGAGTTGTTCTTTAATTATTCGAATCGAATCGATCGGTCGGTCGCACCTCTATTAACTCTATTGTCAAGCCTCACTCAAGCCGGTCGTCTCCGGTGCAGATTCGAAAGCCATCCCTCATTGAATCCTATGGACCGTGGGATGGCAGTCAGTTCTCGGCCCATGACGGCCAAGTTGGTGCAATTTGAAAAACAATGGTAAGTCTCCGGTCGTCTGCAGTTGAGCACAGAAAACAAAACTCATATCTATTTGTTGTTTTCTCTGCTACACTGCTGACGGCCGAGGAAATACCATTGTCGAGTCCTTTTCGAACGATTGATCGCTCCGAATAACACGAGGAAGAAGAGGCTACCGCTACGGAGGTATGTGTACGGAGGAAACTGTTAACTCCAGCCCTACCAACAGCATGAACGGATCGTCGTCGACTCATTGAAAGGGAACAGGAGCAAGGCTAGCTACTCGACAACACACAAGAGAGTGGATCCTCCGACCGGATTCATCCCTTCTTGTTATTTCCTACTGTTTTGGTGGTATTCCTATGTCGGTACCCTTTTCCTGTATGGCAATCAAGTACTGTTGCCACTATCGCGTAGCTATACGGCAGCTGGGTACAATGGCTGGATTGACAATATTCGGTTGTGCGTGTATTCATCATAAGGATCCAGTGAGGTAACCGAGTGCAGCGAGCAAAGCCGAACCTGAGTGTGTTTCGGTACTGTTGCACTGTCACGATCGATAACTCACGATAGCTGCTACGATGGCTGGATTTGACAATGTTCGGTTGTGCATGTATTCGTCATAAGGATTCAATCAAGGTACCGGTAACGGAGTAGAGCCAGTAAGCGAAACCTGAGTGTGTTCGGTATGTGTGCCACTGTCACCGATTGAGTAACTCTACGGTAACTGCTGCTACAATGGCTGGTTATTACAATATTCGGTTGTTCAGTATTCGTCATAAGGATCCATGCGACGGTACCGGTAACCGTAGCGAGCAAAGCCGAACTTTCGGTACTTTGCCACTGTCGTCGATGTAGCTATACCGCAGCCGGCAACAATGGGTGGATTCATAATTTTCGGTTGTGCATGTATCTATTCGCTAAGGTCCAATGCAAGATACCAGCAAGGGTGTAGCCTCTCAAAGCGGAACCTGAGTGTTCGGTACTGTTGACACTGTCGCCGATGTAACTGTACGAGTAGCCTGTACAATGGCTGGATTAACCAAGTCGGTTTTGTGCATGTATTCGTCATAAGGATTCAATCGAGCGCGTACCGGTAACCGTAGCGAGCAAAGCCGAACTTGTTTCGGTACTGTTGCCACTGTCGTCGATGTAGCTATACCGCAGCCGGCAACAATGGTGGATTCATAATGTTCGGTTGTGCATGTAGTCTATTCGTCATAAGGATCCAATGCAAGATACCAGCAACGGAGTGTAGCCTGAAAGCGAACCTGAGTGTGTTCGGTACTGTTGACACTGTCGCCGATGTAACTGTACAGTAGCCGACTACAATGGCTGATTAACAATAGTCGGTTTTGTGCATGTATTCGTCATAAGGATAAAATGCAGATACCACGGAAACCAGCAAAGCGAACCTGAGTGTTCGTACTGTTGCCACTGTCAGTCGATTGCTATACCGCAGCGGCAACAATGGGTGGATTCATAATGTTCGGTTGCATGTATAGTCATTCGTGTAAGATCAATGCAAGATACCGCAACGGGGTGTAGCCAGTAAGCGGAACCTGGGTGTGTTCGTACTGTTGACACTGTCGCCGAATGTAACGTACGTTAGCGCTACAATGGCTGGTTACATAGTCGGTTTGTCATGTATTCGTCATAAGGATCAATGTGAGGTAACGAGTGCAGCAAGCAAAGTCGAACATGAGGTGTTCGGTACTGTTGCCCATGTCACTGATCGATGAACTCTGCTGTAACTGGCTTCGATAGGCTGGATTGACAATGTTCGTTGTGATGTATCGTCATAAGGATCCAATGCAAGTACGGTTAAGGAGTGTAGCCAGTAAAGCGGAACTGAGTGTTTTCGGTACTGTTGACACTGTCGCCAATGTAACTGTACGGTAGCCTGCTACAATGGCTGGATTAACAATGTTCGTTTTGCTGCTGTATCGTCATAAGGATCCAATGCCAGGTAACCGAGTGCAGCGAGCAAAGTCGAACCTGAGTGTGTTCGGTACTGTTGCCACTGTCACCGATCGATGCATGAACTCTACGGTAGCTAGCTACGATGGCTGGATTGACAATGTTCGGTTGTGCATGTATTCGTCATAAGGATCCAATGCAAGGTACCAGTAATGGAGTGTAGCAAGTAAAGCGGAACCTGAGTGTGTTCGGTACTGTTGACACTGTCGCCGATGTACCTGTACAGTAGCGGGCTACAATGGCTGGATTGACAATATTCGGTTGTGCATGTGTTCGTCATAAGGATCCAAGCAGCAAGCAAACTGAGGAAACAGGAGACGATGCTGAAAAAAAGCCGAATTGTTGAGGGAGCGTTGTGTTGGTGCTCGAGTTCGCAGCCGTTTTCGGAAGACACTCAAATTAAGGCTGGAGTTAATTTCGGTATCTTTTGGCCTTTCCAACCTCTCACATTTCTTGGTTCAAGCAAGTTGTTTGATGGCTGACACCTGCCGCCAATACTTATTCATGGTCAGTTTTGGATTCTCAAGATCTTCTTCTCATACCGGGAGCAAGAATACAAGTGGAGGTACTTGCTAGCTATCCTTCTGGGCTCGAAGAAAGATAAAAGTACTCTCGTCTGGTTAGCTGCTGGTAGCCAAACTGAACCATGACACCAACCAGCTTTGTTCTGCTGCTTTCAATCTATTGGCTCTCTTCCCTGACTTCCGCCTTTGGCACTCAGTTCACACCCTCGGGTGCAGCAGGCCAACGAGATCATGCTGCCTTTTCTCGGCTGTTCCGACGGCAGCCTACCGCCATAAAGAGTGATCAAACTACAAGTAATGACGATCTTGTTAGCGGCGAAAGCATGGCCGTGTCCATTGCCGCTGGTGGTGGTTATCTACCCGAGTCCATCCCTCAATTCCCCAAGAGCACCGAAGAGTACAAATTCATCAAAAAGTCACTCTTGCAAAATGTCATGTTCACGCGACTCCCCGCTGCGACACTAGATACTCTGATTCTCGCGTTTGAAAAAAGGACCGCCAACAAGGAGGATATCATTGTCACACAGGGGGAACCATGCGAGGGGGATTTCGTATACTTGGTGGCAGAGGGAGATTGCACCGTGATTGTCGATGGCAAGGTTGTGCCAGAACCCTATGGCACCTTGAAACCAAAGGCCATTTTTGGAGAGCTTGGAGTCCTGTACAATCAAACCCGGGCTGCCACCATTTGCGCAAAATCCGATTCTGTGACCTTGTTTCGAGTCAATGGCGCCACTTTTAAAGATATCCTGAATCACTACTTTTCGCGTGATGATCCCGAAACATTGTACCTCATTGATCAAGCCATTGATCAAGTGAGTGGAACCAAATCTCTCTATGGGGGCGATATCATAAGACAGTATCAATCGAGTCGGTTTTGGTTATGGAAAAAATGGACGGGCACCGTCTTTCAACACAATTGGCGGACGGTGACATTCAATATGGCCATGTCCTTGCTCTTTATTGTACTTGTACGACGATGCACCGACCCGACATGGAAAATAGGCCTCACGCCCGATCACTCCCATCCCTTCATTCAACGATTGGATATCATTCGGAAAATTTGGGGATACCAAATGTCACTGACAACCTTCATTCTGACATTCTTTCTCAATCAAGGGTACGTGCAGTATAAAGCTACAACTTGGAGGAAAGTGGCTGGAAACAGGCAGATCGATAGATGGAATCGGAATCTCACAAACTATCTCCTTTGACTTTGTTGATACAGTATGATAATGAACTCTCTAGTGTTGTGACAATGATATACATGATGTACGATTTGATCCATTGCGGCTAACCCACCATTGATGTGCTCCAGCCTACAGCTTTTGGATGGAGGTACGTTGTTGATCTTGTCTCAGGTTTTATTGTGGAACTCCAAGAATCTAATATGCCGATTCTATCTGTTGATTTCCAGGTGTATGGGATTGCCCGAGGCATTCAAGGGCGCCTCAACGATTTCCATTTGCTTCTGGCCACTGCTGCGCGGCGGAATGCTGATGGCACACTAACAACCGAATCCGAAAGGCTCATCGATGATGTGTCTGCTTATAGTCGACTCTTTCATATCCTGTTCTGGGCTTCTTGTGCTCGTCGCTTTGCCGTTTTGCGAACGAACAGGGGGATGGAACGAATGGCAAGTCGCGGGTTGATGACATCACGGCAGCTCGAGATTCTGGAGAACTTGGACGTCCCCGACAATCAAAGACACAACGCTTGCTTAGAATGGATGATGATTCGTGCCTGGAAGGGGATTGACGATGGCACTCTGAGGTCAGAGCCGTCTCTGAGTCAACGGCTCATGGATCAAACGTGCCGACTACGTGCCACTTATGCCACAACGGGGGACAAATTGAGTTGTCGGATGCCATTGCCCTACACACATCTGGTCCAAATCCTGGTGGATAGCTTCATTGCCTTGTCTCCCGTTGCGTTGTACACTGAAATGGGGGCATACAGTATCTTTTCTGTGGGTGTATTGACATTGTTTTACACTGGATTGTTGGATCGTAAGTAAAGAACGTTGCTGAAGTTTTGGTGTGCCGAGTGATGGGCGTTCGCTAACGAAATCAAACGAAAACCTCCTTTTCTGCAGTTGCCAAGGTGTTCCTTGATCCTCTGGACAACGAAGACTTTACGAAGAACTCGATTGATATGGATTTGGGAGTCCTCATACGAGAGTCCAATGGTGGTTCCACCCGCTGGAAGAACTGTGGAGTCAGTTTGCCATTTGCTATGCCTCCGAGACCTCCGCCACCGCCAAAGCCAGCTAGTGCTACCAGCAACGAACCAGAAACAGAGAAAGAAATCAAAACCGATTAGCACAATGTTTTAATTGTACGGTGAATAAACTGCTAGCTACATGTAGGATGCTGCACAGGCCCTGTACAACTTCAGAGCAACTATGCCAACGGCCAACTGGGGTAACCACATCTCCTGGAGTAGCAAGTAGCATTTCTCTTCAAGTCCTCCTCGCTTGTGAAGCGACACTCACATCTCCAGGTTAAGGACAAACTGATGCACCCACCCTAGCAACGCAGGACGTGAAACGAGCTCGAACCATTCGACGCCTTCGGTTCCACCAGTCTTCTTGGAGATTGAAGTGGATTATCTACTCCCGCGTGGGACCCGCATCCTTAGACACCAGCCATGAGCCGTCCCACACAAGATTCCTGATGAGACGCCCGCCTCTTCTTCGCTCTCATCATTCATCGCTCCCAAAACGTGCTTGCGCTCCGCGAAGAGCCTTCTCACCAAGCCTTCAGTCGAAATTGAAGATGGCGCTGGTTGGTCCCGCTGCCGTACGCCCCCAAGCACAGGAATGGCGAATAGTGCGAGGTCTCAACTCTGCAGTATCCGGAGGCTTCTGACTGTATTCATCGACTCCCGAAGGAGAAGGATATCTTAAAGGCCCACGGCCGTCATGCAGCACTAGCAAGTAGTTCTGTACGGTAGCCAGTCGTCGCCTGAGAGTGTGGTCGCTCTGTCCTCTGGGTCGGTGTTGGGCGCGAAAATCGTAGAGATTCGATCCGATTCATCATTCGTCGCTGGTCACCCCTTCCACCGTGATTCGATTCGAATGAAATCGGATTTCAATCGACCGTTTACTTTTTCAAGCCAGATCTCATTCTTTGCTTGGTCTCACATCTGTTTTCCGCCTGAAACAAACTCCTTTCAACTACCGGACGGCACCAGCAACAATGAATCTGTTCGACTTCGCAACTGCCGGGAAGGCAGTTCTTGACAAGGCAAACGGTGCCTTCGAGGCCGTTCCTGCCGCGAAGACAGTCGGTGAAGACGCCGCTGTTTCTTCTGCTTCTTTTTCTGTTGATGTGGCTGTGGATCCTTCCTTGGGGCAGAATTGTGCCGATGAAGACGCCTCCGCTGCGACGACCGCTGGCGACGGTGCTGCGGCTTTTGCCGTGGATGGCGCCGATGAAGAACTTGCTCTTGCTGACGTTTCTTCTCTGCGTGCTGTCGCCCACGGCGACAACGAAGATGACTTCAATGAAGACGTTGACGGCAACAAGCCCAACGAGAAAGTTCCGAGTGACAGTCAACCCGATGCGAAAGATGGAATCGAAGACAACACCGAACCTGTTGCCGCTGGCCTCCTTTCTGGAACCGTCCTCCTTTCTGGAAACGGCCTGCTTTCTGGAACCGGCAATCGCTTCACTGCGGTAGTTCTCATGGGAAACACACAAGCGGAGCGAATCGGTGCCTGTTACACCATCAATCTCAGTGAGCAGCCAACTGGGATTTGCCACAACCTTTGTTTCAACCCTGTGACGCATGGCCTTTGTGGGGCATTGGACAATCGCGGCAACCAAATTCGCTTCGTGCCAGTTGGGTTCCGCCTGCGAAGCACGTTTCCCGACGGAATTGTTCAGGAGCAGACGCTGCTCTTCGACACCTTTTCTTCGCAGCCTCGCACTTACCTTGGTCGAAGCGCCATTGGGCCTTGGACCACGACCACAAGTCATGCCGACTATGTTTCTGCTCTCGGTTTTGTCATCCAGCCCGTGGAGTTAGGCCGTCACGCACGACTTGTAGTAGCCAACACGAATTCACGCGTCTTGCCTATCATCGAGGCTTGTCTCTTTCGGGATTTCGATAACCAAGAAGAAGCAGTCTACTACGCATTCAACGCCGATGGAAAGCTCGTCAAACAGCGCGCTCCGACGATCGCAGACACCATCGAGCTGATTGAAACCAAGTTCCTTGGAGACAGGAAGATCTACTTTTCAGGAAAACTTGATGAAGAGTCTGACAAGTATGGCCCTGTGCGTCTTGATTGGAAACCTCGGCGAGGACCTCCAACGACTCAGCAGCCGGATGTTTCGGCTCCACGAACGGGAACTGAGATCGCTGTTGTGACCAACAGCACCGTGCATGGTCAGAAACAGGTTGGTACTCTGCGTGCACGCGTTGCAGGGTTGGTATCTGACAGAACTCCTGCCTTCGGCAACCTTGATGTTGAGGCAGGATCCGATCCTCCTCTCCCGTCAAACGTCAGCACGACTGGCATCTATTGGCATACCCCTTGCGGTTGTCCTAAAGGGCAACCTTGTAATTGTCGTGGAGAGTGGGAGTCGTTTACCCGAGTTGTCGAGGAGGACCAAGCTCGCCGCGCAGTTCTTAGTGCGGCGCAGCGCAAGAAACAGCGCCGTCAAGATAGTCAAAAGTCCTTCAAGGATTGTTCCTTGTGTTGCATTCTTGTGGGGATCATTGCTCTCGTGATCTGGTTTAGCGGTCGGTCCGAAGGAGTAAATGGGCTCTCTAGCGGTACCGGTATGACTCATTTGAATCCTTAGGACATCACGAGGCTCCCATTTTCTGGATTTCTGGAGTAATAATACGTTACGGAAAGCAACAAACTAATCATCATATAAAGCATTGCCGTAGAAAGATTGCTGCTCTGTTACCTACGTACCACAACAAAATGTGTGGGTTGGCTCTAGGTCTAAGCAAGCCTAACAATCTCCTAGCCATACGGTAGCGACGCACCATGGCCAGCCACGTGAACCGATAGACTAATCAGGTGACTCATCTCATCAGCAAGACGGCTACGATGTTTTACCTGGTACGGTACCGGAGAGGGGACTACCGGTACATGTCATTGTTGAATGGCGTTGCTAGAGGATGGCTTGGTGAAGCTTGAAGACGTCAATCGCGCAGTGAGAGAACCAAAGCATTCGCCTGAGACAAAGTGTGACTGAAGAAGTGTGACTGATTTTTCATTCGTGGATTATCAGCGTGGAAGAGACGATTTCCACGCTGTCGAGTCCCCTCACATTTTGAGCGACAACCATCACTATGTCCACACTCATCCTCCGCGATCAGCCCCCACTCTACTCTCCCCCGAGAAGCCTCATTTTTTGGATTTCTCATTCATTCGCTTGCACAACAACGAATTGACGACAATGACAGCAACATTTTCTCGCCAAGTCATGCATTGCAACCGCGGAAACCATGGCAAAGAAGTTCCGAAAGGAGGCGACGCAGTTGAGGACATGGACCGCGTTGAGAGTGATCTGGTGGCGAAAGGTGAACAGAACTGCCCCGTTCATAATGCGATACGCCCCGTGAAATCTTCTGCTTCTCGAAAACAAAGAGTGTTGCGCTTATTGAGACGGCGCGGTCGAATAACTCAGGAGAACCATGGTGGGTTCGAGGAAATTGGTCGCATCGATTGTTTGCTTCGCCCTCTTGTCGAAGTCGAAGGCAAGCAAGTAGGACGCTACCGTCTAATAGAACGTCTTGGATCTGGAGGTTACGGTCAAGTCTTCCTCGGACGGAAGAATTTAACACTGCGGACTTTCGCAGTCAAAGTCCAACGGAAGAGCGATCTGCAGCCAATGCACAAGCTGGAGCGAGCGAATCAGGAGATCGGCTTGATGCGAGCCCATAGTCACCATCCGAATATCATTGGATTCCATCAAAAGATTAACACTCCTGAAAAGTTGTATATTGTGATGGAGAAAGCAACAATGGATCTAACGTCGTTGCTTTTTAAGACTAACGTCTTTCAAGGTCGCCAAACTGACGTGAAGCAACAGGTCATGCTCGGTATCTTGAGAGCAACCACGTATCTGCACGAAAGAGGCATTGCACACCTAGATTTGAAACCATGCAATGTTCTTGTCCAAACATCTGCGCTGAGTGATGATGGAACCTTAATTCCAGGTCGACGCATTGAGGCAAACTCGATTCGTCTTTGCGACTTTGGAATGGCTTGTGTGTCCGCCAACTATGACCCCAAGGATACCAAAATCGACTTTGACTATGATTGTTACATCGAGTCCAGCTATGGTCTACCAAAAAAGCACTTTGTGGCGCTGAAAGGCGCTTTTGGCACGACCGGGTACATGGCACCAGAGATGTTCAGCGGGCAGTGGTACGACGGGCGTCGAGCCGATGATTTTTCGGTTGGCTGTATTCTTTCAGTACTTACATTCCAGAAGATAGTGACAGAGGAGTGTCTTGTCGGGTTTAAAACGAAAAATCATGAGGAAAAGGGGCAGCTAAAGGATCTTCTGGAAGACTTGTTGTCTGGACCCCTGCTATACAGAACCACCTCAAAGAGAGCTATGAAGCATCAATGGTTCCGATGTCTACAGGAAAAAGCAGCGACATACAGCAGCACCATAAATTAGAATATCTTTAGAACTCATCCTAACATGCATGGATTCATCCACATTTAGTCCTTGTCAGTATCATAGAATAGACCGCGGCGCGCAGGTGCAATAGTAGAATTCATTACTTTAGTTAGAAACATTTATTACACGAACGAACTACTCTTGACATGCGTCTTGTGCATCCAGCCAAACATTGTTGCGCTCTCCGTGCTTCTTTCTCGCATGCAATTGGCTAGGTAGTAGGGCGCTGTCCCTTGTGTCCTTGATCCTTCCTCAGGGTATCCATCCGTAGGGTATCCTGCGCTCTACTAGCTAGCTAGGTTGCGCTAGCGAGAGCGGTATGCAGCCGACAGATAGCAAGCAACGAATCGAATCACTGCCGTTCAACAAGAAAATAGTGAGTACAGTGTACCACCTGGTAACTGGTACCCATCGTGGATCACTTACCTAACCTGGATCTTGCTTGGTGGCACACGTTAGGTTACGTGTTTTGGCGTAGCTTTTTTGTACCACAGACCTGGCTCTTCCCGTGGTTGCCTATCAAACCTCGCACCGGGACTGATTGACAGAGATGATGGCTCGTACTTTTTACTGCGACAGGGCTCCTTGGCGAGGCAAGAAGATCTTGTGTGGTGTGGTACTTTGGTACTACTAATAGCTAAACTATAGCTAGTAGCTAGCTTGTGAGATAGCTATGGTACCTCTGGGCGAGGAGCTCGAAGATCCTCATCACCAGAGCTTGCTGTGCCTGGATGGGCTCTATCTAGCAGAGGTTCCTATCTATCTAGAAGTTTGCTACTCGCAGTGTTGCCAGTTGCCCTCCTTTCCAGATACAATAATAGTACAGTAGATGATAGTGATAGCTGCTCTTTCTCTAGTAGTAGTATAGTTTTAGAGTCTTTGCTGATTTTGATACTCTGCTAGCATGCGTTCTTGTTGTGCATAGATCATAGCTAGCTCCAAGTCCGCTTCCGATTCTTGTTCTTGCGGTTGTTGTGGCTGTTGATGTGGTTGCTGCTTGGTCTCTGGTGCTTCGGACAACGAATCGTATCGTCCCCTTTGCATTTGCAACAAGTCGGTAAAGCGCATTTCTTTCTTTTCGGTTTTCTCCGTTTTTTCAGAGGAAGATCCCGAGTCGCGTCGACGAAGCTTTGGGGGCTCGGTGGGGACGGGTTGTGGTTCTTGCTGTGGTTCTTGTTCTAGATGTTGTTGCTGTTGCTGTTGTTGATGCTGTAGTAGAGCATCGCTAGTGGGAGAAGCGGGTCGAAACGATCCGCACATTTCACAGGAAAGGAAACAATCGTTTTCATTGTGAAAGGTACAGACGACACAGGACCATCCCTTGGGTTTGGATGGTTGTGGCTTTGGCTGTTGTTGTTGCGCCTGTCGTCGTGGCTGAGAGGATTGTCGGGAAACAACGTCATCGCAATCATCCGCAAACGTGACGCCATCATCGTCTTCATCCCATGGTTGTGGGTGATGTCGTTGTGCTTGTTGTTGTTGCAGTGTCATGCGTGATACAGCTCGCTCAATTTCCACATCGTTGTCTTCTGTGAGCACAGAAGCTTCACAGGTGTACATGGGTTGTTGGGGTCGCACGATGGTGGTAGGAGGAGCAATATCGTCTTGGTAATCGACGTTGGGAGTTCCACAGCTGAAACAGAATCGATGATAGAACGGCTGCTCGATCTGGCAACACTCACACCACCAATCGACGGGTTGAGTCAAGCCACAGACTCCACAAAAGTTGTGCGAGAGTGGAGATTCGTGGCCACATTCGCATTGCCACAGCTGTTCTTCGTCCTCATTGACTTGTTGTGCTTGTTCTTGTTCTAGCTCTCTTCTGTATTGTGCTAGCAGCTCTTCTTCTTGTTGTCGGTAAGACATGTTCTCCTGCTGAGGACGAATAACTCTCTCTTGTTGTTTGTCCTGCTCTGGTTCAGCAGGGTTGCTCTCGGTCTCTTCTTCGTCTGGGGTTTTGTATCCTTCGTCTCTCAACCTTTGTTGGATGCGGCGGATGGTGGCTTGGTTCATTTTCTCGTTGTTGTTTTCTAGGATAGAACTAAGCTGTAGTACACTACAAAGAGCTCAGCGTTGTCGTTCCTTGGCACTCCTTTGTTTTTTTATGTCCAGGACAAACTTGCTGTTGTGTGCACTTGACAAGAGATGGCAGTTGGACTGATGTGTGAAGCTGTCAGGCGTCTTCGACTAATATGGGAAGGTCGGTGCGCTCTTGTTGTCAGCTTTGTGTGTTTGTGCTTTTCGGCCCTGCAGCACTTGAAGCAATCAATCTGTCTGTGTGTGCTGTATCACTGACTAACCGCTGTTGGTTTGCGGTCCGAACTTGGACCTGGATGAATGCGACTCCTTCGACTTCGACACGAAACTGGGCTTGGCTTTCTTCTATTCTCTTTCCTTCTGGGATCTGCGATCCGAGGAATCAAGGGAGTTGCCCAGCAAAAAACAACAACACATGAAACTGAAACATTCTGGGCAACCCCAATGGGTAGTAGTCATGCCAAATTGCTTAAGTACTATGATGAAGCTGTTTGGATTGGTATTATAATTCGTACAGTAGACTCGTAGAATTAAGAATGCGAGACGTCATACTTCTCCTTTGCAAGGCTATGCGTTAACTCTTTACTCATATATACTCATCTCAGTGACTTAACCAAAAAGTCGACTTTCTAAATTACTTAGGAGGATTATCCGGGTTCATTCCTTCCCCACATGCAAACGTAGATCCGTAAAATGTGGCCACAAATCATCCGGGACGAAGCGCCAGGCAAACCTGGCTTCGCTATCATTGATCGTTGGAGCTCGAACAGACCACATTGTTGCTCTACCCGTAAGAGCCCTCGCATTGCTTTGCTGAGGCTCCACGAGTAGAAGGTACCGGTAGCTAGCCACCGGTAGCTGGCCACCGGTAGATAATGGTACCGGTAGCCACCGGCACGTGGGCCTACCGGTATTTCAATGCATTGGCGAAGATCAGGTGCGGTGGTACAGTACCGGTACCGATGCATCCAGCCACGCAAAAACTCCACGAGTAGGTACAGTATGGTACCGGTGGTACCTAAATCGTTGGGATTCCAATTTTCGTCCAAATACTAGAGTGAATAGGCACTATTTCTATCTCTAGCTAGAGACTTAAAACTACTCTCAGAGCACTCAAAGTTCCCAACCTCTCGGCGCGAAGGCGGAAAGAGCTTTTCGCCCCCCCTCTGCCGATGTTCGGTCGAGCCTGTTTGCCGGGGACACGAGACAAAAAGATTGGGCATGACTCCCGCGCCCTCATACGGGCACACATTGATGTCGCTCATTCAGAGCCGCCTCGGGGTTGGATAGCAGTTCCTGGAACGCACCAACACTAAACATGGCAACAGTCGTATGCAGCTGGCTGCATACGACAAAGTTGGCTTGCCTTGAAGAAACTCAATACGACCAAGGAAAGCTAAACGCACCTTTTGATTCCTCCCGGTCTGCGGACGTGAACAGACCAAAGAGAATGCTGACGAGCACCCAGCTTTGCCTGCAAGAATCATTACTAAAGAGACCTGGTTCCCTCCTCAAGTCCAGCCACACTTACCATGCTCTTCCCGGTAAGATGATTCGATTCGCTGCCAGGGTCAGATTTACTGTTTTGCATCAGGTCAAGGCAATCAATCATCTATCTCAACTCCGTCCAACGCACTCTTCCTTTCTTTTCCGTAGCCCCGGAAATGCCCATCCAGACCTGAATGAAACAAGGCAACACACACGTGTCCTCGCTAGCTTGACTTTTGCTATGGAACTGGCGACCACTGGTTTAGCCAATTGCAACACACACAGCTACACCTCTCACGCACACACGAACTGCTGCCGGCCCCAACTTCTCTGTACGCACCATTGCGAGCTACGGTATCATGAAAACTAGATTGCACTGCTTGAATCACGGTTATAAAATCTCAAAGGTTTGAATGTGAACAAAAACCGGAAAGGGTTAGCATCCAATCAGGAAAGTTGCTATTGGAACCTACTACCGGTGCCGTCCACATGAGCAGGAGTGAGCTCCTTGGAATGGAACTTCAACCTTGTACGTAAGACCTACCGAGATAATACCACAGTTGACAGGTCTCTATTTCTCGGGGCTGTGCAGCGCCGTCAGGTGGTTCAGATCCGCACGTCCTGAAGTTTGAGCACCCATCATTGTTGGTGCCTTCCAGCTTTCCAGGCGTGTCCAACTTGACAACAAGTTCCAGGCCTGTAAACTGGAAGGGAACGTATGGAAAGCAAATCAATCAAATCCAGCTATGGCGGCTTTGCCTTCTTCCTAGCTAGGTGGGGTAAAACTGACTGACTACCATAGCTAGGAGCAAGATAAACCTTGTTGCAAAGACTACCGGTGGCTTGCAGCTCGGTTCAAGAAAGAAGAGATTGAAGCCGCTTGATAGTTTCGTAGTCAAGAGGTCGAAGCCACTATCTTTCTTCTGAAAAGGAAACGAAAAGAACACGAAAACTACAGCCATGTAGTCAGGAAGCCCTTTCCACTGCTTACTAAGGCTACTAGATTCCATTCATTTGGCGGAACAGGAGCAAGTAGTAGCAGCAATTTCCAAAGCTTGGGCTACCATACCGTATTCGAAGCATTTGGTGTGGTTGTATGTGTTTGGATGCATTCATCCAAGGCGAGCTTCTTGCGACTGGTTCATCGATTCATTGTTGTAGTCGTGCAGCGGTTGATGATTACAATGCTGTAGCGTTACTACGATAGCCTGTTATGCTAATGTATGTGATCACCACTACAACTTGGTGTAGGTGTTCGACAAGGTTCGAAGCGCTGACAACCATGAACGAATTTCCAGCCAGCCAGCTAGGTGAAGACACGAGATTAGCAAGCTATACCGGGATGTGCATGTGTGATCTTGCGACCAGCTCGGAGGAGGGATGTGCTTCATACCCAGTTTCCTCCCCCAGTCTACTTCTAAGAATGCGAAGCCAGGATGCGACAGAACGAGCCTAGTGAAGAGTGAATTCTGACACATACATCTCTCGACACCTAGCTAGTCGACGACTAGCTAGGTGAGCTCGAAGGTATGATACTAGCTAGTACTAGTACTAGATGATTTTATTCCGTTTCCGTTTCTCTAACAGTTCTAATTTCTAATCTGACCATGTAGTTCTATCCATTGGGTGAGTGAGTCAACAAAAGTCGTGCATAAAGATGGGATGATACAATCGTGTCAAACTCTCGTTGATGGTTGTATCTTGGTTTGTTTCATGGGACCAGTGTTGCATCTGCATCTTTTTGTTTTGAATGGTTTCGTGGATGGACTACCTCGGCGATTCATGTGGATTCTTTTTTGTTTGTTTGATACAGTATTGTGATGTCAGAAGTGCTTAATGATGCGGAGCGCAGCGTTCAACAGAGAGACTTTGTTGTTGCGAAGAAACGGGTCCGCCCTCTCGAGCCAGCAGTTGGCAATTCAGTTTTGCTGAATGTGGTTGCACTTCTTTCCTTCCTTCCTTTTTTAATAGACTTCAATCCCCTGACAGAGTACCAGGTATCAAGTTGACCCAACTTCTGTTGTTTCGTTCTTTTTGGATGCCCCATATGATGTATTTCTCGTTACCCCTATTAGATTTTTGTGTTTGATTGTTTTTGCTTTGGTTTGTTTGTTTGTTTTCCTTTTTCAATGAGTCCTTCGTCCCTTGCCATTGAGAGAAGAATAGTCTCCTCCTGCAGCCACCACTCGGCATCCTTGTACCACGAGGAGATGCCCCACCAATAGAATTGCCAATCCATACAAGAACCACGTGGTATCCAAATCAATGCCTTGTTCGATCGGTCTGCTCTTGTCGTCGTTTTTGTGTTGTTGTACTTCCAGTTTTTCCTTTTCTTGCATCAATGCCCTCTGTCGCTCTTTGATGCGTTGCCTGGCTCGTGCTTTGTCACTTTTATCCTCGGGTCGCTCTCGACTATTCTTTTCTTCTTGGACTTGCCGTGCGTCCTTGTCGCCGTCATCATCTTTGGCATGATCACGATGATGATGATGATGATGATGATGATGGTCTTCTCTTCGATGATCACTTTTGGAAAAATCGTGATCCTTGTCGTCGTGTGGATGTTCCTTCTTGTCATTGGCCACCACGCGATCCAAATCTTCCTTGTACGCTGCTGCTTGTTCTTTGAGTTCGTCTTTGATGATTTGTTGTTCTTGTTGCTGTTCTCCTGCCTGTGGACATACTTGCAAGACGGGTGTCAAACGGACGGCTTCATGCCCCGTGGCCCATCCCGCCACCACGGAAACACACTGGTCGTCGCTCCAAAATTGCAGTGTCACGGTATCGCCGCTGCGGGCTGCCACTCGCTTGTCGTGGTCGCATTGACCATGGACCAACTTGGCCTTGACGACGACGACGTCTTCTTCCGGGTACAAAATGTCCACGACAAATTGAACATCTTGCAATTCCTCGGGAACAATCAATTTCAGTTCGACCATGGCGCCTTGTTGCTGGACAATTTCCAAGTGGACATTGGGATGATCGCTGTCTTCCGACGCCACGACTTGGTTATTCATAATTACCTCCGTAGTATCCAAGTCGGTCATGCAGCCCATCTTGTTCAGCAAGTACGAGGCAAATCCATGGGCTGGCTGGGAGAACAATAATAACAAGAGGAGTTGTAGTAGTAGTACATGTTTCATCATGGTGATTTGTAACTACTGCGGAAATAATCGACTTTTGCCTTTGTTTTGTGTTTGTGTCGAAAATGCCTCGGATCCTTGCTTCCGTGAAGCGAGTGTCAGTCACTAGAAATGAGTGACTGATACCACGTAGTGAAGCTTCGCGCGAAAAGGGCGCATGCGCCTCTGCACCTCTGCAGCCCCGATTCTGATTCGATTCGATTCATTCCCCACTTTTGTTCTTTTCTTGGATCGATCGATCTTGTTCTACATGTAGCACCATAGGCACAGTCACAGGCTAGTCCACATGAGCTGATGTTGCAGGTCACTGAAAGTAGCTCTCGAGTAGCCCACAAGATATCGATTCAAGAACTTATCGTGTGAAGATCTCACAGTCTACCTGTATGGACGAAACGTGTGCCCGAGATACAGGTAGCGGTACGGAATGACGATTTGACTCCTGCGACCGTGGACCGTGGACCCATGCAACACAAGCCGCCAAGAGCCAAGAGCAGACTGTTCACCATGCTGTTGCTGGCCATTTAGTAGAGATAGTAGATCCTTCTTGTTACGATTGTCACTGTTCTACTATGATTCTGCGGAATCCATTCATAGCTAGATACTAGTAGATAGAGGTATGCATACGGTACCTGGTAGCCAGTACACTGTGTAGTACCAGGTAGCCAGATCTGTTTCATCCAAAAGCCGGAGAAACATCGTGGTATTGGTGATTGCGTTCTTGGTGGGAGTACTGCTCGGCAAAGGAATGCATTGCAGCAATACAGTACTTCATGATGGATGATGATGGCAACAGCATCCGAAACTGCGATTTCGTTTCATCAGGGGAGTGGCTTGCTGGGGAATCAACTGCAAAATAATGTGGAGCCTGAAACTACAACTGTCAGCATTTGGTACCGGTAGAGGTCCAATCATGCTTGCAACCAAAAGGGCAGCCCTCCTAAAGCGGGAGGAACTGGGTTCCAGCCACCAATGTTGCTGCGACAACGACGAAAGCAGTTCCAAACTCAGCTTCTAAAAGAAGGGAACAGGATGATCATGATGGCACTACAATTGCACGAAATACCTCGGCTGGTGGTAAATGGCACTTCGTATCCACTCATCCACTCACCCCAAACCGTAACACTAACATCAGTCTGCCACAACCAAACTTGCCCATTATCGTCGTGGGCAGCCATGCCCAAAGCAGCCACGTCCACAGTGACAACATTCTTTGAAAAAGTGGGAGCTCTCCTGCAATGACATGACACAAACCTCTGGCTATGGTACGAGTACCGGTACGGTACCCAGCCACTGAGCTAGAGCGGGCAGTGATAATACGAGGGAAGTGCGGTACCGGTGCGGTACATGGTACCAGGTACATTGTACCAGTAGGATCGGCTCGGTTCAGGATCATTGGTTCAGAGATTCACCACGAAGCACCCGACGCGACATTTTTGTGATAAGTTCTGCTTCGCCTTGCTGGCTTCCAATAAAGATACGGACTTTGCTCGATGGAGATTGAAAATTGGATGGTTGGTGGTCTCTCTCACTTCAGCATCCTGGCCATAAAACAAAGCCGGAGGACAGCACAATGAATGAATTAATCGTTACGAAGCAGACAACAAGATGATCGCTAAGGTAAGAAGAAAACATTCGCTGCGGGGGATTTGCCGCGACGAACGAAGGAACAGCAGCGATAAGTCCGCCCATCCAGTCTTTCCAAAAGATTTCCAAACATCCTCTTCTCGACGTGGCTCGCCTGTGAGGAAGTAAACTGTTATCCCTGTCTGAGTACAGTTGATTGACAAACGCATTCCAAAACTTTTCTATTAAATTTCTGAGGTTTCGAAGTCCATGTCGAGAAATTGGATGTTGGATGAGGAGTGTGGGGCCTCCACAAGACTGCCGTTCTTCTCAAGCTGATTCCATTTTGCCCTGATCGTAGCCATGACCGTCTCACTTTTGGCTTGCTTCTCTCATTATCTGTAGCACTCCAACCCGTGACGACGAGAATGATATGGTCATCATTGATCCTTTTTGGATCATGACCAAGAACCAAGACGGTCTACTAGTCCATCCTGGGGCTCTATGGTTGGTTTGAACCAGGATAAGACGGCTCTATGAAAGGGCTCGGAAGATAATGCAAGGGGATAGCACCAAAGTGGAATGTTGCGTCAGTGGGAGGTGACTCTCGAATCTTTCTAGTTTTCAATATGCCTCTCTTTCGTTTTGAAGCGCATCCTTTGGCAAGTAGCTAGCTATAGTAGCTGTTATAGTGCGGATGGCAAGCTCAAAAGCTTGCAGGGCATGGAAGGCCCTCGGTCGACAGGTTCCGTAACTTCAAAAATCGACTAAAAACAACGTTATAACTACTCTGTAATGATAACTAAGGATTCCTTCCAGTCAGCTCAACTGCGTGTACAATTCATGGATCATGCCAAAAGGCAAGTAATGGGCAAGCTGTGGTGCCAATTCCGTCCTCCTCCCTCCAACCATTCTATGCCTTATTCGCATCCTTTTTCCGGATGGACGTGATGAGCCCAGCAGCTTGTTCGTGTAAGCTTCTCAATTCGTCCTCAATCGATGCGCCTGAAGTAGGTGCGGCATCCACACGAACCTTGGACGATCTTTTCCTTCCACCAAACAAATTCTTTGCCCTGTCGTTGAGTGAGTCCACATCCCCAAAACTCTCCGTTTTGGATGGGGCTTTCTTCAAGGCTGACTGCGATCCAACCGATTCCTTGGATTTAGACCTCTTCAATGCATGAAATGACAACATCGAATCCTTGGATTTGGACTTCATCAAGTCTTGAAGGGATGTCACCGATTCCTTGCTTTTAGATTTCTTGAGCTCTGCTTCCATCAATGCCTCGAGCCTCATAGCTCGAACATCCTCCTGAGCCTCCTCGAGGCTCTTATCGTCTTCGATGGCGTGGACTCTCGCCTTCGCCTCTTCTAGAGCCTCGGCCCTCGCGATAGCCTCTTCCTCTGCCATTTCGGCCGCCAAGAAGTCTTCTTCAGCCTTGGCAGCAGCTTTGGCGGCCGCCTTGGCCTTGGCTTTGGCCTTCTTCTGAGCCTTTTCGGCGGCCTTTGCCTTTGCCTTGGCTATTTTTTTCGCCTTGTCCGTCGCAACTTCTTGCTCCAAAGTGATTTTCTCTGCATACTCCTTGGCTTTGGCCTTGGCCCTTGCAGCTTCCAATTCTGATGCGTACGCTTTGGCGGCCTTTCTGGCCCTCACCTGCTGCATGGTGTCGCCGCTCATGTAACCTGCTTTCTCCGCCCTTTCCAAAACCGCAATGGCACGGTCCTCGGCGGCAGAAGCAGTCACCTTGACCTTTTTCCAGTACTTCCCAAGTTTGTGAGAGTTTGGATCCAACGCATCCTTGAATACTTCCACCTTGAAGATTTCGTCCCTTTCATCTGATTCCTCGGAGAATCGAGATTCAGTGGCGTCACGGGAGGCATCGTCTTGCATGCATAAGATGTTTGCAATGTTATCGAATTGCTCGGTAGCCCCACACAAGCCGAATCCACTCCTAGGGATTGCCCCACATTCATAGAGAGAGTCGTCAGGCAGGTAAGTCGTCATCTGGTGCTCTTTGTCGTTCATAGAGAACTCAGCCGAGGTGGGGTTTGCAGCCATCTTCATGTCTCCCGTTGCATCTAGATCATGAGAGCCATATCCCTTGAACGACTCATATGACATCTTGGCCTCCAATGTATCGCTTTGGTTGTTTGTTGCGGTTTCAATCATCGTCAGGATTCAGACGAGGTGCTGTTGGAAAAGCGCCTATCAAGGAGGAGGAGGAAGAAGTTTATGTTTCGCGACGCTGTAGTTTGGCCAACAAGTATTGTAAACAAACAAAATTACCACCACTTACGAAACCACAGGGTGCAACCCAACTGCCAGCCAAGCCGTTAGCAAGAATCACAGATCTTCATGACGCAAGAGATGGTTGACTACTCAACTGCCATAGTGCACATCAGGTTAGCGCAGCTAAAGAATCTCCGAGGAGGGTGCGCGCACTATGATTGGCAATGCCAATGACGAATGAGGTTGAGTGCTCATTTTGGGTCTACGGTCGGTGCCCAGGACCAGAGCAGGGGTGCGCCATCGAGGACAAGGGTGCGCCTTGGTGGCCTTCAAAGCTGAACGAGACACGTGCTAATCCCAAAATTACGTTGAGAGCAGCCAGTACGACCTTCGCAATGGACCGAGCCACAGCATCGTTCGACTGGAACCAATCCTTTGGCCCAGAAGGTAAAATACAGTACATGTTCAAGAGGAGGGACTTCTATCGGCACCGGCACGGAACAGACGTACGGTACGGACCGGTACACGTACTATTAATAGTACCGTGTTTTCTTACGTTACAAGAAACGCGACTAAACCAGGTTTGTAAAGCACTTCTGAGATGGGTCATTGTGCCTCTTCAAAGTCATTGAGGTACCGGTACCGATACCGGTACTGCAGCGGCACCAGCCTGGAAGCGCTACGATAGGCAATGGAGGTCTAGACTGCACGGCGGCACCAGGAGCACCTACATACCTGCATTACTAACCCTATTGGTAGCAAAAGACTACCGGTATCATTACCAATACTCGCGCTGTGACGAAAGCCTATCGTAGCTCAGTAGCTTACACCATTGGTACCGGGTACCGGTAGACAGAACAAGCAAACGTCTATTGTAGGAGCTCGGTAAGTTACCTGCAGGTGGACAGAACAAACCGCTATCCACTCAAGCGATTTGTCTATCCACTCAAGCAATCTGTCGAAAGGTGTCGAAGAACCTACCTTTTGCGAAGAAGGCCAAGGTCCTACGGTAGGCACTTTGCTGTAGAGAGGAGGAACTCGGCTTCCCCTTGCTTTCGTTGTTTTCTTTTCTTTTCACAAGTATCACATTCTTTGTGGTTGGAAATGCGACTTGGAACAAAGTCGCAACTTTATAACTTGACTGGAGATAAAGCGGCAAAGACAAAGAGTGATCTTTTGTAGAGTTGAATGCAGAAGTTAGAAGTTGGCTTCAGTCCCCACTGCAGCTGCCGTGCCACAAGCACAGGACACTTCAAATAGTTTGCTTTGATGTGGAGTAGGGTACCGTAATAACTAGCAAACTGAGCTCCAGTGGTTTGTGCATTGCAATAGCTCTCTACAGATCAACAGGAGCTCCGTTCCAGCTCCAGATTCAATCAGTCAACACAACGTTGCAACGTTTCTTCAGCCTGCCATGCCATCCGAAAGTGCTCTAGTAGCCAGTTAGCTAGCTAGTAGATAGTGGAACACTGAGGAAGGAGCGGAGTTCAATCTTCTACAGTTGCCGTCGTCACAACCTGCTGCGACGATGTCTGAATCCATCCAGTACGTTTACGAAAATGTCTGCGATCAACGGTCACCAAACTGTCACACAAGTTTGGCCCTTCAAGAAATATATTGCTCTTACTAAAATGAATTGCTTTTGAATAATCAGTACCTTTATGCTAGCTTAGCCTTTGTTATCTTTTATTATTCCTAATACTCTTACTTTAGCCATTATTTACCTTGGAACAAGAAGGGGCTCAGAAGTGCGAGTGATTCGAGATTCTTTTGACGAAGAGCTCCAATCGATCAAATAAGTCCTAAACACCTCGGGGTCATTTCTCCGAAATCACGACTAGGTGACAGTGTCAATGAGTTTCAATGTCACTTGGTACTTGATAGTAGCATTGCCTCATAGGAGAGGCACCGACTTAAATAATGCAGTACTCGTGTAGACTGGTCAAGTAACAGTCTGCAGCTCAGAACAGTGTTGGCGACGAGGGGTTGTCTTTTTCTCTCGATTGGAGCCCACAATTTGAGCGGGCTCCCAAGTTCCCAATTGCTCGACTGCTGAATCTCACCAGTCAACGATAACAATGAGTGTTGATAGCCATGATGACCTCTCAATTTCGCTTGCCTCCTTCGGTTCCAAATGCATAGCACTCAATCTGGAAAGTGCTTCATTGGCTTCCAATTCCTCTGGCAGAGGGATTCTCAAGAAGAAAACGGTAGAGGAATCCTTGTCGTCAATGTACCTTTCCATGAGCAGCAGTTTAGCTTCGCTTGGAACATCCGTTACATTCGACTCTGTAGAAATCAATGAACATCCTATTACCCTCGGCGTCAATCCTGCTGTTGCAGATGGAGGTCCTCCCATTGAAATTGAGTGGCAGGCCCAATCCTACGAAGTGACGTCGGTCGATGATTTTGAGCTAGCAAGAGCCGAAGAGAACACTGCATCCCGCACTGTGCGCAAACTGCCCCCAGGGGAACGAATTGATCTTCTCGTCAAATCGGGCTTTACAAGATTTGAGCTCGAGCGGACTGAAGATGAAATCAGCTCCATCCGACTGATGAGACAAATGTCCAAGAGACAGGGGCAAAGGGAAGCTGCTGCAAATGCCTCAGCTTCGAGTGATTCCAAGGCACCGGTACTATCACCAAGCAAGACAAGCAGAACAAGCAGAGACAGGAGCAAGGCATACGGGAAACTAATTAAAAGGTTTCGACTGCGAAATGGGCGAAAAGCCGGGTCTAACTCGGATCGGCAATGACACCTTCGCTCCTCAACGAGCAGAACTTTATCTTCTTCGACCTCCGCACATCGTGCACTGTACCGGCACCTATCCAGGTACCTTTTTTCAATCTCTCTTCTTTTGAACCTTTGAATATAGATATTGTGTTGTCCACTTGCAATGCAAAAACCATGTATAGATTACTTCACAACATGTCATGCAGTCTCTTTACTAGCTAGCAGTGTCATTAGTCATTAAAAGCAAGCAACCGCGACAATGCGGCTCTTATTTCAGGTCTTGTGTGTCTTCTGATAGATACTGCAGTGATCTCAGAAATCACATCATCCACAACGATCTCGATGCTCTCCTGGCCTTCTCACAGGTTGGCTTCCTCGGTACTGGTAGGATGGGAGAGGAAGCAGATCAGGTTGCTGCCAACATTTTGTTTCTTCCAGCATGCTCCCACTCCATCTTACTATGTTTTGAGAAATTATTCACTATTATTTGTTGTATTTCACCAACTTGCGTGTAGTCCACTTGCTCTTCTTGGTTGCCTAATAAACCCAGCAATTGTTGGGTGACCAAAGTGTAGTTCACACTGGCTGCAGAGGAGCAGCCTGCAACATCCACTGAGCTCCTAAAACCTCCAAGTCGCAGCTTTCTGCTTTCGCAGCTTTGCAGGAGGCAAAGCCGCACCGGAGCACTTTCAGATAGCTCTTCGTTACAAGCAGCTTTTAGCTCTACTAGCTAGCTAGCTAGCTAGAGCTGGAGCTCTAAAACTAGCTAGTGATTAGCAACCGGCGATTTACATAGACGAATAACGTAACCGGTACGCCAAAAGAACTCTAACAAATCTTGAAGGTCACGCGCCCAGCATTGGCAAAGGGTACACTATCCTAACAACCCATCATGTGTAAGAGAACCGACGTTAACAAATCATAATTCTATTATTAACGTGTGGACGACACCTTCAACTGTAGTTTTAATCACTTGTGTCAAAAACTCGTGACCAAGTTGTCTTCCCGAGTTGCCATCTATCTAGTGGTTTTCAAGAACCTTCTTCAGTAATCCGGAACTCGCCAGTATTATTGGGTAGTTGGGATAAAACTTCAATCTTGACGGATGACTCGACTCCTGCGTCCAGACCGGCACAGGTAACCAGTCGGGGTTGATGGTCAGTTGAAACGGTTCTTGTGGCGACAAGGAGACTAAAACAGGGCTGGGAGTGGAAGACGGGCTGGGAGTGGGATACTGTTGGCAGAAAGGTTCCAATCTGAATGGATTATCCCATCCGCACCACCACTACGTGTACCAGTATGCGTAGTTCGAGCTCTTGGTTGAAAAACAGGTCTGGGGTACTACCGATAGCGGTACTTGGGAGGGGGAAATGGTTCGCCAGCCAAGGGCTTCCACTCGGGCTTCAGGTGTCCAAAGAAACACTTGGTTTCTTTCGAGGTCTAACTAGATCGAGACTGTAGAAGCTAATGAAGCCATTGGCGAAACTAGGTCGGTTGATTGCAGTCGTCGTTGGTGGCTGCGCAATTCTAGTTCCCGTGGCAACAAACCGACCTCGACTGGTACATGTACGGCTACTGTTACATGCCACCTGGCATGCTTTGTTGCTTCGTTTTATTCATTCGAATCTCTCCATCTCCCTACAGATTGGACGATCTTGTTCCTGGCTGGTTAGCTGGATGTCTTGACTTTGTCCTAGCCATATCTCCATTCTTGGTTGTCTTATCTCTCCTCCACACAAAAGCAAGACAGTGAGACCCCTTTGATGACCTACTAGATCATTTGCCCTGTGATTGCCCTGCGCGCCCTAAAAAAGCCCCAGGAAACAGTCAAAAGCTCGATGCACGGTTCGGCAAACGCTCGCTTTCTTTCGGTTCTGCGACAGGCAAGAGATAAGGCCAAGACCGACCCGAAACCAAGAGAAGGAAACAGAAAAGCTCTGGCATGATTGATTCAGACTTCCCAGCAACGACACACAAAAAGCAGCAACCTTGGATCATTACAAAACAAAACAACCAAAGCTAACTACTAGCTAGCCCAGAAAAGACACTGGGAAACACATTGTCAACTAAGTTATGAACGATTTGATTGCACGAGGAAGAGACGACGAGTGGGCTTTGGAGAGCTTTGACTTTGGCCTAGCAGTAGATCACAATCACCCCCACGACGACATTGACCGTATCGTAGATATCATCAAACCTGACCGCGGGTTATTGATGAACGACTGCAGCCATGCCGATACTCTCTCCACTGCCGGAGAATCCTCATCATGGGGAAGCAGTTGCGAATACCAGTATACACATCAACAACAAGACAAGGACGAACCGCAAGGAAGCAGTAGCAGCGAAGAAGAAGCCCCTGTGGGAGATCTCAATGATTCCGAACGCTCCTTGTCTCTGGACGACCTCAAGGCATTCTTTGTAGAAGACCAAGTGGGAGTCTTTGATCCAACACGAGACGACATTCCACCACCAAAAGCGCGGACAGACTTCAAGGGAGACTCTCAGAATTCTTTTACGCTCGATGATTTGACATCTTTTACGGAGACCGGTGACGAGTCCGAGAATGACACACAAGACAGCAATAACAACAACACCGAAGGCAGCTTGGGATGTCTCTTGACTCCCAACAAACGATCCAGCGTCGTTCACCGAAAGAGCAAACGAAAATCTTCTCTGGTTCCCGACAAGCTCCCGGCGTCTCCGCTCAAGGGCATTCTCAAGAACGGAACCTGCAACACTCGCCGGTCCTCCTCCTTGACGATGCTTCTCATGGAAGACTCGACGATGCTACAAATGTCCTTATCCAACGACTTCTGCGCCGACAACGATGCGTCTTTGGGAGACGAGGGATGGTCCTTGAATCAACAGAGCTTTGGGGCAGCAGACTCGGATGCACTGGATCTACAAGCCTTGCTCGAAAAGCGAGTCCAATTCTCCACCGTACTAGTCCACGAGCACGCACTGATTGTCGGAGATAATCCCTCCGTCCACGAAGGTGTTCCGCTCTCCCTCGGCTGGAAGGCGCAACACTCACAAACCTACGAGAATTTGGAAGCCTACGAAAGCGACAAGAAAAAGAACACCAGCAACAACCACAGTAACAATCCAAAATGCAAATGCACCAAGGCCAGGAGATTGGACGCCGAAGAACGACTCTTTCGGTTGCTCAACGCCGGGGTTTCCCTGGCGGATATTCAAAAGGCCGAGGCACGGACCAATCGCATCCGCGGGGAGCGAGACGCCACCAAGCAACAGCATCTCCTGTTACAAGGAGGCCTACATACCAAAACAACCAAGCTCTTTTGGAAGGCACTGCAACGAAAGGAAGATTCAGACGAAGATTACTATGAAGGGCAAGCCAATGACCTATAGATAGACGATTCGATTCACTCGACTGAGCTGGGAGAAGGTGTACATACAACGAAGCGAAGCAGCAGTTGGCCTGCTGCTATCGTTCGTTCGTTCGACCGGAGCAACCACTCCCAGCTAGAGAAAACGATTGCAATGGGATGCCACTGCTACTGGCTTTAAATACGTCTTTTAGCGGAAGTTAACTACTAGTGTTGAACGTCGTGGTCGATTAGCCTGACGGCGAAGGAATGCTTGATCTCTTGTGCGGCCACAACAATGATGAAGAAATACTAACTGGTTTCGCGATGCGGTTCCTTTTAGGGGTGCTTTTCCCAACGTCTGTGCGGGGCCTGGGGGGGTTGCCAAGCTGCCGACTTCTTGGATGAGCAAAGCCACTGGTGCCAGTACTGCATGGATCCTCTTCACGAGGCTAAGGGTCCGTGTTTTCCATCATCGCGTGTTCTGGTTACATCATTCCTCATCCCCATCCTTTATTTGCGTGAAAGAAAAGGCAGTCCCTGGCCAGTGTTTCGGTGCAGGGAAGGATCCTCATCTTCAAGTTGCAGCAGTGGGATTGCGATTGCCGCTGAGTGAGTAAGAGGGACTTTGGTAGCACGAACATTTTCTAGAGATAGCCTGTAGCTAGCGTTAGTACTCAATGGAAATGGCAACTACCTTTCTTTTGCCATAGATTGCGTTGTCATGTGGTCCCGACAATAGGTGTTGACCGCAGGAACGCAGCGCTTCGAGAGGATAAACGGAAAAGCCCACCACGAGAGCCCACCACGACAGGGGTCCATTCCAATGCAAGCAATACGGGTACCAACATAGGATCAATTCTTCAATTCCAACAGAAGAATCCATTCTTCTTCTTTGCTATGGGTTTCTACAAACCATGATAGCCACTCATGCAAACCTAGATGGAGAAGACAACCACGACAGCCACTCAGGCAAACCAGGACATGAAGAACCCACTCTTCTTGGCTATGGGCTCCGACTTTCGATTCCGGTTCTGTGGTCTTGTAGTTTGAAAGCTAACATTCACTTGTCCCTGTCGAGCCTGCTGTTCAAGTCGAGCAACCTTTTCTGCAAAAGGATCATAGCCATCAGATTCCACCTGACTACAAAACTTGGAACGCTGCTTGACTTCTTCGATCATTTTGACTCGCTGCTTCCAACCACACTGCTTCTCTTTCCGTTCTAGGTCGATCATAATATCAAAGTACTCGTCCTCATGATAGAGACTTGGACGAAGGGCAATCCGCTGCAACTCATTGATCATGCTCTGGATCAAGTGAACAGAATCATAAACCTCCACCTGAGTACTTGTAAACTCTGTACGCAACCCTTCAAGGAGCTGTTCAGATTTGCTCTTGTCGGAGCTTGCACTCACATATCGGCCATAGAGTTCTTGATTGGTCTGCTTCTTCTTCACTGGTACTCTCTCGTAGTAGTAGTCAAGGTTGCGATGATCACTCCAGTGGCACTTGTTCGGGCAGCACTTACAGTGACCCGAAGACCTGTCCATGGCGGCGCATCCCATTTTACGGTCATCGTTTTTGATGGCACAGTTGATATGGCAAGTCCAGCTGCAGTTTTCGCACACAGTGTTGTAGTTGCTCTTCTTTGGCATTGTCTGTAATTCCATCTCTGTCACTTCAATCTCAAACTCCTTATTTGCGTCGATCAAGGACTGGAGTTTGACTATTTGTGGGATGGCTTCGTCCAACTTCTCCAGTGTTACCATTCCAAGGTCAATATTCCGGCGCACACTTTCGACTCCAGCCTTCAATTCCTCTCGCCTATCCAAAACGTCCTTTGTCGCCGCAAGGCTTTTCTCTTTCTGGGCAAGGACGAAGTTAGAAAATGCTTCAAAAGCACGGTTGCCGGCTTTCCAGAACATGTGGTTGATGTCGTAGTCCCAGTCAGTGCGACCATTCCCCTTCAAGAAGAACGCAGAGTTGTTCAGTTTGAATCGCTCGTTATATTCGATCCTAGCATCGTTGATGACAGTCATGGCAGGAGGCTCAGCGGCGTCGGAGAATGTCATGAGCAACGTGATAATTTCTCTGATATCTTTGCCAAAGAGGCTCAGAACTTGGTCAAAGATCCATCTGTTTTTCGAGTCAAGCTTGGTTTCTGTTCCCTTGACAACCAAGCAGACTGCATGCAGATAATTGATCTCAGCCATGAAGAATTGACGGATTTGATCAACAGTATTCATGTCATAGGCCAGCCCTCGAGTGTCGCCAAACCCGGGGGTGTCAATGATAAGGATCCAATGCTTGCCACCAAGTGCAGGTGGAGCTTTGAGAAGATAGCCCAAAACTTGGTGTGTTTGAGATGCGCTCATTGTCTGACGGTCGACGGTGGGAGGTTCATCGACAAGATTCAGGCGGAAGGGGTCTTCAAATCGCACCCCATACAGGTAATTGACATAACTGTTGATTGTTGTGCTCTTGCCACAGCCAGAGGATCCGACAAACAAAGCAACCTTCAACTCCCCTCCAGGCGGAATGTTCAGACGATCTTTTGTAAGGGAAATGAAATCTTCAGCAGTGAGACGAGGGTTATCTCTAATGGTCTTTTCACGGTCCAAGGTGATGATCTTGTGTGGAACAACGTGAAGCCCTGGCGGGAACATTGGTCGATTCAACCCATGAGATGACGTTGGAGCATCCTCGTTGCCAACTTTTGTTTCCCGTTCTTGAGTCGACATCAATTGGGTCCCAGACTGTCTGGACTGCTTTGATAGTTCATTGAATTCTTCGGCGCTCTTGCCCTGCAAGATGCAACGGTTGTACAAACCAAGCATATCTGAACTCAATGCACGGGCGACCTTCTTCCGCGCAAAAACCTTGAGATCCATTTCATCAATCAATTGGTCTTTTTCGGACTGAGATAGGCTTAGCAGATCGCTGAAGGACTCTGCTCCCTGATCTCTCAGAGTTGAAGAAACGGCCATTGTCACTCCATTCGCACAGCACCAGGCACTCAAAGTATCACTGCACATTCCTGGTTGCCTACAAACGGCAACTTGAGAAAACATCCCCTGCAGTTTGCGCTGAAAGCCTCGAGCTTTTTCAAGAGTCAAGCTTAAATCAGACGTAGCTGAGGAATCGACCTGAGATGCAAATAGTTGCCGCTGTGAAGCTAGAAGTGTCGGGTCCATTTCAAGTTCGCAATGTACACCATCACTTGAACTCGGCTTGGTTGATTCCGATCCCGACTCTTGCTGGATCGCATTGTTGCGGCTAGTCATGCCAATAGCACAATCCCCGGGGACACCAGCAGCAAGCGCTGAGTCCAACTTCACACCATTGGATTCATCCACCGAATCTTTGCTGCTCAGAATATCAAGACTTGAAGGATTGACAGACTCGGAACCTGATTCTTCCAAGGAACTGGAATCTCTGTTGATGTCCATTGTGTCCGCACCAGCAGCATAATCTTCCTGGCCACTATGGCCACCGTTGGGCAGCTCATCGGGCGGGATTGTTTCGAAAGGTTTCATGGCTCCGTCAGAAATTGACGTACTTCCAGCTTCGAGTGAGTGAGATCCCCTTCAAGCCCGAGCCAAAGTGGAATTTATGACGTCCAAGTGTACATGCACCATGTTAGGATCCAACGAAGCCTTTAGCTCTACTCGTCATTCATTCCCGTCATCAAAAGGCAGACTCAACGCTTTGATGAGAGTGAATCGAATCATCGAATCCGTTTTTGTCTGTAGCCAAGCCCGCAGGATTCCGCTCCCAGTGGGGTTGATTTCTTGTTTCATATCTGCTGGGAATGCTGCGTTGATTTTGTTATAACCCATTCCCTGCTTTCAAGGTGTCGGAGTCACCCTAACAAACTTCTGTCCAAGATGGATTGGATTCTCCTAGCTCAGCTAGGCTTTGTTACGTCGTACTTATTATACTCGTTCCAGGTGGAATTGCTCTCTCTCTCTCTCAGTTGACTCGAACGCATCAGAGCCAAGGGAGAAGAACGAAATAGCGGTAGGAATGGTTCAATGGAAAGTTCCCACGTCCAAGGGTTCAAGGGTGAGTTGTGGGTGTGGCTGGGCGGAGTGGTGGTGGTGAGTGTGTTGTTCTCTATCTAGCTAGCTGCGATCTTTTCGGCTTCAATCGCGGATACTTTTTAAAAACAGCAAGGCTGCCCAAAAACTTCGGCTCAAAAGAAAGAGAAAACAGCTCAGGGCAAGCCAAAATATTTGGCCCATTGCCTTGGACAATTTGATGGCTACGGTAGCTACCGGTACTCTAGAGAGGTCCTTTATCAGGCCACTTCTGTGGGCCCTAAAAAGATCTTACACCTGGACTAGTTCTCGGACGTACAATCTAGCTAGCCCAACCCTGTTCCAACTCTTGGACCTTTACCAGGACAGAACACCACAACTTGATGACCCAACATCTGGGGTGCCGGTATTCCCTGCTCCATCCATCTTATAGTTAGGACCAACACCAGGCCCTCCACCAGTTAGACAAACTTGAAAGACCAACACCCATCCATGACGTGAAGTTGGCCCAGCAAGTTATATTATATATCATCAGCCCTAATGATTCGTGACTGATGATTCGAGTCGAGTCACCGGATCCCAACCGAAGCACTCAGAAGCAGCCGAAGATCGTTGATCCTTGGGCTGTCTTCATTGCTGCTGCCTCTGTCGTTGCTTTTGTTGTTGTTGTCGCCACTATTCCGCGTCTGCATCTGTTACTACTCTACCTTGCTGTTGTTGTTGTAGCGGTTACCTCTGCATCCTTCGACAGAACCATGTGGGGTATGAATCATCATCACCGTTCGTCTGCTCCTGCGGATCCAAAATCGCACACCACTCGTCCCATTGTCACCGGCGCTTCCGTCTTGGGCGTCAAGTACAATGGTGGAGTCATGTTGGCCGCGGATACATTGCTCTCGTACGGAAGCATGGCCAAGACCATGAACGCGAGTCGTTTGATGGAAATTGATCAAACGCTGATTGGCGCATCGGGCGAGTACTCGGACTTTCAAGCCATTCAAGAGATGCTCGAAGCCAAGTCGCTCCAGATGCAGAGCGGTCTTTTGCAGGAACGCGAAGGAGACGAGCCTCCCATGACGGCTCGCAGCATGTGGAACTATTTGCGTGTTGTCATGTACCACCGACGCAACAAAATGAATCCTCTTTGGAATTCCGTGGTGGTGGCTGGCAAGGACGGCGCCACTGGCGAGTTCTTTTTGGGCAATGTGGACCGTTTGGGAACCACCGTAGAAGACAACATTATGGCAACTGGATTCGGAGCCTACATGGGAGTTCCCTTGCTGCGTGAAAAATGGCGTCCCGATATGGACGAAGGGGAAGCCCGTGCCTTGTTGGAAGATTGCATGAAGGTCTTGTATTACCGTGATTGTCGTGCTGCCAGCCGCATTCAATTGGCCAAGGTCAGCGCTGACGGTGTCTTGATCAGTGAGCCCTATGAACTCGAGACTAGTTGGGCTGGAAGCACGGACTACATCCCTTTGAATACGCCCTTGGCGCTTCCCTAGATTTGACTTATTCTGTTGTCAACAACATATTTCAATGAAGGTTGTTGAACTATTTTAGTGCCCTTTTTTCTACTTTCCTGCAATACGAGCAGTAGTTAGCCAATCACAGTGCGTACGGTACGGTATGATATCAAATAGCGAGAGATGCGAGTGTGACAGTAAAGGTGACAGTGTCGTGGTTGTTGGATGCTTACCTGTACCACTTTGTGGGCATTAGAAGCTGCGCTAGTACTGGCCTACCGGCACAGATAACTCCAGCTACAGCCGTAGTGCCTTGAGAGTGTTTTCTAGCTTGCTATTGGTGCTGAAGACGAATGGTTTTGGGATGTTGTACTGTACCATTTTTGCTGTTCTTGTACGACTGTCGATGGCTCCATCCCGAAATTTGCTTGACTGAGCTCCAAGCTGTCACCTATGCGCTGCGTGTGAGCGACGATCTAGACCGTACACGAAGCACGAAACTACACAAGCCCAACACTGGGCCCAACTTAAAACTATCTTTCAGGCTCCTAGTGCACACATCATGTGGTATCAGACTGTGCTCGTGGTCCCACATCAGGATAAACTCAAGCCTCAACTCCTGTACCCAAGCTGAATGATCTAACCTCAAGGATTACCTACTCCTGGCAAACCACCAGGACAACTCCACCCGTCCCCAACAAAAAAGTATCCAAACCATTGACACAACATCACATACCGGTAGAAGGATGGAGGGTTCGATGGACCGTACTAGTACAGACCCACACTTGCTCTTAGCGGGCATCCTTGTCTGAGATACAGTAGTGTTACGGATATAGAATTCCACGTCAACCCGCGACGGAGCAAGGCAAGACCAAGCAACCAAGAAGCTTCCTCATTTTGATGCGTGGCATTGGTTGCATGCCAACGAGGAAGGTGTACAGTACGGTACGTGTTGAGAACCACAAAGCTGAGTTTATTCTGATTGCCTCTTATCGTGCAAGGCAATCACACCGAACTTTTTGTAAACAATCGTTGCTGTGAACAATTAACTGGCAAGGTGACAGTGATCAAGAAAAAGGCAACGAAGCAACAACAGAATATCGACAGCAGCAGCAGCATTATCTCCATTCTACCAAAGACTCCAACAACGACGTACACAATGACAGTCCAACTGTTGAACGCTACGGCATCTGAAACCGACTCAAATAATACTGCCGATCCAAGGATAGTCTTTCGAAAAGTGTCTCCTTACCATGACAACTCGTCGGATGTTCTTCCCCTTCGCGTGACTGCTTCTGATCCAGACTGGAAGGATCAAATCAAAAGAGTCGCTACCTCTATTTGTCCCTTTATGAAGAGTTATTCCGACTTGAAAATAACTCCCCTCGGCGGAGGCCTTTCGAATGAACTATTTGTCGTACAAGGCGAAAGCAATACTACTGATAATTCTACCACTCTGGAGCAGCAAGTGGAATCGAAATCCGTGTTGGTTCGCATTCATCCTTCGAACAACACTAACAATCTACCCGGAATTGTCGATCGCGACATGGAAAATTCGATATCGGCGTGGTTGAGCTCGCAACAAGTGGGTCCCATGTACTACGGTCGGTTTCAAAATGGACGCGTCGAAGAGTTTTATCCTCAACACGAAACACTGAGTTGGGACGATATGAGTCGGGTGGGTCCTTCACGGATTGCTCCCATTATGGCTCATTTTCATTCGTTAGATGTACCCGCCACGGTGCTCTCGCGCTCGAATAGTGACGATTATCGTGGGGATATTTTTCTGCGCGTGCGAGAATGGATACAAATGGCAGAAGCACTTTGTTGTAGTGGAGATCATACGAGTGCTACTACTACTACAAACCCAAAGGCATTGGCCATGTTGAAGCAGCTACAAGAGGATTGGAAATGGCTCGAAGAAAACATCCACCAAAATAATACCGACGAGTCCAATCCGGCCCAACAGGCGGCGCAACAACTCATGCGACAAATTGTGTTTACTCATATGGACATGCAGTCACTCAATCTACTCCGTGATACCACCGTCCAAGAACCGGACAGTACCATCAAAGTGATTGATTTTGAATACGCTGGCTTTAATCCACGCGCCATGGACATGGCCAATACGTTTTGCGAACATTGCGACATGAACAATATCCAAGCCGATTATGCCACCCAATATCCATCTGAGGAAGTACAAAATGCATTCCTGCAACGGTACTTGGAGCAGGCGGCGAATTGTGGTGATGATGCTGTCGTTCAGCAGGCACTGGCGCATGTCCAGGACGAATCGTTTCTACAGACGGCTCGTCTCGAAATTGGTCGCTACACGTTGGTGTCACACATCAGTTGGGCCGTTTGGTCGGTGGTACAGTCGTTCATGTCGGATATCGACTTTGATTACATTCACTATGCCAGTCACCGAAGGGATGGTTATGAGTTCATGAAACAAAAGTGTTTCGAGGTGTTGAAATAGATAAATCATGGTAATCTCCACATTCCAGCAGTAAAGGAGCCCACACAAGCTAGCCACAACATGTAAGCAATCCCGTACCTGGATAGTTGGGACACACACATACATACGATCCTAATAGATTTACACATCAAAAATGGTACTTCTTTGTCTCCCTGTAATAGCTTGGGTGGACCGCACAGCGCCTACTTGTTATTTCTTTGCCATTATTTCTATTCGCTTCTTGACCCACTCCAGAATAAAGTCTAGATTCTCCTCTGCAGTGGGGTCACCCAACAAGTCATGGTAGGCACCTCCCACTCGTTTGACGGCACGATCTGGTTCGGGCGTGGCGACCTGTTCCACAAAGTACTCCAATGCGCCGGCAATTGGCACTGCTCGATCGCTGGTGCCATGCAAGATGCAAAAGGGTCCCTTGAAATCTGGAATACACTCATTGCGTACATATTTCATAGCTTCGATCAATGTGGAGGAAGTTTGTAAATTGGAATGTCGTTCGGCTGGTTCCAACCACATTTCCGTCACTCGTTTTTCTTGTGCATTAATGTAGAGGACTTCCGGGTCTCGCCACAGCATGGACGGTGCGACCGGATTGGGAAGAATCTCGGGTGGCCGCAAGCGTGGGACAAAGGGTGTCAAAAAATACTTGAGCGCCAAATCGACTGGAAAGAATATTTGATATCCGTAGATAGCAGCTGCTACCAAGATGATTCCTGCAAAGCCCTTGGGGGTTTCATCTGGATGATCTTGGTAGTATCGACCAATCTGGAGAGTTAAATTGCCACCAAAGCTTTCACCCATGAGAAACAAGGGAATATTGTTGTCGTCATTATTTTCATTATTATTGTCGTCCACCACCAACTTGACAAAATTGAGATAATCTTGTTTCACGGTAGATTTCACCAGAAACCGACTTCCTTCGCTGTAGCCGTGGCCCGTCATGTCAAACGCATACAAAGCATAGCCTTCCTGGTGGACCACGCGATCGGATAACAATGCCATGTTGATTTTACGGCCATCTTTCAAAATATGCGCCCGTCCACAGTGCGTCTGGACTCCGTGCATCCAAATGATAATGCCCTTCGGTGGTCCAGCCGGCAAGAATTTGCGATAATGCAGCTGGAGTCCATTGTCCACCGAATCAAACCAACCGTGCTCGCATCCGGGAAGACGACTCTCCATCTCCTCCAGTTCTTCCTCGGTGGGAAACACATCGGCGTAAATGTCAATGTCGCGTTCGACGCCAAACACTATGTGCTTTACCATGGTTGAGGTATCGGTGGACGCTGGAGGGTTGTGGGAGCACGTTGTTGGCTGGGGTTGGAGGTTGATGGATCGACGGAGCCTCGATTCGATTCATCATTCAATCGAAAGCTTGATCATTCGATTTGGACTCGACTCAGTCCAATCGAATGTTTTAAATTTATCTATTTTTGCATGACAATGGTAAAAACGACAAGAGCTTGATCGCGGTATCAGATGCTTGGAGCTTGGAAACGGCCTTGGAAACACAGCCAAGCTCTGGATCATTGCTTCAGCTGACTCTCCACTCTAGCTAGACTAGCTAGAAACTACATTTACTTTAGTTGTCTTGGTAGACCTGATGGAGCCAAAGCAGGCTGATACAAGAAGATGTAAAGCATACCCTTGAAGAAAGAGTGTGGTGTTGTCATTTTTTAATAAACTGCAAGCCAGTAGAAACAACGTATGCAGCTACCAGTCAATCATCAGCAGGGACGCAAAGTCCATTGCAAATCTATTCTGTAGTTGGGAAGCCTCTAGTAGGAAGGACATCAACTGGTGGCTAGATAGTAGCAACTACCTACATTCCAGCAGCTAGCTAGTAGGGAATTTGGAGTGGTGCAGCATCACGTTCTTTTCTCTTTCTAGACGTCTACCGTTCCGAGCCACCATCTTTCAACTGAAAGCATTGAAGCCAACAGACAAACATCCTGCGGAGCTGCAGCATTGCTCTGGATGCCTCCGCACGCCACGCCTTTGTGAACCCAACGACCTGTTTGAAAACGCGCAAGAAGTAGGAATCCCTAGAAATGTACGTAGTCTACGTGCCTGGTACCAGGTACCCCACCTTCTGCTTGCAGTCCATATAATAAAAAGGAGAAGATTTCCGAGCCCATGGGACTGCACCCAACCAATGCTTCTAAAATTGGCATTTTTCTCAACGCTTTGTTTGAAAATGGACTTTGGTGACACGCGGAATAAGTAGGGATCTACGTACCGCTTTTGCGCCAATGCTAGTAGCTACTAGCTAGTAGATCTAGCTATTAATAGCTAATAGCAACGTACCAATACTTCAGTTAATTAAGAGTCACTCTGTTCCCTCCGATCAACAATGACAAAACATGTTGTCGGTGTCAGCCACTTTGCTCCTCATAATTTCATACTCGAGTAGCTACATGTATTTGATACAAGCTGCTTCCATTGCTTTTTAGGCGTCTCCTATTCAAACACACAGCCTCTTGTCTTCTATCATCCTTGTCTGACAACATGAATCAATATCCCTACCAAAGGATGGAATTTCTCTATCGAGGGCATCCTCAGGCTGCCAATGGTATCATTGGCCACCACTTTCCTCGGCCGCCTTTCCCACCCGCCCAGTTGCGGTAAGTTGATGTGATTTGTATCTAATTTGTCATTAGCTTCACGGCGGTCTCGAGTCTCATCATTTTCCAAATTGTATGATACTGAATTGCAGACCAAACTTTTCGGCATCGGCACCTGCTTCCAGTCCAGCAGCTGCCAAGGCTAGCAACCAAGGTAGCGCTGAAGCCGCCGTCTCAGAAGCTCTCTTGACTCTGAGTTCAGCTGGCTCTCCTCCCAAGAGCAATCAGTCTTCGACGAGCGCTCCTGGAGTTCCAAGCAATGGCCCAGCTCCATTCGCCTCTCCTCCACTTCCACCTCATTCCCGAAGACCATCCTTAACATTCTCGGCACCCGCACAACCTGTTCGGCGAGTCAGTCTATGCTCTCCAGCAGGCTTTGCCCCTCATCCTCCTCTTCCACATCCTCGATGGCCTGGAAAGTTCATGGCTCCTCCCATGATGACACCTCAACGTGATATTCCTGTTGCCTACCAGCAGAAGCATCATCATGCCAGACCTGTAGTTCTTGAAGATGCCGCGCCACCAGCCAAGAAGGCCCGGACAGTGAGCCCTGCTCCTGCTACCACGGCAGTGGCCGCTTCTGACAACTCTGAAGCTGGCAAGAAGGAGGATATCGAAATAGTCAGTTGCATTTGTCCCGTCTGCAACAATCTGATCAAGGGTTTGGGAGAAAACAAGGTTGATTGGTCCCAGCCTGTCCAGGGGAGACAACGTGCCAAGACAATTAGCAGCATCAAGAAGCACGTCAAGGATCATCACGAACAAGAGCCCATCTGGAACGTCATTGTGAACAGTCTGGATGTGGCACCTACCAAGGATGCTGCTGCCAACCGGGTAGTGAATGCTCAAGCCTTTGTGACACAAGCTCTAAAGAAGGCCGCTCTCGATCAGATCCCCAACCACACAAACGAGCTACGCAGCTTGCATTGGACCGAAAAGATAATGGATCAACGTGTTGGCATTGCCAAGGGATTCATCCAGTTTGGGGGACAGGAATACCTGCGCAACAAGGAGTGTCATGATGAGACGGGCAACAAGATCAACCCCAAGGGCTTGCGCAACCTTGCCTACACTCTCTTGCAGTCCATGTACGATGACCTGATGCAAGCCTGGCGCAAGAACCAAGCAACCATTGAAGCTAGCATGGCAACGGAGCCACTGGGATTGCTTCGTAACCGCTTCCAGCTTCTCTTTTCCAACCCGGACAAGTGGTCAGACTCTTGGTACATGGATCCGTCCAAGTACAGCTCCTAAAGGGCATCAAATCGTTCTGGCTAATATTCGATGTTGGTGGCCTTGGTGGTTGTCTTATATGGGGAAGTTTTGTGTGGATGGGCCGTCAGACTTGAGCATGGGGTGATAGCAAGCTGTCTCTTTGCTGCAATTCACCCCTAACAATAGTAAACCATCCTTTAGTTTGGGCCATGTACATTCAACCTGACATCAATAGTTGGCGGCCTTTAGAAAGTAGTGCACTTTGCTGTGTAGCGTAGAGTGAGGACGAAAGATTGCAGACTGGTTGTTGCACCTCCATTGGTTTGTGCCAGAGGTACGGTAGAAGCAACACATGTACCGGTATGGGTGGATGATGAATTCAATGACATCAAACAGTTGGCAGCCCACAGTACACGGGTAGTATACTTTGCTGTCCAGCGTGCAGCGTAGAGCGAGGACTAAAGTTTGCTGACAGTTGATTTCACTGCACCTCGGCTGGTTGGTGTCTGAGGTACCGGCACTGGTTGAAACAATATGAATGATGAATGGCATAAGAATCATACAAAAGCAAGAACTATAGAGTTTTACCGGTAGAGAGTGATCTACAAGTAGTGACATGTATGTACATACCATCAAAACCTATGCTGCCCCCGCTATCAAAGGCGGCTCCAACAAGAACGCTATTCGATACATGTTTGTGAGGTCATCCGTCTCGAGAAAGGCTTGGTGCGGCAACTTGTCAGCACTGATGATACCACCATCTCCGCACCCCAGCTTATTCAAGCACAACACGAGGAGGGATCGGACAATCTGGCAATTGGTATAGTCCTCCAGTTCAAAGCAAATCACCGCCTTGTTGTTCAAGAGGATGACCAGGAGACAGTTGGCATCTCCTTTGGCAATCGTTTCAAAAGCATACAACGGGTCGCCGACCGTTTCAATGGCGCGGTCGTAGAGATCTACAGCAAAGCGTTGACAGGTCTGCCTCACTGTACCCAACACAAATCGACTTCGGAGGTGGAAACACAAGGACATGTTGTAGAGACATGTAGCCATGAGCAGGGTGATGTTGTTCAGAAATCCATACCCGCATATCGGCGATTGCGAAGCATCCTGAACATCATGGTCGACCCAGAAGGTAACTCCGCTTGGGTATATGTAATGCTGATCCACCGATTGTGTTGCCGAACTCCCCGTTTGCACCTCCTCGTCTTCTTCCATATCTTGGCTCGCCAGGGAGAAGAGCCGCTGCGGGCGATCTCCGTCATTGCTTCCTAACAAGTCAAAGGGATTGGCTGCTTCAGAGAGTGCTTGCTGTCGCAAACACGAAGCGTTTGTGTAAGCTTCTACGAACTCAGTCAAGGCCTCAAAGTACAGTTGTGATTCCAGCAATGCTACCCCTCGTTCGTTTTGGAGGGCAACGGTTTGAAAGCTCCTCCACATTGTTTGCTTCTGTTGGAGAGATACCGGTATGGTGTATTATTTTTGGTTCTCTGTTCGTGGTTTGCTTTTGAGTTTGGCTTTGGTTGTGGCCCGATGCTATTGGGAGCAAGTACAACACCCACCCAACACCCAAGAGCCTCATCAAGAGTGCCATCACACTCAAGTAGCTACGGGAAAACCAGTAGCCATCGAGACGAAACAGTGAAGCCAAGGACACGCTCTAAGTGGTGGGAGTCCTGAAAAAGGATGCTTCTGGATCCTGAGTAGCTGGCTATTGATGAAATGCACGTTCCGTCCAGAGAACGAGGGAATGCAGAAGGTAAAGACAGGAGAGTTACTGCTGTGTTTGCCGCACCACCACCCAAAGTCCTCGAGTCATGCTATCAGGCGGAATGGCTATTGCCCTTTCCACCCTTTCAGACCTGCAACTGCCTCAAAAATGTGAGGAGATATAGTACTGTAGATAGCTAGCTAGCTAGCTAGGAGGTCAACGAGATAAAGTTCCAATTGTGAAGCACAACTCACAGCTAACTCACACGGTACTAACGTTCGCAAATGATGTGTGTTGAATAGCGGTAAAAGACTGTTAGTGCTCTTTTCGCATCGTCACTTGTACCAAATCCGAACACAGCAAAACCGCATAACGATAACCGGTTCTTTACCAGAAAAGCAGCTGCATGAAATGAGTCAAATCCGAACTGGATGAAGAGCTGACGACGATGAAGATCTATGGGACGATGGCAAGACGATTGGCAAGACTGTGAAAAGAGGGTAGGAAGACGATTGCGACTGACGAAAACAGACACAAAAATGCATTCATGTATGATATAGTCTACCGGTAGTGTAACTGTGATTGATGAGGCCTTTCGAGGAGCGCTACTGATGAAGCCTTCGTAGCCCCCCGTAATGTATGTAGGACAGGCCCCCACCGCGGATAACCGACAGACAAAGCCAGGACAGGAGAGACCAAGAAGACAGCTGTGGATCCAGGTAGATATGGTAAAAACAATTCTTGACTTATAAATCGTACAAAGCTTTAACAAAACTTGCTTTTACCTATACTTCCCGCTCAAGGCTGACTTCCTAATGTTTCTTTTAACCTGATGTCATGTTGTTATGTCTCTTTTTTGGTTGTTATGTCTCCTTTTGCGGAAACAAGTCGTAAAACGAGTTCGAATTTGCGATACACCGTCAACCGTCTGCAATTTGGTTGGGGGGGGGTACTACTCTAGAAGCATACGGTAGAGGGGACAAGAAGGATCGCAAGGGATGGTTCGGAAAGGGTTCGTGAAGGGCCGAGATGATGTTTCAAATCCAAAACTCTCTCTTCACTCATCTTGGCTCACTCGTCTTGACCAGCTTCTTGACCTCACTACTCTTGGCTCACTACTAGTAGAAAGCGGTACCGAGACGTTATGGAGGGACAACCATGGTTCGTTAGCATCGCGAAAGAGCGACCAACCAATCGGATGAGCAATCTTCTTCATCTACCGATGGTACCGATACGGGTACTACCGGTACGGTCCCAGCCAGAAAATTGTAGCAAAGAACCAGTAGTTCCTGGATGTGTTGCTGATTGAATCATTCATTAGATTATCGATTAGATCATTCGATTGGATTAGTCAATCAACCTCCCCCCCCTTGAGTGTTGTATTCCATGCATCAGCCTCTCTGGGGATCTCCCAGGCCAGAGCCATTCGCCACCAAGTGCGGAATGTGGTTTTGCACAGCTTTGTGCACCCAATGATTCGATTCGATTCTTGTCGAATGCTCCTTCAAAAAATATTCGAATGAATCATTCGAATTCAGTTCATTTCGAGTGACGAGTGACTCGTCACACTGCTCGACTGACTCGACTCGACTCGAGTGACCCAGTCGAGTGAGGTCCAGTCCAGCAAATTTTGGCCTTGAAGTCCGAAGAATTGCCACAATGACGGAGCAAAGCCGTCACAAAACCATCGAACCCGCTTAAATTGTCTCCACCTCTTATCACTTTCAGTAGTAAAAGAAGAAGAAGAGTTTGGAGTCTTGGTCCTTTGACATGGCATCTTACACCTTGGCTTCCCCTACCAACAACGACCACTTTGATTCCTCCACCATGAAGCCGACGGTGTTATTACTGCGAGGATGGACCCCAGGACCCGTCTACGCACTGAGAAATCGACTACAAACAGAATTCGATTGCGATGTGATCGAGCCGAATCTCCTCATGCCGCCATTTTATGGGATATGGTGCCTGGATACGAACTTTTTGCTCATGCTGCTGGTTTGTGGTGGCTTGCTGTGGAGTCTGGTGAAAGTTTGGGTCCAATTTGAGTCCTTGGAACGGTTCACTTTCCTCGCCATCCTTGTGGCTTTTGGAATCTTTTGGATTCGACTCATGGTCGCTGTGGTGGCACGTTCCGCTATTGCCGATGGTGTGGAAAAATGCCTCAAAGAAATGCGGCGGCGAAATGTCGTTCTCTGTGTCGGATTCAGCTGGGGAGCCGGTGTGTTAACCGAGCTATTAACCAAAGACATTGGCTTGGACACTCGACCAGCATTTGTGCTGATGGCGCCTGTTAGCTCGGCAACGGCAATGGCCGCCATGAGAGATGATGCCGCCTTTCGGCTACGACCACTCGACAACAACGATCTAGTACATGTGGTACATGCATCACATGACCCCGTGTTCTGCCCACATCCAGAGAGATGGAACAATATACCAGGAATCAAGGCATACACGCTCAGTGATGTTCATATTTTCAAAAATGCATCCTCCAGACGAGCTTTGGAAGAGACTGTAACTGGGCTGTACAGATTGAAAACTGAAGGGCATCAAGAACCATAGCTGGCTAGCTACAAAACAAATATTGCGGAAGCCCTGTCGACACGATTTTGTAATGCTGCTATGCAGCGTGTGTTGAAGCCATCCAGATTTTGTAATGCTATATACGGAGCGTGTGTTGATGAGGCCATCCATACTATGTCAAAAAGCCTTCGTTGCACCAGATGGCTGAACAGTAATTGTATTCCAAGCTAATCTCTTATTTTAGAGCGTATCATTGGCAAAGAGATGTTTCGTTTTCTCCAGTCGTTTCTTCGAGCTGAGCATGTTACGATTAGGTAGTCAGAGTGACGACTCTATCATATCAAGAATTGCAGCCTCCAGGCTAGAGTTCTGGTGCTGGGTCGCATGAGGCAACCAGAAGTGTGGCATGGTGGGTGGACTCTGTGGTTACTATTTCTATGGATTGTACCAATTGCACTCACACACATCACTGCTGTTAAACATCAACGACGGTTTTTGCCCATCGAGGGCTCATCAGTGCTGCTCGACGGGGTTGGAAAATACCACCAGAACCATTCTGACAATGCGGAGTAAACCGACATGCGCTCTTTACTGAGTACCACCACCTTCTTGCAAGCTCACTGCTGCAGGTTGACGACGATGGGATCTGGCAACAAGAGACTAACTTTCGAAGCTGCGCCCATTCCTGTCTACCCTACAGCATCTAAAACAGTCGAGGTGGTCTATCTTAAAAAAAAGAGTTGTAGCTATCCTTGCGCATCGAATGGGAAAATCAACACGATCAAGACCTGTACAGCGTCGACAAGCAAGCCAGCTAGCTAGTGACGAAGGTTTACATTTGGCTGGAACGGAGATGCAGGCAAACTGTTTATTGTCCTGGAAGGTATCCGCCGGGAAGGATGGAGTTGCCCATCATCTCGTGAGTGACAAGTCCCCAGATTCCCATCATAGCAGCACGTCCGTTGTTCAATTCAATAGAACGCTTCTTCATCTTGGTGGCATCATCGTATTTGTCCCATCCAAAGTCAAGGGCTCCGTTGCGGTGGTCACCAACGAATTCAGCCGTGATACCAGCCCAGCTAGCTTCACGGTTGGCAATCTCGGCAACGGTGAAGAAAGCAAGCATTTGCAGAAGAACTTGTTGTCCATTGGCGGTCTCGAAAAGAGCGGGGAAAGCCTTCAAACCATCAGGGATGCCCTCAGCACCAGGGAATCGAATTCCGGCGGCTGTGATGAGGTATCCAGTGACGGCAAGCATGCAGACACGTCCGTGCTTGAGTTCGTACATGCGGAGAAGGTCGAATCGTTCTTGGTTGCCATCTTCGATGAGGCCAAGAGGATCGAAAACTCCCAACTATTATTAGAATGCAACAAGGAAAGAGTCATTGTAAGCTATTGTGCCGTAGCCATAGTAATTGAGCATCATCAATTCAGAACGACTTACTGGAGCCTGGGCACCAAGAGCATCAGCGAAGGCCTTCTCAGAAAGAGCGGTGGAACTGCGTGCCTCTTGGGCAGGGGCGAAAGCAGCGGCAGAGCCGATAAGGGCAAGGAGGGCAGCACAGGTCTTCATGATGGAATTGTTTTGATTGTTGACGATATTGTGGTGTGGATTTCGTCGTGTCTTTGTCTCTTTCGTGTGGACGCACTTTGCACAGAGAAAGGGAAACGTAGCGCAAATCCTTAGACTTCAACTTTACCTTGGAGTCGGAAGATTTGCCAGACCATACACGAATGCAATCAATCATAAATATGACGTTAGCCAAACCTCTAACGCTACTGCAGAACCTATTACTAGCCCTGTTGGCTTATTGACTTCGCCATGAATGTTGCCAATTATTCACAGCCGCTTTCCAAGCATAACATACCAGCCGTCGCTGCTTGTTACAAGTAGAATCACACCATGAGCACAGAAGAGTCAGAAAAACCAACGAGTTCAACAGCCAAGTCTGTGGCAGAAGCCCTAGTAGAGGCTTCGGGCGATACGGTAGAGGACGTTCCCATGTCGGAAGCCACGCCCACCAAGAAGGAAACGGAAGATACCACGAAGGATCCAGAAGATGTCAAAAAGGAAGACGGTACCAGCGAGAAGAAGGAGAAGACAGAAGAGGATAATAAGGAATCTTCAGCATCGTCTCACTTGGGCGAAGAGTTACCCAAAAATCGCTTCGAGCTAGAACTGGAATTTGTGCAGTCGCTGGCGTCCCCGGCGTACCTTCATTATTTGGCTACCAATCCAAGCTCCGACGATCACAACTGGCTGGACGACCCTGAATTTGTGGAATTCCTACGCTATTTGCTCACAGTATGGACTCGTCCGGAATACAATCGATTTTTGGTATATCCCCAAGCGCTCTACTTTCTGGAATGGCTACTCAATCATCGACGAGAGGAATGGGCTCAAATAGGGTTTCGAAATTTTGCCCATCAACAACAATTCATGAGCTGGCAGCATCGGGCGGAGCGCTTGTATGGGCGAGGATCCGTGAAACCTGTTCATGTAGATCCAGCAGCAGTCGCTGGAGATCCCAATGAGCAACAACAACCACAAGGGCCAGATGCACAGGGTGACCAAGCCATGAAAGAGGGTTAGTAGACGAGACGAAATAAATGGAACAGAAGGATCTGAAACATGTAAGTCACCGCCAGTTTTGGACCAGACAAAAGTATCTATGAAGGCTGGAAGAAGGAATTTCTTTCTATTTAACTTTCTGCTAGAGAAGCGCAGCAACAGTACCGGGGCACATGGTTTCCGACCTGAAAAGGCACATGAAATTGCTTTCTTCTGTCTATTAACAACCAATTCCTTACCAACCAAGATCGTGACAGAAAGCTCGAAATGCAACAACTTGCTTGATTGAATCATACGAATTTAGCAAAAAGTGACTGAACTAAGGAAGTTTACAAACTCGATTGAATATATTCAACCGTAACGATGAAGGGAAGAATGCAAAGGCGATGGAATCTATTTACGGGGGTGTCTTTGTCCATCGTGATGCTTTCGCAGCATCTAGTCTAGCTAGCTACCTGGTAGCAAGTTCCCCAAGGTCCAACACGATAGCCAAACAAAGCTTGGTAGCTAGCTCGAACCTTCATGGATACAATGTTCAAACCAGTCTCGAAAGTAGGCCCAGAAAGATCCTAAATCTCGGATGCTCTTCATAGGGCAGCTTGACCATCCAGTTTGTACTCCATGAATGATTGCTTGCTTGGAGCTTGATGCATACCAGTACTGTCTTTAGAAGAAATCGAACTATGAGTTGCCTCTTGAGCCTGAGCCTATGGAAATAAAGCGGAAAGGAGTTTGTCCGTGCAGGATTGTGGATCCGAGGCTCCTCCGACCTCGGACCCAAAGAGCAAGGCCAGTGGAACATCCTGCCAGTAAATCTTACCAAGGCACTTCAGTTGCAGTGGTTAGTTAGTTTGTTATTGCAGATGTTCCCGTGGTACCAGTGCAGAGTCGCTGTGCTGGAATGATGGATTGCAACATTGCAACCTCGTCATCCTCCTGCTTTGGTACCGACCGGTAGCTAAGCTTCCTCGCCAAAGCAATAGTACAGCACTGTAACTCCGGTATCATCAATCACCAAGGCTGAGGAGCAAGTTGTTGACAGGCAGGAATCTGAGACGAAGAAACCCACTGTACCACCGACCTATTGCTCCTACGGTATGGTACCGTGGGGTGCGGAAGCTAGCCATACAGCTATTGGCAGACAAAGATATACAACAGTAATAAAAATGTAATAACCGTATAGCTAAAATAGGATAGGACTTGGATCCGGAGTTATCCCTGGCGGCTGGATGTAAGTAGAGGCAGACGGTATAGACAAATCGTTCGAATAGTTCAAAAGCGGGTGTTCAAAGGAAGTAATGAGATGATATGAGTGCTGCTTGCTGGCGCTGTGCACTGCAAGTTATACGGAGTTGGTCAATTCAGCCAAGTGGGCAAAGGTACCATCGATTTCGCCCAAGGCTCGTGCGAACTTTCGTGACGGCTCGGAGAAGTACTCGGACACCAGTCGAAGACACTCGGTAGCATCTTCTTTGGGGTTGCCCGCCACTCGAAGTTCACCTTGCAGCTCGAGGACCCGGCTCACTGTCTTGGCCTTGCGGATCTTGCGGTCGGTGCGCATCTCTTTGGGTAGCGTGTGGTTCTCGAGGCCACGAAACGAGGAGTCCAGGAGGCTCAGCAGCGCCACATTCTCGAGCGCAATTGTACCCTTGACATCGGGAGAGCAGCACAGACTGTACGTCTGTGCCATGGCTTCCGTGTAACACGATCCAACGGAGACTTGGTCGTTCTCATGAGAGTCCTTGACGGCCACGACGTCATTCAGGACAGCCCGCAGCGTTGCTTCATAGTCCGCTTGAGTCATCCACAGCTCGCTCCTTTCACACTTGCTAAGCTGAGAGCTGGGCAAGTGGGGGAGATCTGCCACTCGTCGCTTGACGTCGCGTGTCTCGTTATCTTCCTCGAAATGAACGCGCTTTCGCTTGCTTGCTGGCGGTCTCGAGAGATCCACTAGCTCCGTTCCAAACAGCGCGGCCGCAGACGGTAGCTGCGTCATGGGACTACCTAACATGAGGGAGCTGCGACGCTTCGTTCCAGACGTTCGTTGAGGAGAAATAGCCATCATGGTGTAGTTTATAGTTAGATATATTGGTAACGCAAGTCAACTTCGCAATCAGTTGGATTGGAGATTTTATGCGCGATGAATTGGTGGAATAGAAGTTGTGTGGCTCGTTTTTGCTCAAGCCAAAAGTGGAGTGGCGGAGTGACAACACTGGGTGTGCAAGACCAGTCAGCGTTGTTTGCGTGGACGTTTCTGCTTTCGTACTGTTTTAGTATAGATTTGAAGCTGTAGCTTCTTGGTTCTCACTTTCTCTTTTTAATTAATTTGCCCTCCTCCGTTTCGCCCAGGAGTTTTAAAGTTGTCTTTGTGAGGACATTTTGTGACATTGATCTTGGTTTGAACTCTTTTGTGACATTTAATGGGTGGTATAGCATGGATATATGTACTAGTATACCGAAAAGCCATTGGGCCATTGGGCCCCCCGACGGTACACGTTTTACTACAATTAGACTAGTACATGTGGTGTAGTCCACAGTCCACAGAACCGTATGACTATCCAGTACTAGTACTCAGTAGCTATTAGCAGCTACCAGGTACAGTAGTGGAAATGGCTGTGGGCTCTCTTGAGTCTGGTTGGCAATGATACAGGAGGCGGCTAGCCGGCTCTGGGCTCTGGGGCCATATTGCCGCACTGGCTGTATGAAGCTAGCTATTAATAGTAGCTAGTTAGTGGCTGACTGACTCTGTTACCTACCTTACCGTTAGAAGAAGATGTGGCTCCGCTGAGTCGAAGACGCAAATCTACCTAGTGTAGCAAGACCTCTCAGACCTCGCTACGGTACCGGTGAAACAATAGTGATGCATGGTTTATCATGGTCCATTGAAGCACAAATAGGAAGCATCAAATACCCCGAGACAACTCAGGTGGTCAATAGATCAGTGGAGATTCTACATCGACCGTTCACACCAAGATTGAAGATTGGAGAGGAAGCCACAGCTGTTTCTGGGATATTCCAATTCCTCTTCAGACGTCCGGAAACGGGAAAGTTGCAACTGTTTTTGTTGTGAAACTACAGTTGAACTCTTCTGGATTGTGAAAATCTAACAAAAGGTACATGTAATCTAGTCAAAGGTAAACCTCACACTTCCACCAATTTGAAGCTAATTTTACGTTTTCTGAACAAATACTTAAAACTATCAAAATTAGAAGTACTAGTATATTTAATAAGGTTTCTGGACGGTATTGGGATCACTTACATGTAAAGAGGCCCTATTCAAAGGAAAGTGCAGCTCAGAAGCTGCTTGCACTGCAAAAGGCAGAGAGAAATAACGAAAGCAAAGGGAAGTGTGATACACGGCCATTTTGCGTGTGTACATGGATTTAACTGTGTGCACAAAAGGGACAACTACGTAAGTCGCATGACCAAGAATAGAAACTTGGTAAGATTTTTACGTAAGCTCTTATGGTTGTCTGGACATTTCTGCGCACAATCGTCAAAAGCTTGACTTCAGAAACAGATAGAACCACAAAGTGAACATTCGATGGTCTTCTGTGAAGCCAAGAGTACGAGTAACATATCAATGTGCCTGTAAAGTTTGCCTCTCGAAACAGCTCTTTCTTACAAAGTAAATTCTCAATGACTTCTCTTCTTGGAATGCATTAAAGTCCAGTGCTCTTTCTAGCTGGATCGGAAGGCAGGCTATCGGTACCGGCATGCAGGCCATGTCGGAAGGCGGAAGCTTGGGGCATGCCCAGACCAGAACCAGCCAGTAATAGAAAACAGCGGGAAACAGCTGGGAACTGCACCACGTAGACACCGACACAAAAGCGAGCTTTTACAGTTGCTTTTACGCCCTGTACTCCTAACAGTCTATTAGCTAAGCCCAGTGATGACAAGGCCATGCTGTTGGAAAGCATGGACTGGCGTAACAACGAGGACTTGGACACTGAGATAAGGGAAAGCACCAGTGGCACCACCCGGATCTCTACTGGTCAGATGCCAAACTCATCCAAAGTTGGTTTTAGAGGACTGTGTTGTCATTGCGCAAGGTTTCGGTACCAACTGCCATGAGGAAAATCGGAACAGTGATGACCTCACTACATTATGGCTGTCATAGCGATAGGCAGCTACTGACCAGCTATTAAAATTGGCTCCGGTAAGCATTTTGCATTGCTCAATGCTACAATGCTACTGGCTCTAGCTAGCTGGCTATGCAGAGTATTCAGTGTTCAGTGTTTATCAGAGGGGATCGAGTAGTCTAGTCTAGCTAGAGGTCGGGGCAATCCAGTGCGTTGATGCAATACCGGTACCATGCATGTACGTGTAATTCAATCATAAGAACCACTGGCACTGGCTGGCTAGCTAGTAGCCAGATTCTGGCTTGACAGCTACCGGTAGAGCTGACTGCTTCGTGTTTCAATTAATTGAACGAGAAGAGTGTGTAGTTTTGTCCTCCGATGACGCACTACAGTAGCAACTAGACTACTTGCAGAATAGATATCATGAATCATCCCCTGCTCTCAAGCATCCAGCTTTCGGTATTTCTAAAGTTGCTTGGCTAGCTAGCTAGCCAGCCAGCTACTAGTAGTAATCTATGGGACTAGACTGGCCTACTTCAATTCCAAAAACTGATCCAATCTTTTGCAGCGCCACATCCGCAACGCCAACAACTGTTGGAGCTACCCTGTTTTGCTGTTGCAAAAGTTCTCGTTCGATGCTGGTAACCCCTCTCCCTTCAATTCCACATGGAAGAATGAGTGACGTGTCAAAATAGTCCAGATTAGGGCTGACATTCAATGAAAAACCATGGGAAGATATCCAACTTGTGGCTGATACTCCAATGGCAGCAATCTTGTTCTGGCCAACCCACACGCCTGAGCCAAAAAACGAGCAAGAAAGGAAACCGAGGGCAAAAAATGAAATAGTTGGGTGGATGGATGAATGAATAAATGAATCGAATCAGATCATCTGCAATAGGAATTGCAAAGCGGCATGTCTACTGTATCATCGTACTTACCTGAATTGATTTCATCTCTTCCCCCTTCAATTTCATAGTGTTGCAAGGTTTGAATGACAACTTCTTCCACCTGTCTCAGAAACCAATGCAAATCGGCCTTGAATGGTTCTTGCTTGAGATCAAAGATGGGATATACCACAAGCTGAGATGGTCCATGAAATGTGACTTCTCCTCCTCGATCCACTCGATAGATTGGGACGCCATTGGGTGCCAGTACAGGAGTAGACAAGGATGCCAATGTGGAAACTGCATCTTGTGGTGTTTGATGTTGCAGCATTTCTTCCAACGATTTTCGATCATTCATGACAAGTCGCGGCGAGTCCGCGCCACGATATTTCCGTGATAATCTATGGACATCGTGACTATTGTTTTTGTTGTAGTCGTCATTGTCGTTGTTGAGAAAGAGTAAATGGTCTTCACTGGCTCCTCTTCCCAGTGTGTAAACTGGGGCATGCTCCAGTAGCAAGATACTGTCGATGTCGTGAGCCGTGGTTTCATTTTCTTGGAGCTTCCTGGCAGCAAGACGTTGCGTCAATAGTACTTGCTGCCAAGCCCATCCTCGGCAATAGTCTATATATTGATGATGCCTGTTGATGTTGGCCTTGTAGTCATGACGATGCAGAGAGCTCAACACTCTGGTCAGAGGACGCTTCATCCTTGTTGGGTGGGGTTGATGGGGTTGGTGGGTGGTGGTGGGATGCAACCGGAATTCGAAACGTAATCGAATTGGGATGAAAAATAAATCGATTCGATTCCATAGCATGACACAAACAGCTTCGACGCCTTGCCCCCAACATTGACGACGATGATCCCAATTCCCAATCCCAAGTCCATCACGGCCATCCATCATACCTGTATCATTTCAATAGTTGCCTGCAGCGATGAACTTCCCGAGGAGCACGCCACGATCTCTCCTCTTCGTATCTTCGGAGAGAATATCTTTTCGGATCTTCTGCAATCATGACCGCAATTTCAAGAGGATTGGAGGCGTCGTTCGCCATTACCACCAACGCCAGAGGCCCAGACTCCCTTTCTGGAAGAAGGAACCGCTGTCTGTATTAGTACAACCGTGGAGTCACCAGTATGGGCATCTTCGTCGTGATTTGAGCACTGAGAAGGACAAACAAAATCCTAGCAGCAGCAGCATCCGCAGCAAGAAGGGAACAAATGAAGATCAACTGGACAAGACGGAAGACTCCCCACACCATGATGGCATGCACTTTTGGTCCAATTGGATTCGTGAACTCCAATCACCACCCAACATTATCACAACAACTCGCATTCTCTGTACTCCCGTGCTCTCGTACTGGGTCATTACGGGGCATCATGAATGGGCCGTCGTGGGGTGTATAGTGGCAGCGGCATCCGACTATGTGGATGGGTATCTCGCCAAGAATTATGGCATGTCCACAGTACTGGGAGCTTTTCTGGATCCCATGGCGGATAAAGTCTTTATCAATGTACTAGCAGGATCCTTGTGGTACACGGGCGTCTTGCCAACGCCGCTGGTGGCCTTGTGGTTGGCACGAGATCTGGCTCTCATTGTGGGATGTGCATCCTACGTGAGGTATCATTCCGAAAACTCCGCCCATGCCTTTGATCCATCCGTGACACCCCTCAAAGTCAATCCAACCCTACTAAGTAAAGCCAACACAGCATTGCAATTCACAACCGTCGGAATGGGCATTGTGTATCCCTTGGGAGTCATTGCTGACCCGGTACTGACGGGCGTGTGGTATGTTGATGGTTGTCGAGCGATGTTGTCCAGTGATGTTGGCAATGGGCTCAAAAGCCATACTGATGATGCATGACTCTCACTTGCTTGATTTTTGATATACTCCTCTTTCACACAGTTATGCGACAGGTATGACGACGCTTGGATCTGGAATTCAATACGTTCTATACTCTGCGTTTGAAGACAGTGGCAATGAAGAAAAGAATCAAAGTAGCAACAGTGGTGAGGGCTCCACTTCCGCAACAATCAACAACGATAGTAGCAGTGCGGACGACAAGAAAAAGCAATAAAAATAGCTGGCTCTTCCTAGAAGAGGGAAGATCTAAACTCATGTTGGGTTGCTTTATGAACTTTCAGCTGCTGTAATGTACTAGTATGTAGTCTACCTTGCTGGCTAGCTAGCCGACCATGTGAAAGAGAAAGCTTCTCCTGTTTACTTGGTCACAACGCTCTCTTCAAAGACAATGCCTTCTTTTTCCACGGCTGTCAAGATGCTGTTGTAGATGCGCGGATCTGTAGGTAGCACTAGACCTTTGTGGTCCTTCAACTCTCCGCTCAACACCAAATCGGCTGCTGCAGCCGCCGGGAAGCCGACCGTTCGGCACATGGCGGACATGGAGCTGTCACCAAACACCAACAAGCTCGACTGGTGCACCTCGTTGGGGCGACCGTCATCAAACGACGCATCAATGGCCGTGTGCATTGCCACCATGTCACGTTCACCGTCTTCAAACTTTAAGTGATCCTCCAACACGGCACAGAAGGAATCCACCAAACTGTCAGGGTGTGCCACAGCAGCGTCTGCTTGTAGCATCTTCCACTCAAACAAAGCAACCTTGGCCGCGGCGGCTTTGATAGGGTCTCCATCAGCACACTCGAGCAAAAACGTATCCATACTGTCACTGCCCGCATGCATCATCTTGAGCGTGTCGTCCCACGAGGCAGCTTTTGCCGGGGTAGACTCGAAGAGCCCCATTTTCTGGAAAACGCTCATGAGACTGCTAAAGCCTCGGTAGCGGAGAGTTCCCCGGAACAATGTTGCCGCCTTGTCGATTCCATAGATGCTCTCGTACTTTAGGGAATCGCGATTGGGTAGGCACTCCAATTCCAGTCCCTGCCAGGCATCGGCAAAGGGAGTGGCGGATCTCATCAGGTCCTTACCGTCGACCTGGTCATACACAAAATGAACGAGCATCAGGTGAGAGCGAGTACATACATCATGGGAATAGCCATGCTGACAAGCATCAAACGTACCTCCACAATTTCGTTGTGCCATCGGCAGCGAGCAGAGTTTTGACTGGCCGCGATGACTCCTTTGGGGCTCCAACTAAACTTGTATTTCAGGGGGTTGTCTGCTGCTTCCGGTGCTGGCAAGCCACCACAAACACTTTGGAAGCTGCGAATCGTACCACCACGGGAAGTGATATCGTCAATGATCTTCATAGCGCTCATGTGATCGAGTCCAGGATCCAGACCGACTTCGTTGAGGATAGTGATTCCAGCGTCTTTGGCCCTACCGGTAGGTTTAGGCAAAATAATGGGCAAATGAGCAATCAGCTTTGTGCGACGTCGCAAAAGAAATCTTTGTCTGCATCCAGCGTGCTCTCACCTTTCATTCATCTCTTTCATGGCGGGGCTCTCGTAGCTCGCTGTCACGAGATTTGCTTTCTGCCTGATACATTCCTCTGCGACAGCTGGGTGCATGGTTGCAGGCAGGAGACTAATGACCACATCTTTTCCATGGACCAACGAAGCCAAATCCTTTACATTGTTGATGTCCAACGCTACATGGCTTCCCCGTTCAGCAATCTTGGCCACCCCCTTGGCCTCATCTTCGTTGTCGCTTGCTACTTGGATGTGCTTCTCAGCCGTTCTCCCGAGAAGATCAACCAAGCTCATGGACACACGACCAGCACCCAAGACCAGTACCTTTTTCTGCTCTTGGGATTCCACTACGGCAGCGCCTCCCTTTTTTGATTCTACTGGAATGTCACCTGTTCCACTGATACCATCATCGTTCTTTGAAGTCGAGAAGCTGCGATCAACCACCTTCATGGATGCATCTGCCTTGTCCACGAGATCAGTCAATAACTGAATCTTTGACTCCAAAATTGAAAGGTCGGCCTGACTGTTGCCCCAGAATTGAACCAACGCAGTCGACTTCTCCGTGGGCGCTACATCCTTGGCAAGCCCTCCTCGATTGATGCGACAGTTTAAGATATTGAACCCGCACCCGAGATGCTCAGCTGTGTCAAGGATCGTGTTGATGAGACCAGAGTCAAACCTTATGTAGACAGGATAAGGCAATGTTAGTTGGCGGTCCATCGAGAGAAGCTCTTGGAGTGCGCAGTATACTTACAGGTGGCCATTGAGCAAGACATCGATATGTTGACTTTGCTCCACTGTCGTTCGATGCTCCATGTTGTACTGCAAAAAGGAATCCAGGTATTGATATCTTGGAGCAAGAGCACCTTTGCTGGTTGTAATGCAAGCGTGGGACTGACAGGGCAATTCGTAAGGGTTGGATTTTTGAAATAGCGGAGAAGGCAGTGTGAAAAGATAAGCTCCAACTCACCAGCAAGACAGGGGCTTTTCCGCTTTGAAGATCAATGAAGTTGCTAGATGCCGCAGAAGGATCATCCGATCTAGTCGCAATGAGTTCATTCAGAACTTTCACAACAGCACTGCCAAAGTGATCACTGCTCTCCTTTGGGAGCTCTGCGGGCAGAATATCCGTCCCTGTAGACAATAGACGAAAGAACCGGGTGAGCACCATAAAACACTAGCAAGTACAGAACTCATACTGGCATGTCCTCACCCATCACTGTAATTCCTCTTTCTCCAATGTCGGCACATTCCTCAAGACGTGTAAGAGGATTATACTGGAAGAATGGCTTAGCAATTGTACAGGTGCGATCCAAAAACTCAATGGAGCCATTGACATCACAGCTGATATCTGATACCACCAAGAGCCTACCGGTGCAACATCCAACAAGTTGGGGGACGTCGATTTAGCAGACAATCCAACGAAAAGTCAATATTGCACGACAACGGGCATACCTGTTTTGACCATTCTCATGAAGCATCTGAGCATCGTCCTTAGTCAAAAGACGGGCATACCGCGGGTCCCTGGGAGATGCAGGAAGAAGTGACATGTGAGCGGCTGTTCTCATAGTGTTGGGGCATGACACACAGTTTCCTTCGCTTACCAGTAGATGCAGTTCACCAGAGCATGACTGTACGGAGCAATGGTTGTTGCAAAATTGCTTGCATAGGAGCCTGGATTGTTCCTCCAATGATCGGCATCAAATGAACCATCATTCACGTGGTAGTACATCTCTTCTGGCGATGGGGTCACCACAAAGACTTTGTGCTTGTCTGGGTTCGACTGATTGTAGAGTTCTGGCAAATCCTCGGCACGAATTCGTTCTTGCGGCAGCAAATCCAGCACCTCCATTGCACCTCCGAAGACTCTTTGACGAAGGAAAGAGACAAATCAAAGTCAGATGAAAATTGCCACCCAATCAATCAGCACAGAAGCTGCTGCCAGTGTCAACTCACCGCCCACCCAGACCGGTGACACAAAACACCAAGGGATCCTTCAGCTCACTGGGTAATCCTTCATATGCAATTTGCTCACCAACCGATCGAATGGTTTGCTTGGCCTGTTCCAAATCTGGTTGCATGCTTGCCAATGGAATTTTCAGAAATGGAGTGTGTATGCCAAGATCCGTCACTAGTCGTCTACCCAGAGGATAGAAACTATCAATCATTCCCGCCAGTCCAGCATATTTTCCAAAGGCCACCAATCGATTGGCCCTTCCCCCCTTTGTTTCTTCTACAATACATTCATAATCGACGAGCTGGACTCGCTTTTCCAAAGCTCGTTGCAGCAAGCCCATGTTGCTCTCTTGTCCTTTAATGACGTGAGAGAAAAATACATAGGTTTTGTCGTTCAGCATAGTTTCTGGATCCTTGGGTCGTTTGACACCCAAAATGATGTCCGCCCCAGCCAAGTCATCCGATAGAACTGCTCCCGCTTGCTGGTAGTCCAAATTGGAAAAACATCGTTGCGAAGATGGCTGCACCAAGACTTTGGATAAACCTCCGTTGCTGGCACCCAACAACTCCTGGACATGATGAGGAGTCAGGGGCGTTCGCCGTTCCCAATCATCGTACGTTTCCCGCAATATTCCAATTGTTATCCCAACCTCTCTTGTCGTTATGGCAGGAGGCGGAACGGGTGGTTCGGCAAAGAAATCACTTGTGGGCGACACAAAATTGGGACTTGCCGAGAGAAACTTGGTTCGTCCACCACGAGATAACAAGGATTGGGCGCTCCTTGTCACGGGGGAAGGACGACCCATGCGTCGGAGCGTGGACCAGATAACCATGGTTTCTTGCTTGACTACAATTTGAGTCTATTATCCTGGCTTGGGATGTGACGGGTTTCTCATCCGTTCAGATTTTCTTTCTTATCGCTTTTCTTGGGCTTTGGCTTTGTGTACCTGCAAGCTTCGGATCGATTTATCTTTTGCTGATGGTCAACAACTCGGCTCCTTTACTATGAACAAGTTGCTTTGGCATTGCTTTTGCATTCCCAGTATTCTGGTCCCAAAGAATAAATTGTTTCTTACGTTTGAAGGCACAATGACGCCAGGCAATCAGGAAGGTGATAGATTGATGTTCCGAGCCATTTCCGGAAGCTACCGTTGCGTTCTGGATCCATCCACGGATCAAAAGATCCACGGACAACTCCCACCACGGGCTACATGCAGTCTACTTGCTAGCTAGCTAGTCTAGAAGCACAATCAACGCAAGTGAGAACACTTCATTGATGGCTTGCAGGTTTGCTGGTGAAGGCAAATCACTGGTTGACATACCGGTACTCGGTGTCAGTGTGGATGCTTTGAGATGCCTTCTCAACTAGCTAGTCACACCAATCTAATTTGGTAACAATACAACCTCGAAACCTCTTCCTTCAACTCGACCTTGCTTGTAGCGCAGCTATGTCATGGTTGAAAACATCCCGAGGGAAAATAGACATTCCAGTATCGGTATCCAACACTTTTCTAATCTCGCCGCCGACAGCCACGGCACAGCAACCTCTAGCTAGAGACAGCAACATGGAAGCAGCATGGAAGCAACATCTACCATGGCGCAGGAAAAGTGGTTCACTATCCAAAGGTAGTTTCTGGTTTGCCGGGGAGTAGCATCCATACCGGTAAGCTCGCTCGCTGAGGGGTGAGGCGATCCAAAACTTCTGGTTGTTGCTTTGAGGTCGGTTGAGATTAGGTGAAGGGAAATGATTCAAAACATTATTTTCGCTCATTCCGCTCATTGCTGTCAGGCAGTTTGCAAGGATGGCATCAGACGATGCCTTCTGACCTGTCACAAAAACCAAGCAAATCCAAACATGAAAGCCACGTTTACCCGCTCAGATACAGAGCTCGGAGCTCGGAGCTACCAGCTCTCTTTGATGGAGGACGTCCCGAGTGATGGTAAATAGATATTCCTAGTTAGAGTTACGGCCAAGGAAACATAACAAAGGCAGCCAGCACCATGAAAATGACACAGCTAGCTAGACAGCAGCACTTTCGTACTTGAGGCTCGCCATGGAAAAGGAAAACCAGAATTGCTGATGCGGCTCCACGGCAGACTTTCAAGCAAAGGGGAAGCATCTCTCCTTGTCTAGCTGGATCGTAGCAGGGGTTGGATAAATTACGATGCCTTTACCCTTGACAGCTCCAATCAGGTTGGCAAACGCTTTCACGGACCTGTTTTCGTAGCCCAACTTCTCCGCGATGTCATCCTTTTCGTGAACCTCCCCGTCCGCCAAGAGATCAAACAATGTCACCTGCTTCCCCTTGAGGTCGTTCTTGATGCGTTCATGCACTTCCTCATTGCTGCTGCCCGCACTCGCCAAATCGCCCACGTGTTCGAGGCCACTTTCGGTCAAACCAAGCGTCTGCGCGTCAGGGCATTCCACAAGATCCTTCTTCTTCAGTTTTGCCACCGTATTCGCCAGGGTCTTGGCTGCAATGGCACACAACTTCGCCACCTGTTCTCGCTTGGGTGTTTTGTTTCCACCAGCGTAGAGTTTCGCAATCACATCCAGGATCTTCTGCTCCGCAGTCATGCCGTCCTTACTCTTCTTGCCGCCTCCACTGTTGGCCTTCTTCTTGTTCGCGCTGTCAATCTTCTTCTTGGTGGAGGTTTCTTTAGCCTTGGTTGGACCTGTCTTCGACTTTCCATTGGTTGTCTTCATGGTTGGCTATCTTTGCTTTCGGGATGAGTTGACACTGGATAAGGGTGTGTCAGTTTGTGAGCCTTTTGATTCAGCTTTCCTTACTTCGTTTGTGGAGCTGCTCTTTTCATAAGCGTGGCAGCGTGGCAGCGTGGCAACTCTCACACAGCACAGGTGGACCACGTTCATTGGAATGAATCTTGCCAACCATAACGTGAAAGTCTACGATTGGAATCGAATCGGGCGAGGAGTTCTTTGCTGCCACGGTCGTCCTTGGGGGTGAACGGTAGGGAAACCGTGACGCCGACACGATACTCTGGTTTGTCAACGGGAAACTTGCCAAGGAGAATCTATAAGGACAGGATGCAGCGGCCCGGGCTTGGCACGATGTGTAGTAGCTGCAGTGAAGCCCATTCCCGTCAATCCCCTCCTGCGGGTGTGCGTTTTGCTTCGGACATGATCGATCTTGCCAGACAGCCCTTGCATTTAGGGAGGCACGATGAGAGGTTTCCACGCTGTAACTACCCGAGGAGGTGAAACCGTACCGGTAGGGCAAGGTAGGATTGATGATTCTCCCCAAGACTTGACCCAGAGTGATGTGCAACGGATATTCAAACATCAAATTGATAAATACCGGTAGTCGTACGGTACCGGTAGCAAGGGCTGATGAGAGCGAAGACAAGAATAAAACTCCCACGCTGAAAGTTGTGTCGTCCCGGACCTCCACCAATATGGTGGGCAGCTCCAGCTCCGTTTTCAAACAAGGAAGACAGCCCCACGCTCAAGTCCAATTGGGCCACTTACGGTAGAAAGCAAACTGAAAATCTAGTATGGAGTTCTCTAGTTCTGTTATGCTGTTTTCTTGCTTGACGGGTCATCATTGGCCTTCATGTATGCAAGGATTGACACAAGGAGGCCCACTACTGCAATAAAAGCTGCCCCAGCGGATCCTCCATCGAGCGCTCCAATCAAAAACTGTATAGGGCGAGAGTACTGTTGCACCTTTTCGGGGGCTGGCCAGTCCAAACCCAACCGTTGGGCTCGGGGAGCATCGAACAATATCTCTCCCAAAGAATACCAAATAGCCGTGATGGAATTGACTGCCAATAATATCGCTCGTACTCGTTGCGATTCCCCTCTCAGTAGTACAAACAAGAGCCCCATACCAAACGCCAACGTCTGGCACATTCGGGCCAAGTGAACCGTGAGCAGCTCGGTTTCATCCACACCGAGAGCATCGGAATAGAAAAGAGTAAAGTCTCCCAGAATGCCAAATGGTGATATCATTCCCAAGGCGCCTGTCAGAAGGTTGATGGCACCGATAATATAGTAAACCACGGTGAATACAATCATGGTGCTGTTGTATTTGCTATGCTTTGAACCTGATTGTTGGATATGTGACAACAATGATCATGATCATCATGAGCCAGAGCCACAAACGGTGTGGATCTTTTCGCATTTTGGGTCGGCATGTCGGCACCTTCTCAGTTGTTCCAGCGTGACTGAGTCACCCAAATTGCATTTCTGCTGTCTTAAGTCTGAGGCTTTTAAGATTAAGGACTATCCACGCACTGGCGGCAGTTTTGTTGGGCAGCTGGTTTTCAACCAGCGTATCGGCGTGTCTGCTACACTTTTTGCAGTTGATGTTTGATGGGCTTTTCTTTGTGATGGGTGGGATTGAGTGATCATTTTTTCTTCTGGAGCGATAGTAGCTAAAGAAACTAAGAAACCAACACAACCACGACCATGATGTATGCACTTGTCTTGACTGTTCTTGCCTTTTCTTCGGCTGGAGCGTTTGTTGTTCGACAGCCGAATGTTAGGTCTTCCAAGCTTTTCCTCGAAGATTGGGTGGCCAACATGATTGGTAAGATATCATTCTTCGTTTGCACCGACCGTGACGCAAAGGCCTTTGGAAGAATCTCAACACACTTTTCTGCTTTCCAGACGAGGAGCTCCACCGATTGAGCCACCATGATGGTAAGTCCCAGCTAGCTAGAGTGGGGAAGAAACCTACCCAACCGCCAACTCGAATGAATCTATCGAATCGCCAATGGTCACCTCTAATGCTGTTTCTTGGCTTTTCCACACTATGATATTCCCCAAACTCCAAAAGAGTTCGAGCAGAAATGGATGGAGAAGAATCGCAATCATGTGCTCCACCATGTTCCACAAGAAGTGCTTGGCCAAGAAGATCAGATGGATAGGTTTCGTCAGGTGGCCAAAGACAAGAGGCTGGCTAAGGACGATCCTCAAAAGTACTGTGCCGATCGATGCGTTGCCACTGGTAACTGTGATGTCTATGAGGATATCTTTGAGCTTGGCCCGGAAGAAGTCTTGGCCTTCTGCAATGACTGTGTCTTGAGTGAGGAAAAAGAGGAATGTGATATCCCAACGGCTTTTTATGAGTTTGGGGACGAGGAAGATCTGAATGCCTTTCTGACTCCTTAACGACCTTTACTTCCTCTACCAGTACCAGGTACTGCACTCTTCACTCATTGCACACATCGCACTCAAGGATAATTTGGCTGTGGCTGAAGCATAACATTATAAGAGAAAAAACACAGGGCTACAATCAATATTATCTGCGGCCATCAAGGGCAGTAGCCGAAAGCATTCCGTTCAAGAATGCTAGCCAATCCCACCATCAATAACCATAACATACTAAAGACAAACAATCACAAAAAAGAGTTTGTTTATAGCTCACTACAGCCCTATCTTATTATATGTATATCTTTCTCCTCAAACGATCTCCGGTTTGGTCGAACTGGCTTGGCTACGGTTGGGGTCGAACTCGCTTTCCTCATCATCGGATTCATCGTCGTCGTGATCTCGCTTTTTCTTCTTCTTTCTACCACTATCATCGGATTCATCGTCACTCTCATAATCAGAATACTGTTCCACTTTGTCATCATCATAGTAGTACATATCATCGTCGTCACTGTCATACGGATCATCGTCGTCGGCAAGCTCTTCTGGAGGCAAGGCTTCGGGCGTACTCTTGACTGTATTGGCTACCGTAAGCCACATAAAAAAGGCCGAAATGGCCATGGCGGTACCTGGTCCAATCTTGCAAATGTGAGTCGAACAAAAGTTGGTTCCAAATCCCAAGAATCCAAGTCCTTGGAAGATGGCAGCCAGCAAATAGATCCACAAAAGCAGCTTTTCAAACATGTGGGTATGAAAGGCCAGGCAGCAGGTAGTGGCGATAATGAGCATACCCAATCCACCCAAAGCCAAAGCAAGGGTATTAAAGAACTGTCCGTAGTGGAACCACCAATCGTTGAAGGTTTCTTGTTCCTCCAAGACGGTGTAGGCTCGGCAATTCTGGTAATCTGGTTCCTCACCCGGTTCGATTTCTCGAGAAAAGTAACCATACCCCCTCATGGTGAACTCAATCGGTTCTCCCGTCTCCAGGTTCTGTAGCTGCACTTGAAAAAAGAAACAGTGTCGGATGGAAAAGATCCCGGAAACAAAGGCTACTACCGCCAAGATCACTGCCATGATTGTATAGCACTTCCCATGAGGGCAAGAACTGCAATGAGCAGAAACATAAGATAAGAGCCAGAAACGCGACTACACGTATCGACCGCCACAGCGACGGTCTCTCCTGGTAGCAAGACATTCACCCTCACTCCACTCGAACGAACTCCAACGGTATCCAACTCACTAACTCACCATGGCCTCCGAAGATCGAAGACACAACATAGAGGATCACAGCACCATCCTATGCAGCGCCGAATCATGATTGCTACTACAACTGAAACCAAGCAACAGGATGTCTATTATGGACGACACTAGGATCTTGATGAAAGCTCGACCGAACCATGCATCGACTATTGTCGGCTATCTTCCGGATCTACTGAGTATATCGTTGCAAGGTTGCTACCACAGTACCACCACCAACCACTTCACCTCTGTTGGAGACAAAAACAAAATCGCGAGAAAGAGCATCGGGAAATTGAATGACCCATGCAGGCATGAGAAGCCTTTGCGTGGTATCTCGAATTTGTCGTACTATTAAATCTATTTGTCTCTTCAAACGATTCCACGTCATCAAATGAAACCAGTCTCGTGCCACATGTATTTATCTACGATAGCTAGCTAGACTATCTTATTTTTATTGTTTTCCGCCACAAGCCCACAGGTCTGGTTACAGCGCTCGAGGTATTATAATTTTTAATATCCAGGGTAGCTAGTAGTACCTGGTACCAGCACTAGTAAGGTCACAGCCACATGCATCATGGACTAGCGAGGTGGTAGGAAGCAAAAGGCAGCAAGACGGAACAAACGAAACCGAGGGGATGGTTCTATGGACAATTTCTATCTTCTAATCACCACAAAAACATGGGTAGATTGTAGTGTCAAATAAAAAAGCCAGGGTTCAGTGAGAGGTACCTGGTAGAGACCAGACAATAAGATATCCCCAAAACCAACGTAAACTTTGGAGCCCTTTCCAATAACTTCCAAACTGACTGTTAGAGCAACGACTACAGTTCATCTCCCTTGCCGTCGCCTGAGGATGTCCCCAAGATTTTGGCAATGGCATCCTTTTGTTTCTCCGTCAAATCTACTGGAAAGTCCACTTCAAAGGTGATATACAAGTCCCCAAAGCCACGGCCATTCCTCCTTGGCATACCCTTTCCAGGCACTCTCATGACATGGTCACAGTCAATCACATCATCCACAGTGATGGTAAAGGGGGTATCATCCAATTGTTTCAATGTCATTGAGAATCCGATCTGAAAAACAAAGCAACAGACAGAGATGAAGAGAGAGAGTGAATATTATGAGTCAAAACCAAACAGTATTAGTAGTTTCCAACAACAAAGTCCTTCTCGTGGCGTGGCATGCAAAAAAGCTGTTGATAATGGCGCCACGTACCAAAGCGTCCACCAGAGGAATTTCGAGTGTCATGTACAGATTGTCCTTGTCCCGATGGTAGGTTGAATGAGGCTCTTCCACAATGACGAATCGCAAATCACCAGCTTTGTGCCCAGGCTTTTCATCAGTGACTTCTTCAAACGTGATGTGTTCGCCCACTCTGTAGCCCGGTTGGATATCAATAGTCAGATCAATTTTTTCGGTTTGAGTCTTTTGAGGGCATTCTTTGCAGTTTTTGTGCCACATTTTCCCTCTGGCAATGCATCGTTCATCTCGTTGTTGAACCTGCTGAACAAATCCAGGTGCTAATTGCTGCCGTATAACCCGCACTCCCGGACCCGAACATTCATTATTTGTCTTCATACACATTTCCCAGTTGAGACAGAGAGTTTGGCGATGATACTCGACCTCAATTTGTTCTCCCAAGTACAATTGTTTGAGTGTGACATGAAGAGGAATCTCGACAGATGGTGTTCGCTGTTCCTCGTCCTGTTGGCGACGTCCACCAAATCCGCCAAAAAATTGTTCAAAGGGATCAAATCCCCCTCCACCGCCACCACCACGTTGCTCATGTTGTTTCAATCCTTCCTCTCCATGTCGATCGTAGATTTCCTTCTTTTCATCATCTGATAAGACTTCATAGGCATGGGCAATTTCGGCAAACTTCTCGGCAGCTCCCTCTTCCTTGTTTTTATCAGGATGGAACTTGAGGGATGCCTGACGGTACGCCTTCTTAATTTCCTTGGGTGTAGCATCACGAGATATGCCCAGTAACTTGTAATAGTCTGCTGCATGGGCCAAACAGGCCAACCACAGCTGTAGCACTGCTACTACCAGGACGGCTCCTCGGGTCATTGGTTTGTTGGGTCTGTGCCGTACTAGTATTGGATCGTCTTGAGAAGTTCTGGCTGCTCTCTATGTAGCCTGGTCCCAAAATGCTGACTTTTCTGGATGCTACACAAGAGACAACGACTGCGTTCGCGTTAATGATACAATGCTGTGACAGCTGTGAAGGGTCGAAGGTTGGATGCCTTTGTCTTTCTATAGGTTTCTCAGCCAATACTCGATCTCTTGTGAAAATTGTGTTGGCTTTCGAAGGATCGTTGGGTTGAGTCACGAGAATACTCGTGACTACGCCTCAGACGTCCAAAGATTTTGGCACAATGGCCGGCTGCTTTCGAATGGGAATAACCAACGGCGGCTATTAGCTAGCTAGTACAAACGTGCAGCGCAAATCCACAATTGCTTCAAGCAATCACAACTCATATTTTACTCAGCGGAGAACCGCAATCGATCGCTGTGTTATCGCGCCGTTGGGTGTCGTTGTGTTTGGAGCATTATTTGAATCGAAAAAATGTCGTAAGTTGCCGTCTGCTGGATGTCTTTTGACACGATGTCACAATGGTGGTTCACCGATTGTTTTTGTTTTCGTTTATTCCATCACAGAGCAAGAGGAGGAAAAGCATTTCGCCCAGGAAAATTTTTGCGACCTCAGGAGTACTCTGACGATGAGGACGACGAGGATGATGAGGACTCTGACGACGAGGAATCCAATTTGAAGCCCGCCAAAAAAGCCAGCGCCAAACTGTCTTCGTCGGAAGATGAGGATGATGAAGAAGAGGAGGAGGAGGAAGAAGAAGAGCGGTCATCCAAAAAGCGAAAGGCGTCTGGATCGAGTGGCAAGGAGAAAAAGCGTCCCAAAGCCAGTTCTTTTTTCGATGAAGAAGCGGAAGCGTCAGAAGATGACGAGGATGAGGATGATCCATATGGAACTCACCATGACCCAGATGACATTGTAAAAAAACACTATACGGAGGAAGATATTCAGAGAGAAAACATGGACGATGCTGCTATGGAGCTTATGCGACAACAAGATAGGCGACGTGCCCAAGCGGGTAGATTCGGAGAAACAGAGCTATCAGTTGCGGAAATGGCAGAAGAAATTGAAAATCGCCATCGTATGCAGAACAGAAGAGTTCCGAGAGCTGACTTTTTGGAACAGGGGAACAACGACGATGCTGGCGTACCACAGTTTTCGCCAGCTGTGGCACAGCAGAGTTTGGTGCCGTCTGTGTCAGACCCTAGCCTTTGGATGGTGTCGTGTGCCACCGGAAAAGAAATGGAGCTGGTCTTTCAAATCATGAACAAATGTGCTGCTTTCGCACGTCAGGGGAGGCCCCTCGGTATCAGTGCCGCTGTGGCAGCACAGAGTAAGGGACGAATCTACATTGAAAGTTTCAGTGAACCAGCTGTTTTGGAGGCCATCCAAGGAGTCAGAGGGCTCATGCAATACTCAATGAGATTGGTGCCAATCGGAGACATGACAACAGTCATGGCGGTTGTATCCAAGAAGAAAATGGGTATGTTTGGATCTTGAAAGTTTCAGTTGATGTGGACTGAGCGGAAATTCTCACATGCTCTTGTTTGCCAGTCAAAAAGAATGATTGGGTGCGAATGTGCCGTGGTCATTACAAGGGCGATCTGGCATTGGTCCGGGCTGTCAGAGAGTCTGGACTCAAGGCCATTGTCCAGTGTGTCCCTAGATTGGACTTGTCCCTGGCTGAGATGTCCCCAGAAGAAGCTCGTCGTCGACGAAGGACGCACAAACCGGCACAAAAGTTCTTCAATGCACAAGAAGTGCAGGCACTCGGAAAGCATACACTCAAGCGACAACGATTCCCTGGTCTGGATACCAGCTGTGACTACTTTGAGGGTAACTATTACGACGGTGGATACCTGGTCAAGGAAGTGACGGTGGGACAGATGGTTAAACCGTGCACAGACGAAGACCCTCCAAGCTTGGATGAACTGCAAAGCTTCAGGCGAAGAGACAAAATGAAATCAGTCGATGATGACAAAGATGAAAACGAAGGGTCCAAAATGGCGGCTTCATTGTTGGATGAATTGTCAGACCTGCAGGGAAAGACCAGCCTAGGTTCAGGTGGAGCAAAAGGTGCTGGTCTCATGATTGGCGACACTGTCGAAGTAGTTGAAGGTGATTTGGTCGGCATGCGTGGTAAACTTGTCAGTCTGGATGAAGCCGGCTCCACGGTGAAAGTGAAACCAAACAATGCTGCGGATCTCGATTTGACACAGGAGGTCGAGTTTCTTGCAAATCAAGTCAGGAAGTATATTCCTGTGGGTGCCCATGTCAAGGTCACTGATGGACGATACTCAAATGAAACTGGTGTTGTGGTGGCCATAGAACAACTCGACAGTGAAACAGACTTCACGGCTGTCGTACTGACTGATGTCACGAACAAAGAAATTTCTGGTAGGTACATGGCATGGGCGAGTGGATTTCGTTTGTGCCGTTGTTTCTAACCCAGTTGATGCCGCCACAGTGAGAACGTCCCAGTTACGTGAATCAGCAGAGGTTGCTTCAGGGCAAGACAAGCTTCAGGGCTACGAGCTCTACGATCTTGTCGTTCTGAGTGGTGGCGGTTCTGCGAATGAGGTTGGGGTAATTGTCCGAGTTGGACGTGAAGATTTCACGGTGATCAACAATCATGGTATTCCACGAGAGGTTCGACCAGAAGAATTGCGCGGAAAGCGTAATTCCACTTCCATGCGGGCTGTGGCTCTGGACGTCCAAGGAAATCAGCTTCGCGTTGGTGACACAGTGAATGTCGCCGAAGGACCCCACAAGGGCAAGTCAGCAACCATCAAACGAATGAGCAGGTCCCAGCTCTTTCTTTATTCGCAAACTCGTTCGGAGCACGCTGGTATTTTTGTTGTGCGCAGTCGTAGCTGTGTGCTTGCAGGGTCGAGAACGCAGAACCGTGGCGGCCCAGGTGATGGTGGAATGAGTCCCTTTGCAACCCCACAATCTCAGAATCGAGGCGGCCCCGCCAGCCGTGGAAAACGTGACGATGGGTTGATTGGAAAGACTGTTCGTATCCAGGCAGGACAATGGAAAGGATATTTGGGAACAGTTTGTGATGCAACAGCGACACATGTCCAAGTTGAGTTGCACTCCCGCTTGAAAAAGGTGATGGTTTTGCGAGAACGTGTTGCTGTGGCCGGAGATAAATTTGGAGCCACTGAGGATCAAAACCGCGACATTCCCGCCGTTGCCAATATCATGGCTCCAACAACTCCCTTTGTTGCTGGTGGCGCTACTCCCATGCATGGAGGAGCCACCCCACTGCATGGTGGAGCAACGCCTGCCCACGATGGAGGGTATGTAACCTTGTTGGTTGAGAAAGTGTTGTGCATTGGCAATCTGGTGTCTAACTTCTTCCGTTGTGATTATTCAGTGGGGACGATGTATGGAGACCCGGAGGTGGCGTTGATCGCGACAACGAAGAAGAGAACGGCACATCGAATGATGATGGGTGGGGAACTTCGAACAACGATGACAACGACGGTGCGTTCTTTTTCTGTTTTTTGCTTGCATCTCTGAAGGTATTCTCATCAACCTGGTTTGTTATGACAGATGGATGGGGGTCGAATGCCAATTCCAATTCAGGCTGGGGTTCGACCGAAAAGCAAGACGACAACGAGCAATCGAAGCCGGCAAGTGCGTCTGTTGCCATTAAGCGTGATGAGACAAGTGAAATGGAGGACGGCGACGCCAACGAAACACCAGTCTGGTTCATGGAGCGTGTTTGTGTGCAGCTGAAGAACGGTGATTCCACCGCAGTCATCAAAGAGGTGTCGTCAGACAATACGGCAATGGTTGTGTTGGCGGATAAGTCAACGAAGACTGTTCGGGTTGGAGAAGTATCGATGATCCCGCCAAAGGAGCACGACATGGTTCTTGTCACAGGCGGAGCTGATGTTGGTGTGGAAGGTGAATTAGTCTGTATTGATGGTACCGATGCAATTCTGAAGGACTCCAACGAAGACTTCAAGATTGTAGACTTTGTGTGCCTTGCAAAGATCGATGCCGACAGCTAGCTGTCTTGCGCAAGCATACCATACGGAGGCGAATGTATAAGGCTGGTATAAAAATTCGTAATCAGAGAGCTATTGTCTAATTCGTTAGACAGTGCTACGTGCTCAAGGGCAAACAAGTCGTGCCGCCGATGGGACCAGCATCGTGTCGCGTTCGATCCACAGACTGTTCCCGCGTTCTCCTTCCTTCCTTGAGCTGTCCAATGAGACTTGGCCGTGCGCATATGGTACGGATATACCTTCTTCATTTTGAGGGCACCAACCTCGACGTACCGATTTAAAGAGGCACCCCAGGTGCAGGTGGTAGACTCAACTCCCAACTTGGTCCGTCAATCAATCTGTGGATCATGATACACCGTAGCCCCTGGCCAGCAATGGAAGATGACCGAAGACGCATCTTATATGCGGTTCAAGGCACTGCTCAGTCCTCCGTTGGATCCCATGGTATAATCGCAAGGCAGTCCCCCGATGCACATCGACATTGCAAGGACGCCAAAAATGAACAACAACAAGGCGGCCGCGGCCAGCGGGAGGACAAAGTACAATCCGAACATTACGAGTACGGCACAAATCAAGCAAACTGCAAATAACTGGGCGCTCTTGCGACGGTTTAGTCGTCGGTGTTCTTGCTCGAGTTGGTACAAGCGTTCCCGTGCAACTTGTTGTTCCCGTCGAACCAAATCATTGACATTGGGAGTGTCATAATGAACCACTGGTGGTGGTCGTCGTCTGTTGCGTTGTTGTCTGCCGCGAGATGACGAGTTCCTTGACCGCTGTCGTCGTTGCTCCGCTTCTGCGACCAAGGCCAGTTCCGGGAAGATCAGATTCGGCTCTTGATGTGACGCCTCCAAATCCTGGAGTTGCCCCTGTGGCTGCAATTCTTCTAGAAACTGCGAGCTGCAAGCAAAGTCACTGTCGCCAGAAGTGGTCTCCGTGTTATCGGTACCGGACACGTCTGTCTTCCACTGTTGAACTTCATCGTTGTTTTCTTCTTCCTGCTGCTTGAGTAGCTGTATTTCTTGAATGAGAATCATAAAGAGGGTTGTGTTGTCGTAGAGCAGTTCCACTGTGAGTGGCTTTCGGGTGATTGGAGAGACTCCATGCTGTTGGATCCAGTTGACCACAGCGCTGCGTTCGTAGGTGTTTCCTTCCTGGTCAATTACAGGATCTCGCATGAGTTCTTGGGTAATGGGACAAACAAACAGATCCAGGATATCCTCAGTGGTCACTGTACCCATGTTGGAACTGGTACCACCGTCATCATCTTGAGCGTTATCCTCAGCATCATCCTCCTGAAACATCTCAATGCAGTCCTTCAAGGCTCTGTTGGGATAATAGAGATCCTCATCTTCTTCACTGACAATGGCACTTCGCTCATAGGAGACTCCATCCGTGGGACAGACTACCGGGTCCACAAGAGGCTCCATGGTCAGCGGGCACAAGAGTGGTGGTCTCTTGTTGGCTGTACTCTTTGCTTCAGGAACGGGAGAATGAGTTCGCGGAGGGCTGTCAAAAGGATTCATTGGTTCCACGCTCATGCTGCTGTCCACAAGAGGCTCCTTGGTCAGTGGGCATAAGAGTGGTGGTCTTTTGGTGGTGGCTGTACTCTTTGCTTCAGGAACGGGAGAATCAGTTCGCGCAGGGCTGTCAAAAGGATTCATTGGTTCCACGCTCATGCTGCTGTCCACTGGAGGCTCCATGTTTAGTGGGCATGAGAGTGGTGGTCTTTTGGTTGTGGCTGTACTCTTTGCTTCAGGAACGGGAGAACCAGTTTGCGTAGGGCTGTCAAAAGGATTCATTGGTTCCACGCTCATGCTGCTGTCCGTGCAGGTACTGGCAGTCTGATTGAGTGTCAAGCCCATCTCGGCATCTTCGTCAGTGGTGGTAGTGGTGTCAAGATGAACAAGGATCTCTTCTTCTTCTGCTTCGTTTTGAGACAACCCGTTCGTCTTGATCATGGCAGACACAACGGCATCAGGGTAACTGGTAGTAGCCACACAGGCTGTAGCAGCGGCGGTATCGTGTTCATCAAGGGTCATCATCGTTAAAACGAAAGCACAAATACCAGTCTATTATTACAGTATTCTATTAGCTGGTGGCAACCGTACTTTAGCAGCTAGCTAGCTAGTACTGTACATGGGAGATGAATGAGGGGCGAAAAAAACGTCCAAGATGGCCAAAATCTCTCGCAGATCCATGTTCGTCTTATCGTCGGTCAGGGGAAAGCGAAGGGGACAGAAGGGAGGGCGCGCAGGCTTTATCTTGGTGGTCGTGCATTCGGTCGGCCGTGATAGGGAACAGGCTAAGATGATAGAATCGAATCATCGAATCAATCAATCGAAGACTCGATACCATTCCAATTCGATTTGATGCAATGACGCCATGGACTTTGCCTTTACTAAAAGGATGTCACGAAAGGGGAAGACAAACCTGCAAAGATCAGAACTCCTCATCAAACCTCCATTCATTCCCATCCGTGGTCCCCTCTAACCCATAGTAACCTCTTCTTCACCTCGAAAGGCAGCAACAAAACAAAGGACGTCCTCAGTCTGAGTCTGCAGCATGCCTCCCAAAACTGTGAAAGCATTGGCTCCTGACCCCACCAAAGTCACGGCAGCCGAGAAGATCCTTGGAGCTGGCGCGATTTTCCTTTTTGTGTCCACATGGATCGCATCAATCTTCTCCCCCTTTATACTGGCATCTTCCCTCTGGAAGGGACAGTATGTGCGTACTGGAGGCATCATCTTGATCACAATTCTGGCTTATCTGCCGTGGGAAAAGGGCAATCTGGCCGCGGATGCCCACAACGTTATCTACGGATACTTTCCCTTGTATTTCAAGTCTTTGTCGTTGGAGTTTGAAGGGGACGAATTGCCACCAGAAGCAACAAACAACAATTCACCCGACAACAATAAAAGCAAGCAGAAACACCAACAAACATTCTACGCAATCCACCCACATGGTGCCTTTTCCTTTGGTTGGGCCACTCTGTTTTGTCATTTGCAGAATGTTCGCTTTTGTTTTGCCCCTCCGTTGTTTGCATCTCCATTTTTCCGACTCTTTACTCGCATCGTGGGCAAACCGGGAAGTGCCGGCAAGGCGGCCATGATATCCTACATGCGAAAAGGGGAAGACTTGGCATTGCCACCAGGAGGATTTGAAGAAGCCACTCTGACTTGTCCAGGCAAAGATCGAGTCTACATCAAGACACGGGCTGGTTTTGTCAAACTCTGTCTACAGCATGGAATTGCCATTCGGCCGGTCTATGTCTTTGGTGAACATGGATTGTACTGGAATATACAAGGTGCTTGGGACTTTCGTATCAACACACTCAACAAAAAAATGGGGATGCCTGCCATTGTGACTTGGGGGCATCCTCTGGTACCTTTACTGCCACGGAACACGGTGGATATGAAAATTGTGGTAGGGGCTCCCATTGAGTTGCCCAAAATTGAAACTCCCACCAAAGAAGAAGTGAGCAAATGGCATTCCAAGTACATGACAGCACTACAAAAGCTATACGAAGATCACAAAGAAGCTGCCTATGGATCAGAAGTGGCCAAAACCTCCAAACTGGAAGTATGGTAGTCATCATCACTGCACGGTAGACAACAAACAAAGCGGAGAAAGTGATGAACGGCAAGCAATGATGTTTACTGTGAAGGCTGCAATCATGTTGTGTTTCAATCAGATTTCATCTCGATTCCAACATCACCCACTTTTACGGAAGAGTCCATGCCCACTGTTCGACTGGGAGTCTGGCGGGCCGTATTTCACTTTGATCTCGGTGTGGCCTACTGGTAATTAGATTAGATTCTTGCGGTGCAGCGAGACGTGTGACTACCGGTGTGGTTCTTTAGAAGTATGATTACTGCTTTCCTCTCAGGAAGCTGCTTATTATAATATTTAGTTATCCTGCTTTCATATTATCCTCGTTCAATACTAGTTCGCAAAGTACATCTTCCGCGCCTGATAATGCTGGGTATTTGTAGGTATCTAGTAGAAAAAGTGTAGCTAGTTGCCCGTGCGTGGATAAGTGAAGGAGCTTTCTCTCCTCTCTAGCATATGCCAGCTTGTTGTTGACGAAGAAGGGGCACGACAATACCCCACCCTACTAGTACCGGTATGAATCCCTCTCGTGTCGTTCGTGTGGGCGGGCGACTCCAAAACTTGCTCCAAACTAATCGAATACGAAGCATGTAAGTTTTGGAAAGAACCATTCATGATGGAACGTTGGTCATGTTCTGACCGTGAAGAGGATGAGCAATGGTTGCTTTGCTGTTGCGGCCATCCTTCATTTGGTAATTCTGCCAATGCGAGGATCGCTTCCGATGTCGTGAGTATGTTGAGAGTATTTCACGGTGTAATCCGAAGCGTGCCGATGAGCGTTGTCGTCAAAGCGTTGTCCAAGTTATGATCGTGTACCTTTAAAGTCTTAACTCATGAGGATAAACTGGGTATGATTTGATGACCTGTACACCAGGTCGATCCATGGAATTCACTTCATGGGTGCTTGGGCGGCTTGGGCCATCCTTCGTATCTACCTGTTCATGATGTTTGCATGGTTTGTCCAGTTTTACTCCGGTCACAGTTTCCTTGTGGAGCTGGAGTTTGTGTGAGAAAGTTGCTGCCGCCCTGTGCGAGGGACTGAGGTGTGACTGCTTACCTCAACACAACATCTAGGTCCGAGAAATTTTCCGTTCGAGCACAAGAACGCTCAAACCGTGCGAAGCAAACACATTATGAGGTTGTTGCTGTTCGAGATGAAAGATGAAGTCCCTGGAGGCAGACCGGCATGGCAAGATAGAAGACACAGGTTTATTCGTTCTTCTATCAAGAAAGCAAATTATCAAACATGGCATCTTCTAAAGCTGGGCCTCGCCGTATTTCTCCTCCACATCTCACGGATGACCAACCAGCAGCGGAACGAGAGCTTCCCGTGTACATGGAGTCTAAGCGGGGTGGAACCTGTTGTGGTTGCTGTTGCGATTTCCGACGAGCTGTGATCATCGCCAATTGCCTCATAATTGGCCTATCAGCATACTCTCTGGGTGGGTTGATGAAGCCCCCCGATGAAGAGACGCTGGAAGCATATGAGGACTATCGTGGAGTTACTATTGATGATGATCAAGTTGTAAAAGACTTAACAACACTGGCGAATGATGCCTTGTTGGCAAATGCCGTGGTTGGAGGTGTCATGCTCGTGCTCACGGCGATCCCAATTTACGGAGCATACACCTATCAATCTTGTCCGGTGGGGTTTGGGATTTTTTTGCTGGTGTCAAGTTTTGTGGTCCGATTCATGGTGGCCTACGTCATGGTGGAGGATGCTGGAGGTCTATCGGATGAATTGGCCTTTGAACAACCCTGGGTACTCTATGGTATCTCGGCTCTTTTCATGCTTCTCTTCATTTATCCACACATTGCGCTGATACTGGAGATCAGGAAAGGCATCATGACTTACAAAACCTATCCCAGAGAATCCTACAGTTGCTGTTGCACTAGAGAAAGGCGACAACTGCCTCCACAATCGCAACCTCCAAAGCAGCCCATGCGTGCATATGTGTAGTTCCATGCAAAGGCATACCTCGGCAAAGGTGACTGCAAATCTAGGTCATTATTTGCCTCAACCACCTTGAGCATACGATTTCAGCAAAGAGTGACTGATTGATCCCCTAGAAGAGGATGAGAGCAGTTGGTGATTCTCAAGCAAATCATACGGTATCCTGAAGAAGCCGAGCTGCTGGTAGCCACTTTTGAAGCCACTGGTGACCTTTCGTGGCCTGCACCAGCGGAGGAACAACCACAAGAGACATCTACCTGTGATGCTCTTGTCTTCGCCAATTTGTCCTCGTCGGATGAAAAGTTAACAGTCCTCGGGAACAAGTGCGCCAACCTGTCCACCATCATGAATCTCTTGTTTAAGCAACTGGTCGAGTCCACTCTTACTCAGACACCATTCAATGACTGCGACATGATGATTCGTCACCTTGAAGCCAAGCCCCAAGCCGAGATGACCAGTTGGAAATCCCACAACAGATCCTTGGAAGAATAGTTGTGGTACAACACCAAGGAGAGCATCCCACCCTGCATTCAATCATCCTCCTCAGCACCCAAGTTGGTCTGCTTTGAGGAAGACGAAAAGGCAAAGAAGGCAAATACTTCGTCGACGAAGCTCTATGGATACGTTCATGACAGCACCCATGGATCTCTGTGCATCTTCCCCTGTCAAGGGGCCATCATTTAGAACATCCTTCTCTGTGGCATCCAAACTGATCACACAGAACAGGTTCTTGCCAGCCATGTTGTCAGCTGTGGCCCAGGCCCAAGACTTGAAGAAGCCCCAAGCACAGCTGGTCAAGTCCACTCTTACCAAGAAGCGCGGACACACTTCACTCAGTGACCGCGACATGATTCATCAACTTGAAGCCAAGCATCGAGCAGAGATGACCAAGAGAAGAGATCCTTGGAACAAAAGTTGTGGTACAACACCAAGGAGAGCAATCCCACCCTGCATTCGATCATCCTGCGCTCCACCCAAGTTGGCTGCTTTGGCGAAGATGAAAAGGCAAGGAAAGCAAACACTTTCGTCGACGAAGCTCTATGGATGCGTTCGTGACACCCATGGAGCTCTGTGCAGCTTCCCCCGCCAAGGGGCCGTCATTTAGGGCATCCTTCTCCATGGCATCCACAATGATCATGCAGAACAGGTTCTTACCAGCCATGTTGTCAGCTGTGGCCCAGGCGCAAGACTTGAAGAAGCCCCAAGCACAGCTGCCAGTCGGTCAGTGTAGGTGGGAGCAACAGCAAAAGGAACATGCAAGAAAAGAGAGATGCCAACCAGCCACAGGTTTTTGTAGGGAAACCAGAGGAATACATAATATTTGATAATGGAACCAATAGAATAGACTTTGCATTGCTAAATGGTTGATCTTTTGGTGATGAGCTGTGATTGCAGAAGTGGTGCAACCAATTGGGCAAGGCAAACAGGCACAGCCCCATGGGGATGGGCAAATCTTGCAATAGCCCTGTATTGTAATGGAGTGTGACTCGCCAAAATCAGTTAAAAAGACGAAATTCGTATTTTGGCCGGCAGATAAATTTAATTGGATTGCAATGGATTGGATTGCATTGAATTGGATTGAATTGGATTCCAAATAGTACTGTTATTTATATAGTAAACTGTAATTCAATGCAATCCAATCTAATCCAATGCAATTCAATCAAATCCAATAGAGAAAAACAGCCAAAGTAAAAGATTGGCTTATCGCACACAATTTTTACAAAAACGCTCTAACAAATTCAACACAGAGCCATGGGCAAGTTTGCTCATTCCCCATAGATCAGTTCATGACAGGTAGACCGGTTGTTTGTGTCTACTGAGTACTCGAGTACTGGATTGGATATGATGCACCTGCCCTGCCAACACCGTGGGCGCGTCCTGTCTCGTGTTGCCCGAATTGGCGGCTAGCTAGTGCCTCGCAGCTGGGTGCGGATATTAGTCGGATCCGCAGACTTATCCGCAGTTTGCACCCACTCATTCGCGAAGTGCGCACCCAAGTCAACACTCCCAAACCAAGGCACCATGGCACTCCACAAGCAGTGGCCGGTCATCAAATGGCAACAATAGTATTCGACAGCAATAGAGAGGCCACAGTGTCAATTGAAAGTGGTGATTTATAGTGGATTGTTATAGATTTTTGAGTGAATCTGTTGTTGTTTGTTGTCATCTTGCCGACTGCGGACGCGGTTGGATAATAGGATAATAGCGTCCGTAGCAGCATATTACAAGACTCTCATGAGCTCTGGTTGCTCAGCATCTCTCGATGGAGCTGCACACAACTCTTGCTGTTGTTGACCAAGCCACGACGAGGAATTCGCTTGCGAATTACATTGCAGATTGGAACGCCGTAATAGACCTCTCCTGCGTACGGCTTCTGAACCTTGCGACACTGCGGATGGCTACACTCATTGCGAGTGTCATTGCCACAAACAACACAACGGCGCTTTGTACCTTGACCGGAGTTATCCTTCACTCGATTTGGAGCCGGATCATGGTATTGGACTTGCTGTTCAAATCGAAAGGAGCTGTTGCCGCCAGCAGTCGACAGCGGCGACGGATCCGCATATCCTCCGCAGCAGCTGATGCTCATGTTTTGAAGGCCGCTAGCAACCCTTCCGACGCCAAACATAGTGCTGGGGAAGCTACCAAGCCGACTTGATATCTCTGATTCGGAGTCATGTATCCCATCCGCCGCAATATTATCATGAGCTGTTGCCACAGTGCCGCTGTTAAACGTGTTATAATAACAATCATAGGCCAACCTGTCAGCAAACTCTTCGACTGTGATGTTTCGGTATTGTGGAAGTCGATAGCGCAGTGCTTTCCAACAGTCAACTGCCGTGATACCAATGATGGTGGTGACATTTTGCAGCCATGGGTTTGGTGTCCGCCAGTACTTTTCCAATCCGAGAAGGTCTTGCCTCGCTTGATTTGTGGACGTCAATGATATTGCTTGCTTCAAAATAGGTGGCAATGACTTGTGGTCTTTGAACCAGCCGCTCTTTTACGTTGCCGTATGGATCTGGAAACTTTGCTTTGTAAGACTTGCCTGGGAGCGTGGAGCCGGCATCTTTGGTGAAGACAAAGCAGAGAACTTTCTTCTTGTTGTATTTGTATCCGACAGCGCAAAGCTTGACCTTTGTTTGAGGGGTAAGGCACTCGAGTACAAGATGGGATCCGCTTGGCCATTTCTTCATCTTCTCTTCAATCTGTTTCTTTGGATACCATCCGGTGCTTGTCTTGATGGCTGCAATCAGCTCATGGCCTTGGCTATTGTTGCCAGTGGCAGATCGATTGATTCTGTATCCTTGCAAGGAGAAGTGCTTGTCGTAACGAGACTCTTCCGTTGGATCCTTTTTTCGGAGCAACTTCATTGCTTCTGCCAATCTTGCGCTACCGAACCAAGAGTCCGCGGGGATAAGGTGCCGCTGTTCATCTTGTTCTTATTGCTTCTTCCTCTCCTTTGTGGCCACTCCAGTGTGACTTCCTTGAATGATGAGCCGAAGAGAGCATGTGGCCGTACTTCCAACCTCCGGTTGGAACGCTTCCATTCGCATTGGTTTGGCTCCCTTTTGGATTTCGATGTATGTCATCATGCCAGTTGCAGGATCAGCAATACACTTGTATTCGGTGCCAAGAGGTTTTGGCTTTCAGAAAATGAAAGACAGGAATGGAAGCAATGATGTTTTTGTTGAGCGTGGACGGAATGGACTCATGAGCTCATCCAGCACTCTTTTGAAATCGCCACAGACCCACTGCTTTCGATTGGCGTTGAAGTCTGCCACCAGTTTGGTTATTGGATGCCATGGATCATCATTGTTGGTTCCATCGTCGAAGGCAAAATGGAGCCGCTCCTTGATTGTCTTGAATCTATTCCACGATATCATCTTCTTTCCAACAGCACCGGTTGCTTCATTGAAGCGTCTTCGATCTTCGGTTCCTGGTGCAAGACGACCTTTAGCTGGCTCGCAGCCATTGAACAGTTTGATGCCACCTTTCTTGCACGGACAAGCCACAAAAAGAATGCCCATAACAATCCACCACTCTCTCTCTCCGTCACGAGTCTGATCTTGTGCTTGTCGTTAACTTTGGAGTTGTGCGAGTCAATGGCGCGGTTCAAGTTTCGAAGATGCTCCCTCCAATCACCAGGCCAAAGGTGGATAAGCAGAGAAAGAAATGGGTACTGGTACGTTGGTTCGGATGCCTGTTCCTCCGCATCCTCAAACGCTTTAGCAAACTTGAATCCTGCTACTCCAATGCTACCATGTCGGGCTTCAACAATGGGATTCTCAGGCGAGGATTCCTTGACGACATTCCACTCAAAGATGCGTTTGTCTTTGATGAGCTTGAGAGAGGTTGAAGGGATGCGTTGTGCTGGAGCTTCGTTTCCCTCAAAAAGCACGGACCAAAATGGTCGTCCATCATCAGGTTCTCTGTCGTCGGCAACAACGATGCCTGAACGCTTTTGGCCTTTTCTTTCAACCACATGCTCCCCCAGCCCAATCTTTTCCTGTCGGGGAGGCTTGCAAAGGACACTCCATTTCTGTCCAATCAAAATGTCTTTCTCACGCTGGTAGTTGTCCCATTTCCGCTTGTGCTTCTCGTCGTCGGTTTCAATTCCTCTTGCAGCAAGGTAATCGCTTGCATTGAAGAGGTGCTGCTGCTCAGCGACCTCTGCGTCTTCAAGCCAAGCAGGCATGTCCTCTTCGATTTCCAAATCAGGATCTACAGTTTGTTCTTCGTCGGCGTTGTTGTCCGCTTCATCAACTGTCTCGACAACCGGCTCATCCTTTTGCTCTTCCTCTTGCTCTTGCTCTTCCTCCTGAATCTTGCCTTCCTCAACAGTGGTATCAGAGCTCGACTTTGATGATGAAGAGCTCGAATCGTCGACAGTGGGCCATCCAACTTCTTCATCGCGCTGTTCATCGAGAACAACCTCAATGTCCTCTCGCTCCTCGGCGGCGGCCGATGCCGGTTCGTCTGTGGTTGTTTCCATGTCATCGGCAACATCATCTTGTTTGGCCTCGCTTGGAAATTTGTGATCGTCTTTTGGGTGTCTCAAAGCTTGAGTGCTGACATTTTCGACAAACATACCCGTGGGCCTGCCATTGTCTTCATCAACAAGCTCGACTTTCCACTTTCCTATGCCCAATACCTCTGTAATGATTGCTGGTACATTTCCTTTCCGCAAAAAGACGTGGCTAGTCCGCTCAAATCGTTTCTTCGCCATCGTGCCGACCAGAAAAGTGTTGATTGATTGATGGAAAAAGCAAGATCTTTTTCTCCTCGCACGCAACAACAGCCACGCACAGCCAGTCAGCAATCAATCTACACAATAGAGATCTATATAAGCAAGCCATTATTACGCTTTTCTTCGGGCTCAATACGATGTAGCCACTGCGGGCTGTCTTGTGTACGAAGCCATTGTCAAATTCGTGGGAATGAGAGGCCTGGCGGTTGGCACTGCCTCCAAGCAGGCGAGGGAGTGGTAATTTGAATAAACTTGATACTAATAGAATTAAGGTGTGGGATTAAAAGAAATAGATTGAGAATATTTGGTTTTTTGAGAAGGGACGACTGTTGACAGCTCTGACGACTGACTGGGTTGGTGGTGGTGCGACGATTGGATCGAGGACGAGTGCACTATTCCAGAGCAAACAACCCTCTATCGAAATGACTGACAATGAAGATGATCAACGGCGTGCAACATTCCTGACACGTTGGCTGCGATGGGTAGTAGGTGCAGGAACAGGACGGCGACGGGCGGGAGCAAAAAAGGGTTCCTGGGAGAGGCCATGAGCAACAGAATAATCCGAAGATGTATCCGATGCGGAATCTCCCTCTTCGATGTGGACGCTACGATCAAGCTGATTGCCGACAAACTCAACTTCGTCATCAATGGCAGCTTCCTCCACGTCTTCGGTAGGCCGGAAATCCGAGAGGTTAAGTTCAGTCCTCGATCCACTGCTTGATCCACTGCTGTTGAGAAGCTCCACAACATCACATCCACCGTTGTTGTTGGTCATCACAGCAGCTGCTACGGCGGCTGGTGCGTCGACTTCTTCCACATTCGCCGCAGCCGCAGGAGGCTGCTCACAACGGGGAGGCTCTTCACGGTTGATGGGACGGCCCAAGCTGTCAATGTCTTCAATCTCGAGGAAGAAATTGTGTGGGTTCCCATGGCCCAAGACTCGACAGAAGCAGCCGGTTTTCTGGTCGACGAGCCGGATGTTGAAGGAAAAGTCTTTGAACGAGAAGGAAGGCATGATGGTGATTGATCAATGTCGATTTGTGAGTGCTGACTGGAGGAAATCAATTCTGTCGGAGAGAGCTTTGGCGCCACTCCGCTCCAATATTTTCCCTCGGTTTTGAGGGGAAGGCGTTGCCGACTACCAATGATGCCGTCCATTATCCAATGAGTCAATACTCCACATCCAATTCTGCCGTTCAAGCTTCGATTTGATATGTTTGAATGCAACAGGCTGGCTCGGTAAGCATCCCTCGCGGGGTTGGTTGGTTGGATTGAGAGATCGAGAGCTCACTTACTTTTTGCTTGTTGCTTGCTTTTGATTCCAACACAGCCAGTCATGTTCGACCAAATCAAAAGGAGTGCAATACACGGCTCTTAGCCTTATTCGCGACTCGATCCTAGATAGGGTTTGAGTTCGACTCATGACTGAGTCTCTCGT